ACTGTCTCAGACCTCACGTGACATGAAGATTAATTGTAGCGGCATTTTCGTTGATTAAATACTGATCTCAAACTAAGAAATCATTACAAATACATGTCCTATATGATAATATATCTATTTTTTTACATTATTTTAATTATAGTAGATATAATTTACTTGTTTTTAATTTAATACACCGTTTATAAATTCTCTTCAGATAAAACAACAAGCCAATTCACGTACTAGGTGTCTGACTTTTCTCGGAAAAGGACACTTTAAAGTCTCTTCATTTAGAAAACTATGTAAGAGAACTAGTTCAAACTAAAGCAGATTTTCTTCTTACAGTAGAGTACATTTTAATTCCAGCATCTATTTATATATTAAACAATTAATTGATATAATTAAACGAAGTAACTCACAAGTCGACATCCATTGTACTGTTGCGATATCTAAATAAGATTTCCATTTTAATTAAGTTTACTTAAAATAAAAAACATTCGAAAGCTTAACAGAATATAATTCTAGAAACAATACGTTCCATCAGGTTAGGTTTGAGTTGCGGAACCAAACGTAATAGGGTCAGGGTACATAAAAAGTTGCACTGCGTCATAGCTGTGACGTCACTCAGCGGGCGAACTGCATCCATTGTACGCTTGTACCGCTGAATATTATTTGATTTAAAATATCACAGTGTATTTTATGCCAGCTTGACACAGCTACACGTGACTGGATTTATTTTAAGTTCTACCAGGAACGATTTGAAAGAATAGAGTTTATTACGTTAAAAGGTTTGACTTGTTCTGATACAATTGAACTTAATATTATATTTAAATACTGATTAGTGGATATTAAGATGCTTCAAAGTATATCCTTTTTATTTTATCATAATTTCAATGTGATCGTAATTCATAATTAACATGATTTGTTATTTACTAAATTTATTGTTTATCTACACGTATACTTATACATATGACTTTGCGAGTAAATAATCTAAACAGGTTTTTATATAATAATGCTATTTAATTCATCTACACAGTATATTTATTGTTTATTTCTAGATGTCAAGTGCAGATGAAAATTATAATTTAGTTAGGTTACCATAAAGAGTATTTTTTTTTATAATATTTGTAATTATTTCAGGTAAACTTGTAGAAATTAGAAAACAGTAGATAATATTAGTATCACGCTTTCAAAATCACAATTTTTTTTTTATTGTTCACTAGTCGATCGTATTTTAGCAAAAATATTAATGAAAATACCAGCATATTTATATTATTTTAAAAAGAATTCGGGTGTGACGATTGATGGGTATTTTACTGAGAAATCTCTCTAAGATATGTATATTTATATATATAACCTTTGACTATAATATAATAAAAAATATGTAAACCGATGACATCATTAAAATCTTTAGCTTTTATGAAAATCTAATGAGATTATAAAAAGTTTAATAAACTAGAACATTTGCCTCAGTGACGCGATATAGACCGTCAGACTAATGGAAAGAAATTATTACTCAATTATACTTTTAAAACATTAATTAATATATCCATATATAACAGTTATATGCTTCAAATATTATACACAGTTAATTGTATTTTTATCAAAGTATTTAATATACATATGTTAAACACTCAGTGAATCTGTTTAACGAGACGTTTCATACAAGTGAGAACATTTAACGTCACGTTTTAAAAGTGAAGCTGAAAAAGCAACACTTTTAAAAACGCTTGCAGCTGTTAAAAGGAAATACTTTAAGAGGTGAATCTTAACAGGGTTTACGGAACACTCACCGCACGGACACATCAATTTATTATAATTTATTCTGCATGTTGCCAAAATTTTCTTAATTAGTTCCTAACAGTAATACGCTTTGATATATTTTGTTATGTTTTATCATTATTTCATATTGCCTCAAAAGAACGCTCGAATAGAATGGATATTTAAATGAAACTAATATTTTTCGTATATACTACATACGCGTGCTTTATTTTTGTAAAAAACTACATATTCCCGAGGTTTCAGTAACTTTTCAGCAACCGTGATCACAGGCAGACGAGATGTGAATGTCTATCTAGTAGTATATCCGAAAAATATTAGTTTCATTTAAATGAAATAAACTCGCGAAACTCTTATATCTCACTATTAGATAATGGATATATTTATTCAAATAACATTTTTATATATTCGTTGTAGAGAAGGAAAGCACTGTTAATGTTTAAATATAAGCAAGCAGACACTACAACTAAGTGGTAAGCACCATTAACCCGTATAATTTAAACACTCATATAATCTGCGGGATAAACAGAGTCGATAAACAAATTAGCGGGACATTATAAGGTTTTCATTGCAGTCATTAAAGGCGTAGTTAACATACTTTATAATAGTCGAGATGGCCCGAACAAAGCGGCTATCCCTGAGGAATTTACATCCAGCCACATAAAATTTTAGCACTAATAAACAAGCTAGAATAAGCTGGGGAACTTTTATCTAGCAGCATTTTATTTATACGCCTCGAAACAGTATTTCGTTTATCTATTTCCTCCAGCATTAAACCACATAAATTCTTACCCTCTCAAGACTTTTACCTCTTGACTGAGATTTATAAAAACAAGCAAAAGTAATTAAAAAATATATATTCAAAATATTCCTCTGCTTTTTCGTCCCTACTAAATATTACCGTTCTTTTTAATGTACGTAATTTTTACTTAAATATTAAAGATATTTTATCTCATATTTAATTTAAGTAAAACTGAATTACTCTAACTAAAACTGTTTCTATTTATAATAAGAGATGTCAAAACTATTCCTGAGCCGCTTCAAGCGTACCTGTATTATGTGAAATCGCTAACATTTACAAAACATATTTTTAAAACGATTTCATAGCTGCATTCGTAACAGATACATTCGATGCTGATTGTTGAAGATCTGATTCATCTTATTCGAGATGGAATAGGCAACGTGAAGGATCGGAAAGCTTCGTGCATTTTGACTTACATTTTATTTTATCGTTTTACTTATTTGATTTTGATGTTATTCTTAAAATATATAAGAACAATTCTTTATACTGAAAAACTTAATTTATCGAAATAACAATTGGGTTTTTGAATTATTTTTTTTTTTTTGTGATAAATGGAAAGATCATATATAAGTTTAATAACAAAACTATTTTTATTTTATTTTTTTTTGCAATATTTAAAAAGTTATTTCAAAATAAAAATTAAATTTTAAATTCAGTACCGAAGACAAGCCGACAGCTCGTGAATAAACCCGAGCGCGTGTGACGTCACAATGTTAGTTTTTGCTCATTGTAGCATACAGAGATATAATAATTAGTACAGTGTTTTGAGTTTTTATCTAGTAAATTCTGTTGGCATTGTTAAATAATCAAAAGTTTTGTACCATTATGTACAAAGACTACAAAAACAACTCCTGAAAAAATGTTTTTAAATGTTCCACAAGACGAAAAACGTCGAAAGAAATGGTTTCAAGCAGTGCATCGAGATTATTCAAAAACAAAATCATTTTTTTTTTGTTGTGAAGATCATTTCGTTGTAAGTTTTCATAATAGTATTGTTATTAATTATTATTTATCTAAGTGTATAAATCGAATAAGTATAGTTCAATAATTAATTTTTTTACCTGGGCTCCAAATCATAACCTTTAGAATCGTAGCATTAAAAAATTTTAATTGATAATTCAAAGCGATTAAATAGTAAATCTATATATATGTTTGTCTAATAATTGGACTTCAATTAATAGATATTTTCATAATTTTATAACATTCTAGGTTCTGTATCAGACTACATTTAAATTTTTAAAGTACATATATGTTATTTTGGTTTTTTTTATAATGTTATAATAACATTTTATTAATAATGATTTAATGAAATAATTATTAATTATATTTAATAGAGAATAAATACTAATTTTCATTTAGAATAGTATTTTTTGACAGACTTACCTTGATGTCTTAGCACCTCGAACTTCAGCAAAATTAAACCGCACTTTTTAAAAAATTAGTTATCATAAAAATATATTAACATCAGGAATATTATCCGATTTTGCTTTTATAAATCCTTTATCACACATAGTCGAAATAAACTTTTCAAATCGTTTTTCACTAATAAATTTGAGATATTTTTATCAAGTTAAAGATAATAGCCATAAACACTGTACTATTATGAAATTGCTTTAACATTATGACGTCACAAGTATGCTGACCAATCATGGCGCGTTTACAGTCACGTGATATATTTTTGAATTTTATCAATTTTTAATTGTTTATAATTAATTTAAAAAATATATTTCAAGTTTTTTGCATTAAAAATCCAATATAATTAATAATAAAGTTTTAAAATACATAAAAAAAATCAATACTTTTTTTTTTTTCAAAAACCCAATTGAAACCTGTCAATGTGTATAAATAGTCTAAAATATAATTTGATGTAGCATATATTAATACAAATATTTTTTTTATTATTTTCCCTAATCTAACAAAACAAATATATATTTTTTTAAATTGAACCCCAGCCAGATATGCAAATGAGACGTCAAATTTTTATCACTTAACATAATCTGTGCTCTCGGCTGTGAGCACGTACAGACATCTACCGGAATTTTTCTAAACTTATTTTATAATATACATCAAGTATTCGGTTTAATAATTCGTTTTAAATCAGTTAGGTCAAGTACAAATGTAGAACTGCCTCGATTTGACATATAATTAAATATGGGTAGATATAAAATGTTTTTTTTAATTAGAATTATTGGTAAATTAAAGGCTGGATTACTTGTAAAAAAAATATGTTTAAGTCAAAGCTTACAATTATGTAGTTTTTATTTCATGTTTCTTATAACAAACAACTCGTTTCTACAAAACTATTTCTTAAAGGTATTTCTTTAATAAAAATAATAGTGTATTTTTTCCACAGCTGGGAGCGTTATTTAGTATCATTATTTTTTATTTTTTCAAAGTTTCACAAAACAAGCGGCCCTTGTTATAGACATACAAGTAGCGGATGTCATTGACCTCATTTCAGACCATCACTGAAACTTCAACTATTTGTTCCTCGCGATGGAAAAAAAATACAGCAGCAGCTTCATTAACGATAATACCTCAAGACGAATCTCGATTCAAAGGAAAGCTGCTCGCTCCCGAAACCCGAAATGAAAATCTAGAGTGAGACCATGTGTGCCAAAAATATATATATATATATGTCTGACAAATTTCGCGTACATCTTAATAGGACGATAAATTCTAAGTCTACTAAGCAGTGTATATAGATCATGTCGTTTGAATTCAGTATACCGCCTAATTTTAACGAGCAGACCTATTCGGCCGGTGGGAATCACCTATCATAATTAAAGTACATTTAATCCTCTAACGTCTAACGTGTAAGACAGTAAGAGAGCCCATCGGTGGAGTCGGTGGTCACCTGTCCTACATCATCAGTCAAGACCGACCAGCATCTGGCACAGATACTAACCGAAAGCACAAGGAGCCGTCTAAGGGCGAGGGTCCACAACACAACACTCACACAGCGCGTCGGTGCCGCTTGCGCGTGCTCGTGACGCGCACCATGGCCGTGCTCGATCGTCAGCTATCGACCGTGCGCCGGCCCGCGCCGCCCAGCGACTGACGCGAGAGCCATGCGCGCGCACCGCACGCCCGCACGACCCCACCGACCCCCGCCAACCCCCGCCGACCCCTCTCGCACCCCCGCCCCGGGTGAGCCCGACGCCGAGCAAACAGCCTCCTAACTTTCAAAGCCTTTCAAACCTTTTTTGATAAACACTAACCGGAGAAAATATTAATACTAACCTAACCCCCCAATGACCGACCAGGTCTGATCCGTGCAACACGGCCTGTGATGGTGTATCATAATCGAGTCATTTTAATCGTCGGTCTGTATGTAAATCGTAGACAGGGAGCGGAGGCAGCAAATTTTCCGTTACATTGTCACGTGAGGTCCGGAAGGCCGAGTCTCTCGTGTTTATTTTCGGCAGCGGGCGCGGGCCGCCGGTCGCCATGGCAACGCTCCCCGACCTCTCCCGACGACGCCCGATCCCTGAAAAACCTGGCCGATTTGGGGAGAAGTCTTGACGGATTACCTGAACCCGTGATGCTATGCAAGCCTTAATTATTCAAGTTGCGTTTTGAGCGCTCTGCACACATTATATACGAATGATATTCAGATCTCGGCGAGTCGACTCCTCGTTTGAAAGCCTCTGTACACTCTGATATTATAAATAACACTACATTAAAACAAACAATAAGGTATGAAACATGCCATGTGGTATAAACACACGCTGCTACTGTAGTGTGGAGGCGTAGATACGTCGTAGATGCAAGCTACGATGAATTTTATTCATACACAAAGCGACTCAGGAACAATACTTCTAAATTAATTTTGCGACAGCGTAACTACTTTAGAAGCAAAACCATTTAACATTTTATAAATAGCGAGTTACAGAGCACTTACTATTTACGGAGCACATTCGCTGTGCATATATTAAAAGCATCGCTAGTTCTCAACATACGTGTAATACTTTAAAAATAACTCAAGCTTTAACTAATTTGCTGACCGTATTTTTCGTAAAATACTATTGTACTTAAAGACTCGAAATAAATTAAATTTTCAATCGGTTATAAAAAATGTAATAATAAATCTGTATTAGCAGTTTTCAAAACCTCAAATGGAGTTGTTTGGTTCAATTCGTATGGACTGGCTATTACCAAGTAGTTCCACCTTCTCACAGCAGTTTTACGTTAAGTAGCTAGTACAGCTGTGTTTCTTTTAGTGAGAGCACAAATCCTTACCTTCAATCCAAACAATATTATTTTCCTCATCCGACCTAAATCGTAAATAACAATATTACGTAGACGCACAAAAATCTCCCAATATCTAATGTTAATCGTAAAATGTGACCCCTAATTGACAGTGTAGTCATTTGTCATAGAATTGACTGAGATGACCACAATCAAATATTTAAATACAACTTCAAGGCAGCGGTAAAAAACTGTACATTTCGAGACTATTCTGCACGGCTCACCAACCAACGTTTTAGAGAATAGAAAAAAAAAGTGTTTATAAATCTCTTTAATCAAAATACAAATATACATATTTAAACGTTTTGATGGAATTTAATTTAAAATTTCATTTTTGACATAGTTTTACAATTATCTATCTTTATCTATACTAATATTATAAAGCTGAAGAGTTTGTTTGTTTGTTTGTTTGTTTGAAAGCGCTAATCTCCGAAACTACTCGTTCGAATTGAATAATTCTTTTTATGTTGGATAGTACTTCATTGTGAATAAAAAAAACATAGGTTTTATCCTGAAAATTCTACGGGAACTCGACCATTCCGAAAACCCCGCAAGAACGGGAACTATGTGGGAAGAACCAAAAATCTGTCGGAAGTCACTATTCCACGCGGACGAAGTCGCGGCAAAAGCTAGTAATTATATATCGGCGCTACCAGCTTTATTAACGGATGCGACATGAAAATAACTTGAGGCTGTCATAAATTATTATTAAAACTTATAAGTATTCATGATTATTGTTAAAAGTAAAATGAAATCAAACATTGTTTAAAAAGAGAATAGAACTATGTTTAAATCTTGGTATAAATATGACGTCTGGACGCATATGACGGCAGAGTTCAGTTAGTGCGGACCATAGAATAATGTGATTATGAAGAACCTTCGAGAAATACAGGAGCATTAAGAACAATTGAAGTTTCATTTTAAAATATCATGGAATGTTCTAGAAGAAGTGACATAAGTGACGTCAGTGAGGCTGGCGTCTCTTTAAAAACCACGAAAGTATAATAAACCGATATATTACGTATATAAACGCAAAAAAATTCACGCAACTCGTACTGTCTATTGCAATCTATCTAATTCCGCAATCTTTTAGAGAATTAGATGATAACAAATCATCTTCTATATATATAAAAATGGATTGCTGTTCCTTAGTCTCGCTAAAACTCGAGAACGGCTGAACCGATTTGGCTAATTTTAGTCTTGAAATACTCCTGGAAGTCCAGGGAAGGTATAAAAGGTGAGAAAAATTGGAATAATTGCCGGGAAAACCCTAAAAACAGCCCTTTTCTATTTCCCATACAAAAGTTTTTTTTGACATTAGATTTGACAGCTAATATGTCAATCATTCTGTTTGATTGAAACAGGAAAAATTATTTAAAAAAGGATTATTTATGGCCTCTAAGACGGAATAGAGTTCGCCTGGTCAGCTATACCTACTTATTACTCTTGACCAAACTAACGCGGACGAAGTCGCGGGCAAAAACTAGTTTAATTATAAATGTTTTATCCATCAAGAAATAGGTAAGGTCTGTCAATGGCGTGCACAGAGATTTGGGGTAGTGTAAACAGAATGTTTTTAAAATAAAATACCATTTTCATCATTTCCTTCTCTAAAACATTCATAGTGATGATATATTTCGCAAGTATTCATTTAAATTTTGAATTAAACTAATATTTTAATTATAATATATAGGGCATCCACGACACAAGCTTGCTTAGTGTGGACGCCCCTGGAAATCGCGCGAAAGGTTTAAAATGGCGTTCCTCCACTGGTACACTGGTGAAGGTATGGATGAAATGGAATTCACAGAAGCAGCCAGCAACATGGCTGACCTTATATCAGAATACCAACAATATCAGGAGGCTAATGTGGATGATGAAAAAGTAGGCTTCGAAGAAGAAGAAGAAGAAGACCATTACGATCACAAAGAATCAGTGCATGTTCCACTATAGACGCCATCTTGTTTATACAAGAATACTCCCGCATTTATTTTGGTACTTAATCACTTTTTATTATCATTTATTGTTCAATGAGTGTTATGTTTTAAGGTTGTAGATGTGGTTTGAATGTTTTTTTCAATAAAACTATTTAACGGGCATACGAGATCTGCCGTGATCACGATTACTGCAAAGTAATCGAAACGTCGGGAATATGTAGTTTTTAATCATAATAAAATACGCGAAGTAATCTGAAACTATTAGTTTCATTGATAATATTCGCGCATAATGTTACAGCAGGCCGATCAGAACGAACAACTATATACTTTATGAAATATGAAACTTTCAACTATCTCTGAGCCACGAGAGTACCTTAAAACGATTACGATCTGTTCATCACAGCTTTATAAAAGTTATTGAAATAGGAATATGTTTATCCAGTGGAGATTCAAACATCTTATTTTTATCATTTGAAAACAACAAACAAAGCATACAAAACAACTTATTTGTGTGTACACAACCTGCTAACTAATTAAAACTATCATAATACTTTTTATTAAAACGAATAACATTACCTTTCTTTTACTTCAATCTCAACTGGTCACAACTTCACTTTACACTTATTTTAATTTTATTATCAAACGACAATATTAAAAAATCTCTTGTAATTTCAATAATCACATATCACAAGCATAGAGTCCACAGCTATAATTTTTATAAATTAAATTAAAGTTAATAAATTAATCCACTGTTTATGTACTATTTCAAAACTTATTAAATTGCGCTTAGACAGACAAATGACAATACACAACAAAATGGCGAAAAAAATATATGAACAGTTTACGGACCAATCAGAGAGTCCCGTTTCGTTTGACAATTAACGGACTTTTTATTATATTTTAAACAATACAAAATAATTATTTTGTTTTGTAATTATTATTAATAATTATTATTTTGATTATAATTAGGGCTTCTCGAACACTATGCATCTGTTAGTTTTACACACACATACAAACATTTCCTGTATACATACATGATATTAATTGTAGGTCGTCCTTGAGAATTTTTGTTTGGAAAATAAGCACAGAGTGGTTGTGATTACCGCCGCTCTGGCTGCATAGCGGCGCTAGCAGTTGCAGCGGCCGATCGAAAATGTTTCATTTTATGTACTTTACAGATGGCGCGTTTAAAAATCGTGAATCGAATGTCATTTTAAATGTCTATAAACATTTGTATTTCCTGATGTATGACTAAAAATAGGTAAGTAAGAATTAAACAATATAGGTTTAGTTGTTATATGGGTTGCGTATGCAGTGCTTATTTGCATCTATGGTGTGCACGCCACTGAGGTCTGAGGTCCCTCGGATCTTGCTGTTTATAGATGCCAAATGATTACATTAGACGCTACAAATAGGACCTTATCAATAAATTAGCACACAACATATGAATTTGACATCTCAGTTTGTGAAGCATAGAAAAATCTTTAAATCAACATTACATGCTTAAAATGTTATTGAAAAACGTAATGTTGTATTAAATTGAAACAGATCTCATTAAGTCTAACTAGCTTTATGAACCTTAGTTTTGTATAATCTTCTAATTTGTACGTTAGTAAAAATCTTTGTTAAAACATAATAATAGCGGAAAATGTGAAAAATTTATTTGCCGTCACATTGTATAAGTTGTTTTTTACACAATAATTTATTTTAAATTTCCAGTAGGATAAATCTCGTGTAATCCTTCTTTGTTTTTTAATTAAGAAATATTGAATATTATTTATTATTTTAACTACACTCTAAGTAAGATCAACTTATTCTTTCATAGTTAAAAAATAAGATAGTGTAATGACTTGAGCAAAATGTTTCAGTTATTTTCATAATATACTTATCTATTGTATCGTGATGCGGCTGAAAGAAACTCAATTTTCATTTAACAAAATAAACCCGGCGACCCATACGAAGTTGATATTATTACTATCTTGCTATTTACAAGTAATAGTTTAAATTATAATTGGAAAAAAGCAAAAGACTTTCAATATTAGGCGTACGTACGGAGTTGGTTACTAAAATTTTTAGTCTCCATACGGCATATATTAATATTTTAAACATGATTCTTCCACGCTTTTCAAAAGTTTGAATTGTTAAACGGCAGGATTTTTAAAACTGTTTTTCATTTTATATCTCTATTTCATTTATAGAGTTTGAAACATTTATTTCTTATGAGAACCTTCTTTCTACTGTGGTATTGTGGATTAATATATTTACAATATTTCTAGTGGTCACAAAGCAAACTCTTTGCCACATTCATAGTACAGTCATTGCTAAGCTGTCACTCCGACAGCAATTCAATTGCACCAACCCCGGAGAAATGAGATCATTTTTAGGACTGAAAATAAAAAAAACGATCAACAACGAGTATGCCATACAAAAGGATGAATGCTTTTCACATTTATACAAAGACAAACGAGTCGAAACTTTTAAACTGTTGCAAAAAAGCGGTGAAAGATATCCCCGGGTTTAATTTTTTATACAAGAAATATAAATACTCGCAAAATTAAAAATAATGAAGCGAAGTAAAAGTATTCAGGGAGTGTGAACTTATTATATATAATTTTTAACCCTTTTGGAGATGTCCCATATAGTCCCAATATAGATGTTCTTAAAAGTTATTTCTACTCCAAAATTTTGAGTAGTCAAGGTATTGGAACGAACTGCCTGGCAATATGAAGAGCAGTGCGATGTTAAAATCTAACTGTCAAACAGTTACTTGAAACACATCAAATTGAATAAGATATGTATATAATACGAACAGGAAGGCAACAGCATGTAAATGTATATATTAAAAATAGACGTCTTTCGAAGTCAGCAGTATGTAAAAACACGGAGGACAAACCGTTCCATTACCCCTGGTTTAATAAACCAGGTGTTGTGTTGAGAGATTGATCCGCGACGCTATTGAAATTGAAAAATATTCTAATATCAATATAGAAGATTGGTGGCAATCGTTTTACTCCCGGGATCCCATCATCAAAAATATATATAAAGTGGCCGTGACCATAACGCCAAACCTCAAGATTCAGTTAATTTCATTACGGGTTCATCAAATCAAATTAAGAAATGTTGGCTGAAGATGATAAATAATACGGTGGTAGAGACTATAGGTGTAGTCAGGTAACTATAGCTCGAACATGGTCTGGCTCGACCGGGGCAGAACCACCCTCTCGCAGAAGATCGGCGTAAAGTAGCCTTTAATGGCTGCGTTTCACTCATGCAGTGAGCCGGTTGATCTTTTCCTGGCATTCCCTTATTCTCACCCTTCCCTATTCCTAAAAAAACAAAGGTTGGCAACACATCCGCAACATCTCTGTTATGTGCTAAGATCACTACTGCCCATCAAGTAGGCCCACTACTCGTTTGCCACCTTTCACATAAAAAAAATATAATAATAATAACAGCTAACTACCTTCAGCTTATTACTCCCGTAAAACGCCCGTAGTGACGGCTACTGCAAAGTTACTAATAAAATGTGAAATAAAATCAAAAGTGCGAGTATTATATTATAAAACATAGTTTGAACTTTTATTAAATTTATATGATGTGTTTGTGAGTTATCCAAGCTTTAATTTTTTTGAATTAATTATTCCTTCCTCGTCAACTAGTTTAACTGGTTATCTCTGAATAATGTCAGGAATATTGGCTGAACAATATTTCAAGATAATATTTCAGCGATATTTCAAAAAAAAATTGAATACCAGACTAAAATTTTATATTAAATATAAATAATACACACATATTAGTTAATGTTACTCAAATTTAAGACATTTTTCCTAAATTAAGCAAAAATATTAAGAAAGAAAGATCCTTTCCGAGAAGGGCCAGTCCTTTTTTTTTTTACGGTCAAATTAAAATCGATGATTTTTTTCCTAATTAAATGATCATCTTTCAAATTATTTCAAAATAAAACCTTTATTTACTAATCAAGTGCCACACACTAGCTAAGTATGGAAGGCGCAGTTTAATATGTAAAGACGTCCTTTGACATCAGAAACTACAATGTAACAATCATGTGGAGCTTAACATGTGAGAGAAATTAATGCAATTTATTAGATGCGAATATTTTTATAAAAAAATGAATGAGTTGCAAGAAAAATCTTTTTACAGAAATACTAAATTAAATAATGTTATTTACCGAAAGAAAAATAAATTGTTAGAAGTGTGATTAGCAAAACGGAAATTCAAGTTTGGTTTCCGAACGAATAAAATATGAGAGATGTCAACAAGTCTACAACGCTGTCATAAACTGACTAAGGTTACTTATGAGCTGCTTTTTGTTTTGAAAATGCCTCTTATATAAAAACATTTGGTTGTTTTTGAATTAATTTAAGTACCTAAACGAAGTTATCACAATAATGTCTCTGTTACGAGCTGGTTTAAATAAACTGACTGGTGTATTTCGTAATCAAGGTGAGCTCTTGTTAAAATTAACCCGAAATAAGTTTGAATTAACATTAATTCATACAATATGGTTTTAGGTGGAATTCTATCGAGGCTGTTCTCACAAGATGTCAGTCCAAATGTCGTTAAAGAAACAAAAGAAGTTATAAACACCTGCAATAAATTAATAGAGGATAGAGTATCCCGAAACTTCGCAATAGTTCATCTACTTGGTAAACAGTGGCGTGTGACCGACGGCGATCTACTTGTCGTCGAAGGCCACTGGCCACCCAATATAGGGGATCAAATAAGATTAGACAAAGTTCTTCTAGCAGCTACGAAAGATTTCTCACTAATTGGCCGTCCCCTCGTTCAACCCGGCCTGGTCAATGTGACAGCTACAGTCATATCAAAGGGGCTCTCACACACAAAAACACATTTCAAGAAGAAGAGGAGGAAGCAGTATATGAAGATCCACTTCCAAAGATTACCTCAAACAATGTTAAGAATAAATAACGTAGAAATTACTAACAGAATCAATGAAGCACCCAAAAATGTGTACTAGTAATAAACTTGTTATAATGAATGGATGTAGTTAAAATAAAATGTATTGATATTTATTATTCCTTTTATTAAATATCACAATTAAGGTTAAGACATAAGTGAGACAAATTCTTAATCATGATTTGCTAAAAATATATCTAAAGTATAACTAATATTAAACATTGTTAAAATAAATAATTTTGCTTAAAATTTGAATTAAAACACATTTTATCTATCAGCTATGAAACTTAACATTATCACAGTATTCATCAAATGATTGTTTGTGGTTGTCTTTCAAGAATCTCTTCATGCCTTTAAACAAATAAAACAATCTGGAATTTTCTAGTAACTCTGAGAGTGTTTGTAAAAATACATTGTAATCACCTTCCTTCTTGTAAGTTGATATTGACAATTGAAATTTTTTATATTGGTCTGGTTCTAACAAAGTTTTTATTTCCTTAACGAAATCGATTAATGATGTTGGAGCTAATCTTTCCTTTGGCATCTCCGATGATCCTCTGTTATGAAGATTTTCTTCAAAACCGAATGACTTTATCTTCAATTTCTTCTTCTTTGATGCGGCTATGATTGGGATATCTTGTGAAGATCTTTTATTAATAGTAACGAGAGACTCTGAAGACCCCTGAGATGAACTGCTGCTATCTAAAGCACTGAATAAATCCTTTGTGGCCTTCGGTTTAAATTCATTAACATATGTTGAAGCTTGGGCATTTTTATAAAAATCTATAGAAAAATCTGCATACACTTCATTAGAATTTGGATACTGACTGACTGTGTTCAATGTCTTAGTTTTATTTACAGCTCTACTGTTGGTAACAGGAAATGATACACCAGTTAAACTCGGAGCATTGGACTCTTTGAAGTTAGTGTTAGACTCATGAGGAAGTAATGGTTTCAATTTAGGTGCTGGCAAAGAGGTTTCAGCATTTTTGAAAAATCTACATATCTCACTCACAGTCAACCCAAACTTATTCGACACCACTATATGGTCTCTAAGCCAAGCCGATAATTGATTTTTTAGCTTAGGATTGTTAAATCTGGTATCACATAATAGAATAGCACCATAATCGTTCTGGTGTCTGATGACTCTACCAATAGCTTGGTTAACAGCTCTGCTTGCTTCCAATGAGTACCACTCGTCACCAGATAAGTATTCTTTTTGATTCACCCTAAGCTCTTCTAAGTATTTCTTCTTCAATATTATTCTGGGATCTTTAAGCGGTGGAAAAGGTAATCCCGTAATAATAACTGCTCTCCCGTTCATATCAGCAAAGTCCAGACCTTCAGATACTTTCCCTCTACAAACTGCCATAAAGCATGCTCCTCTACTATTTGGATCCCTTATTTTACCGTAATAGTCGTTGATGATGCTATTGAATGTGTCCTTCCTTTGTGGTTCAACAAATATTGGTTTTATACTATTTAAGCTTGACCAGATGCCCTCAGCCTGCCACATTTCTTGACACTTTGTCATGATGGGGTAGGACGGAAAGAAAACCAATAATCCATCAGGTATAACTCGAGAGAAGCTTAGTATCGTTCTTCCTAAAGATGAAATGTATTTGGGATTATCTCTGTTCTGATAATTGGAATTTAATATTTCAGAATCCGGACCTTGACCAATAATTTTAACATGTATTTGATTGGATTTGACTATATGTGGATTCTCTAGTTGAACTCCTATGGGTATACCCAATTCAGATATAAGAGGTTTCAATGGAGCTAAAGTACCGCTTGTTAATATAATACTTCTAACATTTTGTTCCAACAACTGCTTCATTCCAAATCCTGGACTGAAACACCAGTAGCTAAGAACCCTCTCAGCGGATTTTGTATTTGATGCTTTAAGAGCACCCCAGCTGTCTGTTTTCTTATTATTTTTCTTTTCTTCCACTTGTATGTGGACCTTGTAGCAAAGCTTTACTCTTTCCTTATAAGCTACTGTAGTACCGCTGAAGACCACATTTAACAGATCAACAATCTTTTGTAATCCCACGCCTTTTCTTGTAAACGGTGAAGAGCTAGCGGTAGAAAGATATTGAATTAAATTTTCTATTAATCCTATAACTGACATTTGATTTCTGTCTGTGATCTCAGCTTTAGACAGAAGCTCAAAGATATACCCGCCAGGAAACGTAGAGCCTTCGGAACCGACTTGGATTTCATCCACAGCTTTCTCAAATGCCAACATCATTTCTTTTAATGTACATAAATCATCGCAAGTGAAATCTTTTGGTTGGTTTGGATCCAGTGTAACATCTAAGTCCTCTCCATCCACAAATGATTTCATTATGTAAGTAATTTCATCTATACACAGAGCAACATCTGTAGTTCTTATTTGCAGTGAAGCGGACTCCTCACACATTTTCTCTACGTTATGTGCTTCATCCAGTATAATAATATTATTCATGAGCTCGACTCCATTAGCCCGCCTTGATTTTGGATCTAATAGATAGTTATATGGCATAAATATTATATCAGCGTCTTGTTTGAGTTCCTTCGACAAATAATATGGGCAGCATTTTAATTTCTTACCGACACTAACTAAATCTTCTATGTCTAAAATATCATCGCCTTTCACAGCTCTGTCATCCTTCTTTGATTCAACATTATTGTAGAAATGACAAGTCCTAGATTTTACTTTCAGCTGGCACATATGAACTTTATTCATATTATTTGTTTCCTTTGATACCTCCGGGTGAATACACATCTGGTCTCTCGAGCCCAGAACTGCTGCTTTTACATGCCGATAGCTGGATCTTTTCAATTCCTGCATAGCTTGCGTTAATTGTGAATGCGTACGGGAAGAGTATATAATCTTTGGCATGCCCCATGATGTGTTATCCTTAGATTTGCCTGCGTTACTTTTCAGATTGTCTCGCAATGTATTGCTATATCCACTGTGTTCAGAAAAGTTACCAAGTTGTGCATTCATTTGCAATTGTGCTTTTTTTACCAACAGCCATGCTAACGATGAACATAAAAGGCTGAGAGTTTTTCCTGTTCCCGTCGGTGATTCAAGTACTGCGTTTGTGTTATTTTGTAAACTTTCAATAACCTTTTCCATATAGGATTTTTGAACCTCGTAAGGTTCAAAAGGAAAAGTAACTGGTATCCCATAAATCATTATTTCCGACATAATTACTATATTTATTTATAAAAAGAATCTGGGTAATTCTTAAATAACTTAAAATAATAAAAGTCTAAACGGGCTTTAAAATCATAACTTAATGCGACATTTAAGCCATCTGTTCAATGTCATTCTTTAAACTCCCGCCAAAATATATGTCAATAGGTAAAATTGCCTGGGTAGGTATTCTTACTATCAACTATTAAGTGATAAAATTTCTACCTATTTAAATACTAGCTGACCCGAAAAAGTTGTGTTGTATATAAAAAAATAGGGGTCGGTGAGAAAAAAGTAAGAACTTTGGGTTGTATGTATTTTCAATGCTACATTATAAAAAAAATAAAAACAAAAAGTTTCGTCCGATAATAAAAAAATAATAATTAAGGGTGAACAACCCATATGACTTAGGGGTATGAAAAATAGATGTTGGCCGATTCTAAGACCTACTCAACATGCTCACAACATTTCATCGTAATCCGTCCAGCCGTTTCGGAAGAGTTCTGTGTCCAACACCGCGACCCGAGAACTTTATAATATATAAGATTATTTTTATGTACATAGTATATTCCAAAGTATTGATTCAAATTTATTTAATTAAAAGCAAATAAGATTCAGCCAACAAATATCAAACAAAGATATTATACAACAATTATTATTAAAAAGGAAACTGTTTTATTTTAATGCCAATTTCCATTTTTAAGGTTTCTTTTCTTTTAAAATTAAATTAAAATAGAAGTTTGAATGAGGTGCAGTTTTATTCAATTACGATACCAGTAAAACTATCAGAAATTTAATCTTAATACCTATTAGCAGAATTTACTTTTATGGGAAATAATTTGTCACTTTAGTGAGTGGTTTTCCTGGATGGGGCCGTAACTACTCATTCCACCCCAACTACCCCTATCGCATCAAACGAAGTATCAAGAGATGTTGCTTGAGCATTCGATAAGAGTGCTCCAACTAAGAAGTTCACATTTACTATAAACGCCTATGTGGAGTGAGAATAAGGCGGCCAACTTTCCGAAAACTGAATGCGGGACTTTCGTGAAGGGGGGGGGGGGGGTTTAGGGATTGGGAATGTCATAAAAATCTTCGCAACTGCCCATATTAAATGTAAGTATTCTCTTACGCGTCATGAGTTCAGAAGAAAGAAAGAAAACGAGATTAGCGCGGGCGCGATACGCTTGTCCCTGTTATAGGTAATCTGTGTTCCTGCACTGTTGACCGTGGTATGGGTGTTGTGTAGAAGTGTTATAGAAAAATAGGGATGCGGGACATGCGGGACGCATACAACGTTTTGCGGGACTATTTTACTAATATTTTCAAAGCGGGATTTCGTCTAGAATTTCGGGACGGTCCCGCAGAATGCGGGACGGTTGGCCGCCTTAAGTGAGAAAGTTCCCCTATTTTGAGTTCATTGCTACTTTACAAATTAGTTATAAAAGAGTAGCCGTCATAGTGAAGCTTCCGTCTACCGGGTTTCACAGGAGAGAGCACCTGCTTTTTATATAATCTCATCGAAAGAGCCACCCATTTTTCTTTGAGGCTTCCTTTCGAGACCACGGCCTGCTCGCTGAAGGAGACTATGGTGACATAAACAGCCTTGCTATCAAATATTTCCGACAGTTCATTATATTGATTGTCACAGTCCCACTCTATATACTCTTCCTACGGCTAAAAACGGTGATTTCATCTGGCAGTCACCTCTCTAGAAGAGATCCTGTGCAGGTACCCTCTAAAGAAGTCGTGCCCTGACAGTATCCGTCAAAAGGTAGGTCATTAAGCTTAAGCAGCTGTTACAAACTATGCTAATTCGTGCTAAGTTACCAACTTTTACTTTAATTTTTTTGTCGCAGCCAATTATAATGTGACAATAGAAGAAAAAGGAGATATAATAAAAATGTTGCTCCCAAATATGAATTTTTATATTATTATGATATTTACGCTGATGTATATTTTTATTTATCAATAATTTAAGCTATTTAGTAATTGGTATTATGTTTCAATGTAACAATTATATGTTAAGTACTTTTAATAAGTACACAAGAACTAAAGTGATAAATTACTAAATGTAAAATATTTTTATTTTTGTGAAACCATAGAAGGACTTTACATTATTTAATATTTTGCCCAAAATTGTACATAAACCAAAATAGTTAAAGTTTTTAAATTATTATTATTAACATATTCTTCCTCAATGGCCGCTTTTAAGTTGTTTATAAGCAGTTGCCAAATAGTTTGACATGATAAATAAATGTGATTTTACCGAATGCATAACCTATAACTTATAATTTTGAAGTATACTGTCAAATAAGAAAATATGTTGAATTTATTTTACAATAATATTGAACAATAACAACATGAAAGTATCTGTAGAGCAAGTTTATACTTCAGTGGCTTGTAACAGAGTCCCAGAGATTGTTGATTGGAATAAGGAAGGACTTATTGTGTACGGCGCTTCAAATGCTGTTGTTATTTACGACACGGTAAATAATATTTTAAATTACAGAAAAAAATAAGCTGTTAATGAAAAACTTATATCAATAATTTTTATTTTCTAGAATATTAAAGGCAAAGACCCTCTTACAGTACTTAGCCATCATCAGTCAAAAGTAAATTCAGTGAAGTGGCTGTATAAGTCTGATGGCTCATGTACAGAATTCTTATCATGTTCTGCTGACAAAACTGCTGCAGTATGGTCATTAGTGGACGGCGTCTGGAGTGCCACAAGCAGTCTCGTCGGTCATAGTGATGGTGTAACATGTGTTTACGGAGTATATGTTACTGAGAATTTAATTGTATATACAGCCTCTATTGATTCTACTGTGAGAGTTTGGGAGAGAAAAAATGGTAGGTTTTATGAAGTGTTAACATATTAATGTATATATGCATTATTTCCTCAAAAATTTGTTTATTATTTTCAGATATCACAACATTGAAACAGATAATTTCCTTAAACTCTGGACTATGTCTCACTCTTCACGCACACATTCTGCCAACATGTAATCAACCTCTTTTGTTCTGTGCCCTTGATGACCATAAAGTGCACATATTTGCTGATGATGATGGGTATCATAGGGTCCACACCCTTGTGGGACATGAAGACTGGGTTCGAGGACTGGATGTTGTAGATGTAGGTCAGTTATTATTGAATTTTCACCTCAATTACATATTTAGACCCTAAAATTAAACTGGCCAATGATAAAGTTGGTTTCATTTCTTTGAAGTCTTAAATATAAAAAATAAATAAGGCTATGTAATTTTGTAGCCCTGATTTCAAATTTAGTTTGTTTTGGATTTATTTATTGGCAAATTATTACCTCGAACAATATATTTTCTGCTTACTTTGAGCTAAAAAAAAAATTTAAAAACAATTATTTCCATGTCAATTAAATACCACAAGTGTTATAACAAATTTAAATAACACAATTTATAATTTTCTTAATTCAACAACTTCAGATGAAAGCACAATAATGTTGGCATCAGCATCACAAGACACATACATTCGATTGTGGAAAATTTCAAAACACAAAGAGACGCTGGCTAGCGGTATAAGGGTGGAGGAAAAAACATTCATGGCATACAATCAGGAATGGTCGGTGAAGCTTGACGCAGTCCTAGCGGGTCATGAGGGGTGGGTTTATGGTGTTCAATGGGAAAAAAATATAAATGAAGGTATTTAAACTTTTTTCATTTAATATGGATAATTTCCTTATAGTTTCTACTAGCAAAACATGAGCTGATATTATGTTTTACTATCAAAAAATATATCTGTATATTATAAATAAATAAAGCTAATATTATTTAATTCTTTTTTTTTCTTCATGATTTTTCATGATTTTTTAAAGAACGATAGATTAACATTTTTCTATTACTGTTCTGATTTAATTATTTTTTTTTACATTTATATCTCGAACATGTTTATATTAGCAAGAATTTTAGAAAATTCATGAGCTAAAAGAGGCTGTCGCATCAAATAAAACTATATTCAATTCATAATATAAGTAAAACTGAGTGGCAGAACTTAATATAATAAAGTGATCTATGTACATTATACTTGACATCATAATATTTAACAACACCCATCAAGTATAACTAATGCACAGACTACAGACATAGTGAATATTGAATTATGACAATTGTAGGGTGGCAACCGGAGGTTGCACAAAAACTGCGAAACATACTTATATGTATATTATAATAAGAACTAGCTTTTGCCGCGGCTTCGTCCGCGTGGAATAGTTACTTCCGACAGATTTTTGGTTCTTCCCATATAGTTTCCGTTCTTGCGGGGTTTTCGGAATGGTCGAGTTCCCGTAGAATTTTCAGGATGAAACCTATGTTTTTTTTTAATTAATAATGAAGTACTCTTAACCAACAACATATTTATTTGTTTATATGAATAAAGACTAATATTATTATTTTGATACAACTTAAACAAATTATTTCGAAAAAATTAGGTATCATAAAAACGGTTTTTGTGAGATAATCTTAAAAGATAGACATATACTGTCGGGGACTGTTTTTTAGATCATTAAGAGAGCTATTATTCTTTAATACATATTTTTTGTATATCTTGAACCGTTTTCACGGCGCACGCAACGGAAGGCTTCAAAGATGAAATAATTTCTCCCGTTTTTTACACATCTACCACTATATCTTTGCTCCTATTGGTCGTAGCGTGATGTTATATAGCTCACAGCCTTCCTCGATAACTGGACTATCCAACACAAAAAGAATTATTCAATTCGAACCAGTAGTTTCGGAGATTAGCGCTTTCAAACAAACAAACAAACAAACAAACTCTTCAGCTTTATAATATTAGTATAGATTACATATTAAAACTAATAACCTACACCTAAGACTATATGATTACCCTGATGTTAGGATAGCAATGTCATTCCATAGTTTGTGTGGTATCAGGAATCTACTGGTTCACACGGCTTGGTGTTCGTTCTACAGCGTCACTATAATATTTTACCCATATAAAGATGTCTCCCCAGTGATGTTTATTTATTTATTCATATGTAGAGATATGTAATACTTTAGTTATCAATTTCATGTTGTAGAGGGCGCCACCTACCGTTTGTTGACCTCGTCTCTGGATAAGACGCTCATCATCTGGCAGCTGTCCGATGTGTGGGTGGAGAGTGTCCGTGTGGGAGACGTGGGAGGGAACGGACTCGGCTTCTATGGGAGTAGGTTTGGACGGGACGCTATACTGGGACACGGATATAATGGATCATTACATATATGGAGACTGGACAAGGTTGTTATAAGTTATTCGCACCAGTACTAGCATGAAACTAATATTTTTCGTATTACCACACTATTTTATTATTTTAAAACTACATACTTTCGACGTTTCGGTTACTTGCAGCAACCGTGATCACGAGCACACGAGATGTGAATGTCTTGTGACATGTGTGTAGTTTTTAATCTGAAATAAATTAGCTTCATTTAAATGAATACTCAGTTTTAGATCACTTCCAATACAATAGCTCAGCATAGATGAAATCAATTGAATATTTGACAATATTAATTGAGTGTTTTTATGAGAATGATGGTATGTTCCAGGAGATCAACCAGTGGCGGCCGGCTGTGGTGGTGGGTGGTCACTTCGCTGGTGTTGAAGACATCCGGTGGGAGAGTCAGGGACGGTTCCTGGTCAGCGTGGCCCTGGACCAGACCACCAGGTTACACGCGCCTTGGAGGAGAGATGATGGTACGTAATATGAGGACTTGGATACTCTCTTCTCTGTCTGTAATGTTCTGAAAGATTAAACATTATATGAGGTATGATATTAGATATATAGCCAGACGCATTATAAATAAGTTACTATAGCCTGAATCAAGCTTATAATTTTTCATGCAATACAAATATGATAGATTTCTACCAAATTATCATGAGAAGAGAGCTAAGTAAGGACAATGTATAAAAACTGCAATGTAGGATCCCTGGTCCTACATGTAAGTATAACTAGTCACTGTCTCACTACTACCCCGCCTAGAGCGACGCACGTCACCGTTCTGCTCCGTGCTAGTCGTGAGACTGCCGAGCGCATGCCATCTCTCTAGTGGGGTACGTGAGACAGTGTATTATATCTATTGTATAGATACAAACATGAATATTTGGAACATATACTACATACGCGACTTTATTTTTTATAAAAAACTACATACTCCCGACGTTTCGGCTACTTTGCAGCAACCGTGATCACGGGCAGACGAGATGCGTAAATCCGCAAAACATTAGTTTGATTTAAATTAATGTGATAACAGTGAATCCATATACAGTGATCCAGTGTACGAAAAAATCAATATTGGTTTATGAGACACTGAAAACAAAGATATAAATGTAAAAAATACCAACATAATTGTAATAAATAAATATATATATTGTATAAATGTGTTACCAGGTAGTGGTGAGGAGTGGCACGAGGTGTCCCGGCCACAGGTGCACGGGTACGACCTGTGCTCGGTGTCGCTGGTGTCCTGCCACTTGGTGTCCGCGGCCGAGGAGAAGGTGCTGCGAGTGTTCGCGCCGCCACAGAACTTTATGGACAACTTCAAGAGGATCACTGGAAAGGAGCTCGACTGTACTGAAGGTGAGACGATTTTCAAGTCAGGTTCCAAAGTACGCAGGTTCGAATCCTGCTCGTTTCCATGATTTTTCAGGCATTTTTTATGAGAAAGATGGCCAACGAGCACACAGCTAACTTAATGGGTAATAGTCGAAGATGTTGCGTATGCTGTGAAACCTTGGTTGTTAAAGAGAGAGGAGGGGTGGGAGTAAGGAGACCGTAGGAAAGGGGTTGGAACAAGGAAAGAGCAACCGGCTCTCTCACTTATTAAATCTTCTATGAGGCTGGTACTTCCCCGGTCGAGCCAGCCCATGTTCGAGCTGCAGTTACTTGACCACAGCTAGGCTCTACCACCTATAAAAATTCTTCATCTTGTAAATGGATTTTATTCAAGTGTTGCGCTTTATATCACACAGCCTTACCAGCTAATTGCTTCTATAACAAATGCTCCGTCTTTTTGTTCCTCCGTCCTTGAAGTATCAATTTTGTTACCTATCATATTAAAATAATATATACGACGAAAGGCGTAGTTATGTCCATTTTTTTCATGTTATATGTTTATATTCCAGTGTGTGTCTCCGAGGGAGCGTCGGTGCCGTCCCTGGGTCTGTCCAACAAGGCTGTGTTCAGCGGAGACGCGGCTGAGGACGGGAGCGACAACGACGGATACTTTGTACCCGTGGAGTTACACGGTATTAAACATAAATAGGTTTTATATAGATTATTAACTGACTATCAAAAAGATTTTTTGGGTAGAAATATTTTTTTTTGTATCTCAACAATATAAAATTGTAAATTATCTACATATATTCGGGTGATAGTCATATAGTTTAAATAGTAAAGTTTGTCTTCACTGACGGAAATGTAAACCTAAAAATAAAATAATTTTGCAAAATAATCCGCTAACTATTGACAACATTGTAATCGAGCAATAAACCTGCGAAAAATATCTTGGCTTAAGAATAGATAACCACCTTAATTTTCACAATCAAATATTAAAGGAAAACTGTCCTCTTTGATTGGGTCACTAATGAATATTTCTAGGTGCATACCACAAAAACTACACTATAATATTTACAACTCTTTAGTTACTTAACTTCCCATTTTTAATTGAAATATGGGGTAATGCTAATAAAACAAAATTACAAGAACTTCACAAAAAACAAAATAAAATAATAAAAATACTCTTTAAATATCCGTTATCTACATCTACAGTTAAAATTTTTGAAGAAACGAAGATTATTAATTTAAAACAACTTTATATATAAATACAATTCCTGCATTGTAATAAGAAAAATTATTAATAAATCTGTACTCTAAATTGTCATTTATGAACCAAGTCAGTTCGCGTAGCACCCGTCGACCTAGCCTACTAGTTCTCCCAAAATTTGCAAAAAATGATATTACATCTGAGGGAGCACAACTTTACAACAAATTACCGTCTACTATAAGAAATGCAAGCTCAATTAACGAATTTAAATCTCAACTTTCACAACATATTTTAGAAAATAATTGATATACCAACAATGTAACACACTTGTAATAATATCTTACTATCTTTAATTGAGTTCCAAATAATCTGGTGACTACTTTTGTATTTTCACTTTTGTATGTATGTTCTCATGTAAGTGGCTATGTCTTTTTGAGAATAAATTCTTTAAACCTAAATGTCATAAATATTCATGATTTTTAATAAACAATATTCCTACTGAACAACCTTTGTACCTTAAATAATTAATTATCACAATATAAATTTATGTCCTAGTTATCTTAATATTTATAATCGTTGTATTCCAGAGCCGCCGACCGAGGAGACGTTAATGCAGAACACTCTGTGGCCGGAGACTCACAAGCTGTACGGTCACGGCTACGAACTGTTCTGTGTGGACGCGAGCCCCGACCGGCAGCTGGTCGCCTCCGCCTGCCGGAGTACCAGCCAGGAACACGCAGCCGTCATACTGTGGTGAGGAATACTTATTACCTATATAAATAACTCTTGAATATACTCATATAGATGTACTTGAGACTGTACAGCATATGGACCGAGGATATGTGGTTGAAATCACAGTTACATTACATAAGTGCAGAATGGAAAGCTTGTAATGAGTGAACCTTGGATTATTGAACCAATAAAGAAAATAATCTCAAATGTTTTGAAAGCCAATTGGTCTAGAACGAAATAACTCTGATTGGCTCTTTGTTACTTATAATGATTTTGTATGATGAGGGATTTTAATTGTATGTCCACTTAAATAAAATTAACTTCGAAATAACTAATGAGGGGCATACATGTAATAAATACTGGCAAAATCTTAACAAAGACAATTTTAGTATAACATACACTAAACACAGAATGTATATTACAACTATAAAATATAATTCCAGGGAAACAAAGACCTGGCAGCAGATCCAGAAGTTGGTGTCTCACACGCTGACGGTCACACAGCTGGCCTTCTCCCCGGACAGTCAATACCTGCTGTCCGTGTCGCGCGATAGAAAGTGGACCTTATACAGGAGGGAGGAAGGTTCAAACTCGTTCACCATCGCCGCACACACGGACAAGACCAACGGCATTCACACCAGAATCATCTGGTGCTGTGCCTGGGCGGTAGATGGACACGTGTTCGCTACTGCCTCCAGGGAAGGAAAGGTCTGATAGATGTTTGTTATGTCTACTCAACAACATGCAATATTCAACGTTATGTCCTTGGAATAAGTACGATAATCCATTTATTACTTTACAGGTCTGCATTTGGTCCAAAACGGATGTAATGAGTGACTCGTCGCTGAAAGACTACAGTTTGTTAGGTGAGAGGTTATATTTGTTATTTATTGTTGTACAAACAAATATGTATCCTTATAATATTTCACAGATCATCTTGAATATGTTACTGTGATCATATTTTGCAAAGAAGTCTTATAAATGTACTAGCTGCGCCCCGCGGTGTTACCCGCGAATTTCCGGGATTACCGGGATGTAAAGTAGCCTATGTGTTATTCCTGGACGTCAGCTTCCTGTATACAAAATTTTATCAAAATCGGTTCAACAGTTTGAGCGTGAAGAAGTAACAAACATACAAACACTCACAAACTTTCGCAATTATATTATTAGTAGGATTTTATGTAGCAATCACGAAATGGGAATCCGTATATATTTGTTCCAGGTAAACCACTAGAGGTCCAAAACTCGTCAGTGACCGCTCTATCGTTCGCTCCTCTCACTGACGTGCAGGTGGTGGCCGTAGGGACGGACTGCGGCAGGATCAGGATCTACAGCTTCGACCTCACATGGAGCTTATTACACGAAATGAACAACAGGTACACACCAACAAGACAAATCCGTTGAAGTATACAGTTGGTACAAAGCTCTTATTGACTCAGACAAGTTGTATAGGCGCTAGACTCCACGAGAGTATAGCCTGGGTCTGCATTGATATAGTATTTTGTTTATGACCCATAAAACAGTTTGGATACATAACTTACGTTGAAACAGATGCAATGGGAAGCATTTATATAGTTAGGTGTAACTTTACATTATAGTCGCCTATGACAAATAGTAGAAATATTATTATCAATAGAAATGCAAACGATCACGGGATTAAGCAAAACTATTAGAGATTTATGAAGGAAAAAGTTCAAAAACCTATGATTCTCTTCATGGATGGAAATTTCTTTCTTTTTACAGCATAATATACAATAATATTACTGATATTATTAACTATGTATTATTTCAGCGCGGCGCACCATCTCACAGTGAAGAGACTGTTCTTCAAGCCCAACACATCAGATGACAAAGAACTGGTGCTAGCGAGTTGTGGGAGTGACAACTTTGTGAGAATAAACACCCTATATATTGAATATTGATTATATATATTTTATACTGTTTACTGTGTTATTTAATTCCCAAACGTTTCGTTATCTTTCATCATGAGGTAGTAGAGAATGATGATGATTATTCCAGACACTAATTTCATTATAAATCAAAGTAATATAAATAATTTAAATAATTTATCTGTAAGTAATGGATATTTTTTCTAGTTTCAGTAACAATATAAAGTTATTGAATTACAATTTAACAATTAGCACTCTCACGATTTGAAACTAGTGTGTGTATACTAGTTTAGTATAATTTTTTATCAGAAATTTAACAGAATCCCAAACCAGAACTATTTAACAATAGCTGTTATAAATTAAATATATGCAACTACTTTCACTTATTTGTCTCTGGTTCAAATATTTATTTGTTTTAATAAACCATGAAGTCTATAAAATGTCCTTCGTTATCTTGTAAGCTACACACAATACTCTATAAATTATTGTAAAAACCCCTCCACAAATAATTATATCGATAGATAAATGAAAAACCAAAAATTGCTTTGCATTTTTTTAATAAACTATACAATCGTCAACAGTCTGTTTGTCCCTGAGACATTACAATAACAATATTTTTGGAAGCACCCGGATGTACATTCATTATAACAAAGTGGTAACTCATTAAAAAAATAAACAGAATATATAATCTGTATGTACTGTAAATGGTAATTATTTTTTTAACTGCAAGTTTTTACTTACTGAACTAAATCTTAGTATTACCATAAGAAAATACATATTCTTAATTATTAACACTCATTCGGAAACATACTTCTATATTAAAATGTATAATGCTACATTCATATTACACAGTAAATTATTTCTTTTTGTATATTTAATATCTCTTAATATCATTATTAACATTCATGTATAATTAATAAAAAAATCATTTAACAACACTACGGTGACACCAAAATTCTTAAAACAAGAATTTTTGTCAATTGATCAAATTGTATACAATGTATATCATTCATATAAAAGTTTGTATAAGTCACATATCATTATTACATTCCATGCTTTTAAAGCCAAAGTTATTGTGAAAACATTTTTTTGGTAAATAATTTTTTCATCACATTTCTTTTTGGTCCTACATCAGTTTAGCAAGTTTTTAGTTTTCAACACTTATCGCTTTCTTATGTTTCTTTCCTCTGAATGTGTCCATGATTTTCTTGAAGGGTCCAGATTTCTTCTTGCTATCGGTTGAATCTCTTGATCCATTGAGTGATTTTGTATCATAGGATGTGGGTATTTCATCAGAGATACGATGAAGATTGGTCAACGAGCTTGTCTCCTTTGGAACGTCCGGAAGAGCCAATGTTTTCAAGACACCGTTCACTTGGTGTCCATTGCTCAGACTGTGTGATGTTTCAGTTATTCTAATATCAGTGTTGGAGGTGGAGTTTGGCATTGTGATCCTGAAATTTATATGAAAATATGACAAAATTTACTATTAAAAGGTTTCTTGCCAAACTGGTCCATATATTTATAGCCATACACAATGATCCTTGATATATAGATATGGTTTGTTTATGAAAAATTTAATTCAATATAGAATAACAATGCACTTAAGAGCAGTGTCAACCTTTTTATTAAACATCAACATCTGATTTATCATAAGTTGTTTCCCGTACCTCGGTCCATCAAAGATCCTGAGCCGTTGAGACAGTCTCTCCCAGAAGTCGTATGGGACCCTGGAGTGTGGCGCGTACCTCAGATTAGTGTAATAGGCGAGGTGACGAGGCAGGTTGCACTCCCGGTACATCACGGGCACTATCTTCAACTGCTTCTTACCTGAAAACGACATATTGATACAATAAAATGAACATAGACGGAGGAAATGTATAGTACTAGCTTTCCGCCCGTAGCTTCGCCCGCGTTGAGTTCGGTTATATCGCGTTTCCAAGAGAACCTTTCAAAAGTCTGGGATAAAAACTATCCTGTTCTTTCTCAAGGTCAACTCTATGTCTGTACCAAATTTCATTAGAATCAGTTCAGTGGTTTAGGCGTGAAAGCGTCACATACAGACAGACAGAGTTACTTTCACATTTATAATATTAGTAGGGATGATTAAGTCAAAACCTCAGTGAGAACCAAAAGATAGCTAGATGGCATAGAATATTATATCAGCTAGCTGAGTAAAATTATAAGTATTAATCTGTAGTTTCCCGAACAGCTGAGAGGCGTTGGAGATGTTTTTTATATTATTTGTCACTAATGCAAAGTGTGACATTGAAACAAACGGTTTGTTAATATAAATAAAACTATTAAACGATAACCCGCTCCAATACGTGTTAGACATGTTTATAGTAGCTTTAATGTAACTTACTAATAGCGTCGGCCTGCGCCAGGTTCATGTAGAAGGCGATGGCGGGACTTTGGAGGAAATCCGGTGAGTACACGAGCACGATGTTTCTACAACGCTCAGCTATGAGGCGGGAAACCGGCTCGAACGGGGTCGCGTGACCCGCTATTAGGTCGTCTTCTGTGCACAACTGAGGATAAAAAAACCATTTATAAAGTAGATTTCATTGGAAACCTATTAAAATACAAATGTATCTTGAGATCCTAAAAAAACTACAGCCACGGGCAAAAGTATTAGGCACCCTACAGTAAGACAAGTTTTAGGGTGTTTTAGGATAGCGAGTGTAAATAAAACTGCATTTATGATTACAATGGTTTATTTTAAGAAAATAATTAATATTTTGTAGGTCCACCTTTTGACTTAATAACCGCAGCCACTCTTTTTGGCATTGACTCTACCAGCCTGAAACATTCTTCTCTTGATATATTTTTCCATTCCTGCTGTAACGCGGCCAATAGAGCTTGTTTATTGCTAATCGAGTGCCTGCGGATATTTTTCTTTAAAATGGACCAAATATGCTCAATCGGGTTGAGGTCTGGTGATTGTGGTGGCCAGTCCAAAAGATCAATATGATTTTCAGCAAACCACTTCATGGTATGCGCGGACTTGTGGCAAGTGGCGTTGTCTTGCTGAAATTTCAGGCCATCGGTGTTTGTATCACCGAAAATTTGCGTTATCGACGTTGCTAGTGCTGTTTCCAGAACTTCAGTGTATTTAACACTATTCATTCGTCCTTCACACAACACCATTTCGCCCACTCCGTCGGCAGCCATGCAGCCCCAGATCATTATTGAGCCTCCACCATGCTTAACAGTGGGAACCACACATTCTGGGTTGTATTCTTCGCCAACCCTTCGCCTAACATAAGTCACACCGGGTGTTCCAAACACCTATGCCAAACGAAAAAAACACATTTATTTTCAAAGTTATTATTTTTCTTGCAGTACGTTATTTTAAAAACATTTATGTGTTTTAATATTGTACATAAAATAAATAACAATACCTCAAAGTTAGATTTGTCTGACCACAGTACGTTGGACCAATCTTCCACTGACCAATCTCTATGTTTGAGTGCCCACTCCAACCGATTTTTCTTATTGTGTTCTGACAGCCACGGCTTCTTCCTTGCTTTACATCCTTTTAATCCAGCTTTAAGAAGTCTTCTTCTCACAGTATAAACACTCACTGAGCTGCCTTTTGCCTCAGATAATGCTGCAGCGAGCTCTAAAGCAGTTTTTTTCCTGTTTTGTAGAGACTGCCTAATCAACAATCGATCTTCCCGTTCAGTAGTAACTTTTCTTCTGCCTGTTCTTGGTCTATTTTCATGGATGCCAGTCTCTTTGAAGCGATTTATAGCATATTGAACTGCACATCGCGAGCACTTCACTTCTCGGGCTATTTTAACCTGAGACATGCCTTGTTCATGTAAAATCTTAATTCTAAGACGATGTTCAGCACTAAGTTCAGATTTTTTCGGCATGATTAACACGTTAAATGTTAGTCTTTAGAATTGTGATAGGTATAGTTGCGTAGAAGACGTGTATGTTCACTGCAAGCACTGATAACACACTATAACCCGAAACGCAAAAAAAGCAAATTCGAAGAAACACCGCTTAGGAGCACACCTGGATGTCATAAATATTTTCTTTTATCTTAATTTGGTTAAAAATTGCCGCTAATACAATAGCTAAACCATAAAACACACACTTGACCGCAATATAATGAGATAGTGACTAACAATAGGGGTGCCTAATACTTTTGCACGCAGCTGTATAATTTTATTTGTGCTCTTGTAAAAGACTTCATTACCAAAGACATTTTATTCTGAAAACATTAGTATAAGTTTCATTACTGTGCGTTCAGTACCTTGAAACCAGCCTGTCTCATTCTTCTGAGCAGTTCATCAACAAACTCTCTGTCTTCCTTTGCAAACAGCACATATGCATGATACCGCTGTGGGACTCCATACAACCTGTCATCATTGGTGATGAAGTCATCGTCTACTCCGTCCAGAACTATCGCAGGATTACATGCTATCTGATTGTGGTTACCTACGGACAACGGAATTTCTATAGTATTGAACTTATTTAACTTAAACATATAGTCCAAGTATCATTTTGTTAATCTCAGAAATGTTTAATTTAAAATGTTTGTCTCAATGATAATACAATAATTACTTATCAGGTTGAAAATGATGTTAAAAATCAATATTGATTTATTTATTATCTACTAATGAGTTAATCTCCGTCTTAATATTTGTAATTATCATTTATTAATTAATCCAAAAAAAATATTATTGCTCAATAATCATTACATAAAATTGACAAGAAGCTAGTATAGAATGTTAAAGAAACTAGTTTATTTAATTAAATAAAAAATGTACAAGTATATAATTTTTCACCTATTTTTATTTCATCTCAACCTTATACATAAAAATATTTTTGAATAAGATTATAAGGTGATTATTTTATAAACATAACTTGCCCAAAATCATTCTGTTTATAATTAGCACAATTAAGATAGCTTCTCGACCCGGAACACTTAATTCAGATTTTATTTTGTTATTATTGGTAACTGCTATAAAAACTACAAATGTACTACTATTCAATTATTTTTAAATGTTAAACAGTTCGGTCTTATTTGAAAAATGCTTATTTATTTGTTTTTTTGAGTTTTGAGAGCAAAATTTTAACCTTTTGGTAACATTGTACAATGAAATGAACACAATCTCTCTTAATACAGTTATAATTGTTATAATTAGTAGTTATACATCAAATATAACACAATTCTGTAAATATGGTACCAACCTATAAGTTTATTATCCCTGGCCAGTTCCAAAATATCATCACAAACATCAAATCTATCAAGAATTTGGAGAAAGTCCATGAGTTGTCCGACCGTAGCGGTGCCATCGTTTCTGTTTATCCATATGTTTAAAACTTTGTCCGTCCTGTCCTCACGATCGTTACATCTTATGCTAGCTGCGGCTTCGTTCGATATGTTTATCAGTGACGCTAAACCTCTCCAATCCCTGCAATAACACACCTTGAGTTCATGATATCTAAACACATCACAATTAATAGTCGAATTTAGATAGACTGTCTCAAGTTTAGAGTTTCCTTATTGTATATCCTTTAAGACTATACTACATTGATCTTTTTCAGAATACATATAGAAAACTATATCTGTTTAATATATAATATACATCATTATTATAGTTCGATTCATTTAAATTGTTTAAAGTAGTTAGTCGGTTATCTATCTGTTTGGTAAAGGATACCTGTGTCGCGATATTTGGTCGTGTCCGACGACTGGTAAAATCTTCTTGGCATTTAAACGAGAGGATAAAAGATTTCGAGATTCACATGAGAGCGCAGACAACGGCACGGCCCTTAAATCACCGACCATATTGTCCGTTTTACCTCTCTCTTAAGATAATTCACTATTTGTTTTGTTTTGGCACACTTTCATTTCGTAACTTTTCTAAGAAACGCCAAAGTAAATTGATTAAGTTCTGTTTGTGTATTCATAAGACAAGATGAAATAGTGTTGCCTCGATAACTGGGACATGTTGCATAAATGTCTTTGTCCCGTACAGATGATTAATTTGTACTAAATGTTGATTTGTACTCTGTGCACTATAAAATATGTTATTGAAGTAACTTAAACATGATAATACAATTGAAATTTTAGATTAGGAATAAGTTATTCTACTACTAAGTTTTATTCATGAGTGTTATATCAACTTGCTCACTTTAAAATTTAATTTGAAATTTCAGTATCGGGCTTAAACACATAGTGATTTTTCTCATCATTTATTTATTTCGTTGTAATAATTTTTAAACAATTATTCAAAAAGAATGGTGTTATAAATTTGACCTCCATGTAAGTAGGGGTGTGGCTCTGTCTGTAGCTTGTTAGTTCTCAAACAGATTGACCGATTACAATGTATTTCTTTTTAATTTGATATCATACTTCTAGGGCAGTACTTATCTGTGTTTGGCGAATTTCGGTCCAGCAGTATAAGAGTTATCAGCTTTTTGGTTTTTTTGGTATTAACTTCACATTTCCAAATATAATGATTAAGGGAAAATAAAAGCGATGAAGGTTTTTTAAATATGTAGTCTCTCAATCATCAAGTTTTCAGGCTCCTTCACAAACAAGGTTGGCAACGCATCTACAACACTCCTTATGTTGCAGATGTCCAAGGGCGACGGTGACTACCTTCTATGTGGTAGACCGTCTGCCCCTTTTGGATCATTAAAAAAATATTTTCAAGATCTTTTGTTAATAAATGTTCAGTATATTGTATGGAGACTATTAGATGAAGATGATGTTACTGCTACTTGACGGACTATCGATGGGAATACTTCGTGTGGAGGCGAGCCTGCCATTTATACATTTAAAGCAAGTGTGTCGATGTGAAATACTTCTTAACTCTACCAGTTATCTTACGTTTTACCAATGGAACATGGTCTTTTTCCTTAAAAAGAAAGCGCAAATCCATTTCTTTGTCAATCCGAGGTATCCTGGTTCTCTTATTGACCATAACAAAGAGCTCTGGAAGTTTGAATGTACGTTAAATGGATTCTTTTCTGTGGTAAATATTAATTATGTGAATTATTTAACAAAACACCACATTTTAATCTTTCACTGCAAGAAACCGGCTCTAAGTTTTCAATCTACATTAGTCTAATTTCATATTATTTCAAAAGTCCCCGAGGATTATTACATGGGGCAGTCTATCAAAATATGAGTTAGTAAAATGTTTACCATAAACAAAAATCAGAAACCTTAGTCAATGCATTGAAACTTAACCAGCTGTAGGCATTTTGTCAGAGTTTACACACGGAGAATTATATGCTCTTTTATCTAAATAAACGACGATGATACTGGAGGTATTTTTATATAATACCGGTTCGTCCCCATATTATTATGTACTTTCTGTTAAATTACGAATATTAGCGGAATTAAATAGATATATGAAATAACTTAGCCAAAATGCCTTATCATGATGATTAAGCTACGTATGGAATAAATTATGTAATCTTATATAATAATTGCGGATATTTTCTTTAAAAAAACTTATATTTTTTAATAAGGTTTTAACTGCATTTGTACAAACTTTTGGCTGGTGTTAATGAACAAAAAAAATTAAATTAAATATATATACGGGTAGACGTATTATATAAGTAGAATGGATTTAAAATACGAAAGAGTTTTTTTAATAGTTTGATGTAACAGGTATAGTTAATATAAATACAATGAAAGACATGAATCGTTTCACATATTTTTATTTTTAAATTAGTGGCAGTGAAGTTTTTTCGAGATGTCGCTTAATGTTACTAACGGAATCCGGTCTACACAGTCATCAAAAACAGAACAACTTACACGTACGCTGTCGTTACCAGTAAATATCGAAGTCTTTGACAGACAATACAACAAATTATCATACATTTATTAAACAAAGATACAAAATAATCATCTCCTTTCCTACGTCACATTATACATTATTACTAAACATGTTATTTTTCTATCTAGATTATTGACACATTAAACTTTTAATAACATTTATAACAAAGGAGGTGATATATTTTCAAAGACTTCGATATTTTTGAAGCAATTTTGATACACACTAAAAAACCAGATACTTACAATTTATAAAATAATTACAAAATTATTATAATCATTGCTTTTCGTCTACAATAGAAAAAGTTAATCGGACAACGTGTGTGGAAACTTAGAATGAAAATAACGTGGAAGATTACAGTTATAGGAATAAAAAATAACATATTACTTGTAATAATTCTGTATTTTTATCCAGATTAAGAAAAATATTGTAAAACATGGCCTAAAGTAAAATCGATAATGTAATGGCGTCCTTAAACACCGGTATAGAGCCGAGGTGGTGTTACGTATTTAATATATTTTTAAAGATAAGTCGGTGAATCTTCGAATTTTACTTCTAACATTAAAAATAAAATATTTAAAACAATATGTGTGAAATAATAGTTTGGTACGTACTGACAAAAAAACGAATCTGAATGAAATGACCGACGCGCAGAGACCGAATGGAATCAAATTATATATTTATATTGAGCCAATAACATATTAAAAAATGATATAAAATTTGAACATTCACACTCCTCCATTCCGTGTATTAAATATTTATTTACGTAATAAAAACTTCTCACTTAGAAATAATATCAGTGACTTCATTTTTATTCTAACGCTTTTAATCTATCACGAATATTCGATTTGGCACACACTCCGAGCACAGTACCCACGCAATACACCTCATAATTATATCGCCTCCGATACTTTTGAATTTGCGTTTAGGTACATACACCATGATAAGACTATAAAATTTTATGTAACTATAATTGTGTACAAAAAATGCAACGGGTGATTGTATAATATGACCTAATTCATCTTAATAACATTAAAAAAGAACCGTTTACATAGAAAACATATAATATATCTAATGCTTCTCAATAATCGCAATCTCTTACATGTGTAATGTTGCCACAATCGTTACACTAACATATTCTCCATAAAGCGTATCTACATAAAAATGTCTACTTTATTACTCAATAGGCACATAATATTACAATTAAAATGTATACTTTCTTCAACAAAACTTTTCATAACAATCCTGCAATCAGATGTCAAGGATGAGTGATGGCGTAGCATTGCTATATCAGTAGCTAGTCAATAAACGATGTATTGTAAGTGGCAGTGGCTGAATAACATACGTAAACATGTAAAAGAAACCATCGGATGTAGTCCATTGAAGTCACTGGTATTTTAAATTAAAATAAATACATTTTTAAATCGCTTTTATAATAATATTATAGTCTGTTTCTACTATCAACATGATTATTTTATTTATTATTTTATCGTAAGCCAATCTGTTCCGTAGAGTCACATTATTCATTCATTAGAACTTGCCACTTTTTCGAAATAGCTTCACCTAATTTTTTAGAACAATAGTATTTTATAGAAATTATTTTAATTAGAATTCATAAAGACAAGTCACAATATCAAACCTTAAAATCATATTCTTATAATATGTATCAAAACATCAAAATGGATAGGTTTATTTATCGGTTCATGAAAATAAATTTGCTAATGGCAATGGTTCTGTCTTGTTATAGACACTTCGTATTTCAATTTTATAATTTAAATATCCTATTCTCTCCACTGAGTGTTGGAATTGAAATGACACATAAATCAATGAATTCGACAAATCTATTTGTAAATATGTTATATAGCGAACGAAAAATATATATAACGATATGAATATTTTCATGAACCGCCATAAGTGCTCAAGAAATAAAGGGACAGCACAAACGAAAGTATCTATCAGAATATCGACATCCGGCAGTTAAAGATTCTCTCAGAGTCCAGTGATGTGAGTGATCTCTTCTCTCTCCCGTCCCCAATGACCAGTACCCGGTAGTATTAATGTTACATTCTTACAATCTTACACAACTATACAGCCCGCGCCGCGCCGGGGCGCTAGCGGTGCGACGTGAACTTTTAATATATCGGTACTATACAAAAATTAAAAACTATACAATAATAAATTATACAATAATACTACGATATATCATAGAGCTTACAAATACAAGAATCGACTTACTTCTACCACATACCGATGCGAAGATGCGATGCGTTAACGTACGTTCGTATTTTAGTTACAACCTTTTATTTCCACACCGTGTACATCAGTCCAACCTGACGCTCCTCATCCTCGGGTTCGCTCGACGCCGACCGTAGCTGCCACGTTCCGACTTAATGGTTACATAAAAATAAAGCACTTAGAGCAAACAGCTCCTCAGTCTAGCCCGGTCGAGTTCCTTTCAATCCATCTAATTTTAATTTCTAAATATTCAGCATTACTGCTATATAATAAGTTTCGTTTAACTGTACTCGCTCCTTCCATGGCTGCGTGGAGACTTAGCTTTATAAATGATTGGGAGTCCGTTACAGCAAGCATCAGAGTGACGATGATGGGAGATATTGGTTACGTTAGAGCAGTGAGCAGTGTGTGGCCGGGTGCGGAACAAATGAAACAAATCAAGATGATGTATGCAGCAACACTACTGACCGACTGTGGATATGCCGTGAGCCGTGAGCCGTGAGCCGTGACTGACCAAACAATAGTTCGTTCGTTACATATACATAACAAAGTTATAAAAACATCTGATTCCCAAACTGTGACACCGTAATTCGTTCCTAAATGTTCTATAATTTATTATTATCTAGTAATACAGACAATACGTCGATGATAAATATTTGTGCTTCAGTTAACGACACTGGATATACTCTTTACGCTACAGTAAATACCCGACCGTACCTCACACATGATAGGAAGTCACTTCTCCTTATTATATTTCGCTATTTATTAACTATTAATATACTCTTCAGCGTCATCGTACGTGTCGATCGAGCGGGTCACGCTTATCCGTAATTTAAAAATTTCATAAAAAGTCTTTACATCGCGCCGTGAACTCCGGCGGCGATGTTCTAATGACACCGGCTTCACTCCGACCTCCTCGACATCACATCCTTATCAGGTTCACCGAAAACGGTCCATCCGTCGAGCTGGTCGCCGTGCACACTCCTCGAGGCGGAGGCCGGGTCCCGGTCGGCTCACCGACGAAACCTTGTGAGTTATATTGCTTTGTTTGGGAGGTTTCGGGTGGCAAGAGCGGTGGGGTCAGGAGCAGGTGCGGCGGGTCAGCGCGCGGCGACGCGGCACAGCGCTAGGCGCAGCGCGGCGGCGGCGGGCACGGCCGCGCCGCACAGGCCCGATCAGAGCCTGTCCTCCTCCTCCTCCTCCTCGCCCTCGTCCCCGGCCTCCTCGTTCTCCTCCCGGTAGCCCGGGTGCTCGCTGATGGCGTAGTAGTTCCCGTTGTAGATGACGCCCAGCTCCCGCAGCGCGTCGCCCCTGATGGTGGCCTTTATCGTCCAGTTGTAACAGTCGTCGGACTCTGACTCGCGGTCCAGGCGCTCCACGTCGAGGATCTTCGAGCTCAACCGCTCCAATATGATGCCGATGTCTTTGATGGTGAGGTGTCGCTTCTGGTCGACGCTCAGTTGGTCGATGAGGAGCAGAAACTTCTCCGAAGTGACGGCCTCGTCCTCGACGAGTGTGTTCTCCGTCTCGCTCTCGGACGAGTCCCGGTCCCCGCGCCGCGCCGACTCCGCGTCCAGAAACCGAACGTGACCCTTCGGCCTTCCCTGGGGAGAGGCGCGAGGCTGAGAGTCCTGGATGGGGGAGGTGGCCACGCTCTTGTGGACCGCGATACGCCGCCCCTCCTCGTGCAGCGCACAACAGTGGAAATCGCATTCGTCGGTAGGCGGGCGGTGCGGTGCGTGCGGAGGGTGCTGATGAGGGGCGTGGGACGGCGGTGCGGCGCGACACTCCGCCGTGTGAACGTGGTGGTCGAGAGAGGAGGAGGCGCGGGAGAGCCGAGCTCGCGCCGGGCCGGGCTCGTCGTGGTTGACGACCGTGATGTGGGGCGGCGGCGGCTGCGGGCGCTCCAGAGACGTCTGGATCACGAGCGAGGGCCTGCGGTCCGGCTTGACCTGGCGGGAGGGCGAGCGCGCGGCGGGCGAGGCCTGGGGCCGCTGGTCCCAGTGCAGCACCACCGTGACACGCCCCTTGTTGTCCATGATCTTCCACGAAGGCGTCTCATCGTGTAACTCGAGCGCGTGTATCGTCTCGCACACAATCTTGGGGATCGCCGATATCGCTGAAATGTTTAAGAACGTCAACAAAATGTTGCGCTTGTTACGGACATAGTCAGTGACGAGGTGTATATGGAGAGGGTATCTCACCAGCCTTGATGACGTCGACCCCTGTAGGATACCATCTCTCCCCCTGCCTCAGCAGCAGCAGCACAGTGTTGGGAGGGAGCGTCCTCCAGTACTCTCCGTCTTCCACCTGAGTGCCGTCACTCTCCAGCACCAGCCTCACGGGCTCGCTCGCCGCTACTGATAGCTTCTCCTTACCTGGAACCGAAAATATCGACCTTGACCTATTACATTATAACAACATACGATTATTATAACGTGTGCGAGGGAAAGGTGTTCGTATATACTATATTACAATAAGAGTATTTTGGAATGATGTAATAGCTACTTTCCCAAGCCCCGTATGTGTGATAATAGCTAGTCCTTTAAAAGATTATATAATCAGATAAAATAAACAGTTTTACCTGAAAGTTGTGAAAATATTACATAACTGTAATAGTAATTTTCATAGGCTTTTTAAGGAGTACAAGTTTTAAGTCTACCTTAAATTACAATACACTAAGTCTCCACTGCGGCTCGTTCTATGTCTGAGTGTCAGTGTTGCACTCGCAGCACCTCCGAAGGGTTCATTCATATAAATATTGAATTTACGTCCGCCTGGATACGAAACCGGGTCACGCGGCGAGGGTCATCGACCCTGAACCGTTAGAGAGGTAGATATATCACGACAAAGATAAATCCGAAAAGGTCCACGGTATAGAAGTTGAGACATGTTGAATATATCATTAGCTACAGTACTAGTGTAACGATGTCTGACCTCTATGTATGAGCTCCTCGAAGCTGGTCACCACCAGCCCCTTCCGTACATTCCTCGAACTGTCCCATATCTTAAAAGGCCTCTTCCCTCTAACCTCCTGTCAACAAATACATCGCTTTAACAGAATGTGAGGACATGTATATATAACAGAACAGTGCTCTAAAGAGTTACGGGTTCTCTAAGAAGCGGGTTTCAAAATAATCATGTTGTATGAATGACCGTCGTGATAATAAAATGAATCGAATCGTTCGTAAATGAATCCAAACTTAACATCGAACACTGGAAGAGTATTTTGTTTAATTTGATTTTTTCTTTCAAAACCGTCAAACTCCAGTTACGGAAGCCGGCCTCAGAAGGTTCGATGCTCTACATGCGTTGTTCTGTATACTATACGTCCAGAAGCGTTCCGCCGCCGTCTAATTACCATTTAATGTATTTTTAAAGTCATCGTATAAAAATATAACATCAGAGTGTTCCATCGCGGCACTTCATGACACTGTCATACTACGGAACATAGAAGGTGTGCAGTGTAGGCGCTACGTAGCCGAGCCGGCGTCCGTAGAGCCTGCACTGGATGCAGCGGTGCAACGCCCGAGCGACCTGCGCCCCCCCTCCTCGCACCCCCCGCGCCCGTCCTCACTGACACGCCCCGCCCCGCACGCACTGTGCGTTGACCTACTGACATCGCCCTAGACGATCTTTAATCCGAACTGGACTTCCCCAACACCGGCCCTATCAGACTCCGGCCGCGGACCCTGGCCGCCACACGATCAGCTGATCCCACTGACAGCTCTGACAGTTGTCACATCGGACATTGTTTTTTTTTAATTTCAAAATATGTTTATCGAGTGAACGCAAATAAAACTGATTCAGCTATATACAGTCATGAGTGATGGAGTGTGCTGGGCTTGAGGGTCTGATGTGTGGAAGGGGCAGGGAGGGACGGGGGACGGGGGACGGGGGCGGGGTGCATCTAACACTGATGATGTTACCTCTTGTATTTCGACTATCATTGTCGCGACGCACTCACACACTTTATCACTTGAATGTCACTTTACTTCTACTCCGGAACAAGTCGAAGTCTCTCTTAAATCATGAATAACAAACGTCTACTCAGTCACATGACAGTTTAAAAAATTAATTAAAAATTAAGTAGGAGCATATCCCGACGATATGATGAGTGTATACGTGAGTCAGTGAGTGGACAGTGAGTGAGTAGTCGGACACAACAGAAGGTGAGGTGGGACCGACGACCGGACACCCTCGCGCGACGGGAGACGACACCTCTGATAAAATCACTTGTAAAAAATATTAAAAGCCTTTTATAATATTGTATAATTGTGATAACTATCTATAATTCAATAACAATCTATCATCCGCTCGGAGGCTCCGCAGACTCGCGACGCTAACGTATATGTATGTCATCCTATCCGATACGATGTAAGCGGCCAGCGCCGGCCAGCGCCGCGGCCGCACTGACGACTCGCGACTCGTGACTCGTGACCGGGTCGCGGCCTGCCCCCCCCCCCCCCGGCCTTCCCCCTCCCGGCCCTCGCCCCGCGCCCTCCTCACCCCCGCGGAGACCCTCGGGCCCGCACTGCAGCGCCCTACCCGATGCCGTAACGTCTTGGAAATTAGCAACACCGATAATGCACTCCACATACACGAACGAGTATATGAGAGGACTTGCCTTGTACCTGATGCTGTTCAGAGGAGGATCATCGTCACACTACTGATAAACTCACACAACGATTCACTGGATACTACGAAGATGAGTTTGAAGTTGTAGCTACACTGGCAACCAGCCGATAATAAAATTAGTTTCAACTTATCGCTATATAACATTAAATATTTTTATTAGTGAAGTGTATAACATATATTCAACTTAACAACCACACGTATTAACTACTTATTTGATCGTAAACTCCACGTTCGTAGTAACGACTACTCGCAAGGTTACGTAGTCGTAGAGCCGTACAGCGTCTGAAGGAAAGCGTTCAGTGCGCTTACTATAAGTTTACAATCTAACTGCTGACGGTGCGTTTACAGTTTTTCATTCATAAATATTCTCACTTTGTAGATTAATATCATTAAATAAGAAACGGGAGACGTAATATGTAGTGTGACAATATAGCAGAGTTAATATTATTTTACTCAACTAATGTATATAAATTAGTTTCTTTTAAAATATAATTAATTATTATAAATACCACGTAATATATTTAATATAAACCGTTGTACCTCCGAGTATATTCTAATATAAAGCGCCGTCTTTGCGAGTTATATTTCTAACAGAATTCCATCTGTTAGCAGACAGAGAGCGGCACGCAAACTATTTAAGGAGAGTGGAGAACGGAGAAATTAATAAAACACTATAAAGCTTGTACACACGAAGGGAATCGTGTTTAATATTCATATAACCTGATATTTTAAACTAAGACTATAATATAATGTATACAAGTAGCTTTATTATATTAAAAACATATTTTTTAAAGACGAGGAGTTTATAACGAAATAAGTTTATAATTTATAAAAAAAAAACGTTAAATTTTAAAGTGCTGTAATATATTCTTGGGCGTTATTAAATTTTAAATTTGTTTATCTTGTCTTTTTTAATGAAAATCATATGAGTAATAAAGATTATTTACATATTTTTTGCTTTTATATATTGTGATGGTGGTTAATATGTCAACTTTAGCTGTACATAGATTATACAGACATCAAGCATCTATATGGTATAGAATAAAAATATATAATTAAGATTAGTATTACAAACAGAAGACATTTTTTAAATAGATCTATTTCATACCTTGAAAAATATTTTCCTGTGGGCGTTCAGACAAAATGTCGGCAAATTACAGTAAATTTGAAATATCACGAGATATTAGCAAATATTTCATAAACTTTAAACAAAATGGCCGCCCTCCCACCAGGGTCATTCTCACCCACGTCTCCTTCTGATTATTTTTATTTTAATTGATGACCACCTACAGTCATTTTAATGAATTAGTTGACAGTTTTAATATATGAGAATGCGGGTATACAATTAAAGGTTATCATTAATTGAATTATGTTAAGTGTTGGTAAATATATAAGTAAGATAATTACGGTACTTTTGACAAATATTTCAGATTTGATCTGACCAGTATGCTTACCACAAGTGTGCATCGCGAACACACGTACCGTTTCACGTTTCTCACTCAATAATCTAAATTAATACGAAAATATGCGATTTGTGGCTGAAATATTTAACGCTGTGTATGTTTTCTGAGGATTCAAACTCGGCTAAGCATACAGTTTGTTAAACGAACAGTAGTTTTATTTTCAATAGATGGTTCTATAAGTTACATATAACCCTACCACAAGTGCTCACAGTTAAACTAATTACTTACAGTTTTTACGTTAGTAATTCGAGAATACGTAAACATTTAAAAGTTGCCCTCGAAAATATAATGCCTACATCATAGCCCTGGTTTAGACATACAGTGTACAATGAGCTCAAGACTTGATCGTTCAGGTCTCCACTCAGATGAAATAATTCCTATACATCATCAATATTATTATATTCTGTAAACGACTTAAATCAAGTTCGCAAAACAAAAACTTTAGACAATTAAAATAAAAAAAGATTATGTTGTTATTTGTAATAATATTACTAGCAATATATTTTAATTTTGTTTTTCAGCAACAGTAATTTTAATAAAAAAATATCATTTAAAATGACCGTGTTACTAACACTAAAATAAAATGAATTATTATTCCATTATAATTCATAAAAATTTATTAAAATATAACTAATATTTTCTATAACTTTGCAGTAACCGTGATCTGGAGCAAAAGAGATGAAAATTTCACGCGATAGTATATAAAAAAATATTAGTTTTATTTATCTTTTCAATATACCAAAATTATTTAATTGTTTTCTTTAATAAATAATCTTTTCGTATTAATGTCTCAGAGTGTATTTATACGTATTTATGGTCAATTAATATTTGTGTGTGAAACGAGACTGTTTCATAAGGTTTAGGGAAAGAACATTGTTCATTTGATAATCATAAGAATTTTTCTAGTATCTAGCATATAGAGACAATTGAAACTTGTGCTAAACTTACGGCCGTCCTTTATATGTATATACAGAAAAAGTAATGTTAACAAGTAATTTTATTGAAAATTTTAAGTCAAGACAAATATGGCATATATTTGTAGGAAGATAAGTTACTCACATCCCTCTATATGAAGAGTAAAGAATTACTTCTGGTTTATACATACATATATACGTGTAAAATACATTATTACTATACATGTTTGTTCGTCAGGATTCGTACGTTACTTCTATAGCACACAACCAGGAACTAGTCAGTACCTAGTCACGACATTAAATTAAATTAATAAGCTGGCTGTTGAACATTAAAGTTACAAGCAAAGTCGCGGTATCATATAGTTATAAAGATATATATATTTTTAATATTTGTATAAATTCTATTTCTTTTAAGTTATATATGTAGAGTAAATTTTTGTAAAACCAAATGAGATAAAAAATTCCCGATTCATTCGAACTTTATTAAAATCTTCTAAGAGCCGTACTAATGTCCTTATGTACAGTTGTTTATTAGAATTTAAAATTACAATATATCCGCCTGGAAATGAGTGAGAAATATTGGGATTAATTTTGTTTTAAAAATTCGAGGAAATATGAAACTATTACGCCACTATAAAAATTAAAAAAGAATAATTAATTCCTGAATATGTTTTTTTGTTAAATGATTGTAATATCTAAAATTACTTTTTAAATTACTACCTAACAATTATACTCTAACCGGTGAACTTTGTAATAGGGTATTTTGGTATTCATATTCAAAAAATGTCTTAGATCAAATTGGAAACGAACTAATTGACACTACTGGACCATTAGATAAAACAAAGATAAGAACCAAAACAAGAAAACTGATTTTGTTATTAATAAAATCACATTGAAATATTTGATTATTTGATAGGTACTATGTCACACAGACACACAGTCTTTTCGCGTGGGTATTTAAAGTAATATTTCTATTACAACGTTTTCTCCGGTACCTCGTATCATTTCCTAGATGTAGTCGCCTTGTTCCTGGCAGGCGTTACTCTGTTTTTATTCAAGGCTCGTCATTTCCATCTGTGAAGACGTTCTCAGAGTGTTGCGAGCTGTACACTAAGCGCCCTCTATCTGCGTGTTTCGTCGTAATTAGATGAACCGCTCCAATTAAAGCGGCCCTCGAGTGCCGGGAAATGCAACGCGGGTTTTTTTTTACCGAGCTTTAAACACAGCCTCTTAAATGAAACTATATTTTCATTCTCAGTGTGAAATGTTTCGAGATTTGTATGGAAAATACTAAGGTTATTTATCTGATGTAAGCTTCAAGTCGTTTACAGATACTAAAATATATCTTTATCTGTATTTCGAGCATTACCGAGTGGATCGTTGACCGCACGAGCAATGTTGGAATTGACCCACAAAGTCCAGATACTGGTTGGATAAGACTTAAAGTAACAAGTCCGATTTTGAATGAAAATTACATTTATTTTAAGATTTCCGTAAATCTGATCTCGCCGTTACGTAAATTACACCAAACCAACACAGAAATCAGACTATTGATAATAGAAAAAGTAATTAAAATCGGGCACATATCAAACTCTTTTAAGTACTTTTACGTTGAGGAATTTAAATTTAACTTTTTTTTTCAACAGCATCACTTGAACAATCAAGTCCAAATTATAGGGCCAAGAATTTGGGATATTTATATTTTTACTTGAAGTTATTATTAGATATATTTCTTTTGAATATAATATTTTTCGCATAACTTCGAAAAGTATTCAATAATTTTAATAGATGTCAAATAACTAATAAATATATATTTTATTCATCTTAAATGAATCCTAAACAATTTAATAGTTTATCATATAAAACAACACATTGTAATGTAAGATTTCAGATTCAACAAGTCGACAATTTTACGTTACAAGATATACATAAAATTAAGAACACGCTTTAAAAACTAACAAGTTCTATATGCACTAAAATAAACTTTACCAAATGAAATACAAGTAGTTATCACGTATGTGTAATGTTTCATTAAATGTATGTATGTACGTATGTGTAGAGCTAGCTTTAGTAGGTATAGGTATATGTTTGTAAAGGTTAGTGTATACCAGCATTACGTCACAGCCTTCAAGGGCAAACCAGACTCAAGGCGCCCTTCAACTAATGACTTCAAGTGACTGAGTTATTTTTATAAAACCTTTGAAACATCACATCCTATACGTATAACAAGAAAAACAAATAACACGATCTATATCATGATTATCTGAAAAGATTTTAGCGATATTAATAACAAAGCTTTACTTTTGGTCAAAAATAATGAAGTCATTTACAAAATATCCCTACTAATATTAAAAATGCGAAAGTAACTCTGTCTGTCTGTTACGCTTTCACGCCTAAACCACTGAACTGATTGTAATGAAATTTGGTACAGAGATAGAGTTGACCTTGAGAAAGAACATAGGATAGTTTTTATCCCAGACTTTTGAAAAATTCTCTTGGAAACGCGATATAACCGAATTGAACGCGGGGGAAATTGCGGAAGGCTAGTTAATAATAAAAACAGATCTAGGATTTATTTAATATTATTTTTATATAAAAACAACTAAAACATGTCATTTTAATATATTTTTTAAATCTCATTAAACTGAATATATAACATCAATTGTGTTTCCTGATAACGATAATAATAGAAATTAAATGTCTGAACTCAATATTGAAATATACGAAATCAAAAATTGGAATTTTAATTTAAAATCGAGAAAAATCTCAAAACGTTTAACATAGGGACGTGATCTACTAAAACAAAGAAACTATTGAGTTACATCGGAGAGTAAAATTGATTATGACTACACACGCTCGAGAGAACTACCAATACTTTGGTAAAAGAAGGAATATTAGTCAAATGGTTTTCTATAATAATAAGCCTTAACATCATTGTAATATGAAATTAATTGGCCTCCTTCCATTTTACATCACACCTATATTGTGTAATTAAAAAGTTTTAAAAGTATTTTGACACACAACATATGTATGTATTTTTAATATTCACATTATTTTCACAAACAATTATCGTTACTTTTGAAATATAAAACATATTTAAAGCATTGCTGATATCCCATAATAAATATTACCAACAAAATAACTTCTTGCACATTGAAGGCCAGATTTCAAACAACCATCAACCAAAGTAACTTTACGAGTGCATAAAATAAAGCAATTAAATTATGCTTAGTCCAAATTCACGTCTAATCATTCTTCAATCTTCATAAATTCTATAATTGACGTGGATTATTGTATGATAAACTTGAAAATCTGCGTATATGTAGTAACGATGCTACTCGTGCTAAGCATATTGTATCAGTGTAGTCTAATTTGTTTTAATAATACAACGGAAATGAGTTACAGCGTTCGCTTTAGTAATGACAATGTCTTCATACATACAAGTTAGTAATGTGATTGCGGTAGCCGTCCGTGCTGTGTCAATCAAAGTTCATTTGAAACTAAAGCTATAATTTACGAAACAACAAATTCTTTTAATGTCATTAGTATATTTGATTGGTTGTTTAATATAACCTTCATCTGTGCAAAGAAGTGCTTAGTATATTCTGCTAGTGTGGAATGGAGGAGATAAGATCTGATATTAACTTAGGAATATAATAAAGTATTATATCTAAAATACATTATTTCTATTTTCTCGGAAAAGACGTTCTAACGAAAGTGCATTGATTGACCGAAAGTTTTACGTGAAAATATCTAGTTTTTAATTTGAACTAAATAGGTACAAATAAATATACTTATATTAAGCCTTATTTTATTATATTTTCATATCCATATGCAATATTAAAGTACAAAAAGTAGTAAAAAGCTTGTCTTCGTAATAATCTAATAATGATAATAAATTTATCCTAACTCTTAGTAACATTTCACACTTTATAATTAACAACCATAACCTTTTCTAATAAATTTTAATGTCTCATATATTTCTGTGGCTTAAAGATTTGCTAATGACATTAAAAATACATGATGAATTATTTTAAAAATTTAAAATACTATTCACGAAATGTATCCCTAATATCATTTTTATGAATATTAAATTGATATAATTTTAAATGAAACTAATATTTTTCGGATGTATTACGCGATTTTTATTTTTATCAAAAACTATGTATATTCCCGACGTTTCGGTTACTTTACAGCAAACCGTGATCACGGGCAGACAAAATATTGTGTCTTGATAAAAAAAAATTCTTTTAAACTTTCAGCTTTTAAAGTGAATAAAGATAAAAAAACTGTCCCTGCTATCTATTTATTATCCATCTAAAATTTTAAATTACCTGCCATAGAAACATGACGTCAAGTCTAAGATACACCGGGGAATTTTTAAATGTTTATTAATTTCTTCTTAAATCTAATTGTATACTGATTTTATTTGCTTTTAAAGTGTCATGCACTACATATACAGTACCTAAGTCGGCCAGAACGAGAGTATTATATAAAAGTTAAAAGTTTCTCTGTACATGTCTTCTGTACAGGTAAGAGGAATCAGTGACTATAGAGTTTGGGATGTGATTACCTGGGCAGGTAACATATAGTAAGAGTGTATAAAATGGTACTTAAAATTTGTTACAATATAAAGCTCAAATCTTTTATATTTTCTTCGGGTTAACTTTAGGAATCCCGTCATACATTGCTGAACACTTATGACAGTTGCCAACCCCTGGAAGACACCCTTAAACATTAACAAATTATACTTTCGTTACAGTAAAAAAGATGTTGAACCACAAAACAAACTCCATAGTTGATAATCATTATTACCTATGTAGGATATGTACAGAGAAACGTTCAACTTTTATAAAATACTAAGAGTCCAGACGTCGTGGATTCTTGGACTAATATGTACCTATATACGCTAAGGTGTACTGACGAAATTTCTTTATAACATCAGATAACGATCGATCCTTACTCTGCCATACAACGTACCCGGACTTGTATAATAACTAGCGTATAAATATATTATTATACTCCCAATATATAATTTATAAAAAATATATTATATAAAAATAATAATTAAAAACATAATTATTACTTTTAATTTACTCTATATTGTCTAATATCACTACTCATATGTAATTAGTTCTATTATCTATGTTTATTAACCGACGACAGATAACAATAAAATATAAAAAGAAACGTCACTATAAAACTACAAAAAAGTTCTGTAACATTACAATACTCCTTTGAGTGAGAAAATTATAGCTTTTACAAGTAAAATTTGATTAAACCCAATCCTTTTAAGGAACTGTTACTCATTCTATTTAATAATTGCTAGATGTAAATGCTTTTAATGTCAGACACCATATTTTACGTTTTTTTCTTTTGGATATTTTTTTTTATTCCGCCATATTATAAAGTGGACACAGTTTTATACATTCATCCTATTTTATATTTGATGAAATACAATTATTACCAATAATTATATTCTATGAAATTTTTACTACTTTCGTTTATTCTCGAAAATCCACAGAAAATATATTAAATATTTATAAAATAAAACAGATCATAGCAATATTGTCCTTGTTTTAAAGACATTTCTGACAATATCGTTCACGTCAGTAGGGTTGACAAATTACAATTGTCAGATATTTAAAAAAAAATCATTCATCCAACTTCATTTTGAAAAATAAATATTTCAATATATTTCATATTTTATAAAACGAAAGCATTGTTATAATTATTAATTGATTCCAACATTATTTCAGATAAACATTTCTGTACATTTCTGTATGCACACATCGATAAAATATACCTGAAAAGTGTTTCATTGTTTCCGAAAATTATTTAACCTTTCTTATTTATCGCCTTGTAAAATGTGTCGCAATCTAGAGAAATCATATTATCAATGTACAGTTATATAGTACGTATGTATATATAGAGATATAAGTAAAATAGAGTGAATACTGCTTCTATACTTCTGTTATTCTAAGAACTTACCGAAACTTCATGGAACCGTCATATTGAAGTTATGATCATTAATTTAAATATTATAATTTTAAATATAACTTTCACCGAGTCGATAAAAAGGTAACAGATTATAAATATGTATATTATTATTTCAATTTTACTTTCCTGTATGAATTTTTGTCTTTGCTTTTAACATTCTAGAGAACTCAGGCATGATAGTGGGTGCTACGACCGCTACGACCCTCTACGGTCCTCTACGTCAGTCTACGAGCCTCTACAGTAGCACGGATCGCATTCGTCCCCGTCTACTAACTGTTCTACTCATAATGTTATCTGTCCTTCGTGACGGCTGTGAGTATCACAAGTAACATGTACATACATACGGAACACATTCACCAGTCATGATGACTAGCGACAGGCTTTATATAACTCGCACTACAAGCTGCCCGTGACTCAGAACAAACTTAAATGTACACGACTCATGATGGACGAGTGTTGTGAACGACCGAGGAGACTGAGTGATGGCTGACGGTCAGCACGGAACAGACACGAGCGAGGATGAGCGGACCGAGCGGGGATCGATAGATGGACACACGGCGCCGCACGACGAGGACGACGGAGACAGGAGACGCGCGGAGACCAGCTCGCGGACGGGGAGGCGGGCGTGTCAGTGGAGACGTCGCTGAGGTTACCTCTCTGGCCATCGCGGCATGACCGCCGGAGGCCGCGGGCGCGCGCTCACGCCGCCATGTTCAGGGGCACAGCCCGGGTTCGCGTCGCGACTCGCGGAGCACTCAGCGCTGCGCCGCGTGGGCGGCGATCGATGGCCGGCGCGCGCCTGCGCCCCCGAGCGGCCCCGAGCGGCCCCGAGCAGCGCCGAGCCGACGCCTCCGGTGCATCCGCCCTGACCCACTTCCCGCGCACACTGACCTCCTTCTCTACACTTCCAATGGACTGACTTTCAAAACGCTCCGATGCGTCTAATAAACGCCTTCTCTCTCTCGTCAAATTCTATTACATGATAACGCTATTTTGAACTCTATATAAGAGACATAACGGTGAAACTCGCTCGTGGACTCGCCACGTTGCCGGTGAGTCTCTGTCGCCTGTCGTATATAGGACTACATCTGCTGCAATACTTAGGTAGCATGATAAGTTGGTATTTATATGCCGGAGAGGCAAACAATGAAGAGCGAACTATTAAATAAAAGCAAACTTGACAGCTGAGTGATTTACTTATCGTCACGATTTTATAACGACGTTTAATGTTCAAACACAAACATAATGACCGATGTTGAAGTACATACAAAAATGTAAAGAGTTTTTTTTTGTAAATATGGATTTAGTAAAAATATATACCGAAATCCATACTGAATCAAGTTTGGAAGGATTCTTATTACAGAAAAAGACACACCTTTATATTTTGTACATAATACATTGTACATTATTATAATTATTACTTTGTGTCGCTCTTTTAATTTGTAATTTAAATAAATACAATATACATAACTGCTTCAATGTCTATAAAATATACCCTCCTCCGAACATTACTTACACATAATATTAATGTAATATTAATAAAATAATGTTCTAACAACATTTATATGTGTTATACTGGCAACACTCACTGTATTGTCAAATCGAAATTTAATCAACAAACATCAGTTGGTCCCAAATGTCATGAGTGTGATCATCGGGGGATGTTGATATGTACCGTGCGGGAACAGTGAGCGCTCCGATGATCAATAACGTTTATATTGAAAATATCTGAGACGAGATACGAGTACGAGCATCATGTCTACATCATCAGTTACATGCTAATAACTTGATAACTATGTGACTAACATATTTACATCTTAATGGACCGCAGTGGGCGATGTATGTATAAATATTTTTAATTTCTCTTCACCGTTATGTAGCGATTATGTGCTTTAAATTTAAACTTATAGCGATTCATTTTGTTTATGTAGTATTTATCTCTGTTTAACGTGTCAACACGAGACGCGTGTATTTATAACGCCTACGTAAATCGCATCTAAACGGTATTCTGTTTTCAACTGACTTCATGAATTATACAATATCCGTATATGTTGTAATAAAACAGCAAAGATAAATATAGTTTAAAAGTCATTAGCAGAACATAAACAGTGTGGTACAGTTACCAGTTTTATAGAAATATTAATAACATTATTCTTTTTTTTTCTATTAATATTAATATAAGCAAATAAAGTCAATCAGAAAATGCACAATCATTATCATTAATATGTAACATATTAAAATGACTTAACATAAATTACTTCATACATACTTTTGATTCACATAAAAAGCAATGACAAAAAAAATACATTAATCAGTAATGAGGAAAACATGTAACTTATTTATAGTGTTATACAAAGTTTTATACAAAAAACATTGTGAGGAAAACTTGACTTATAATTTTACAATTATTAGTTTGAAATCACCAACCCGTCTTGAGTAAGTGTGGTGATTAATGCTGAAACCTTCTCCATGCAGGGCCGGCTTATGCCTGTCGGGGCCCCTAGGCAATGCTCATCCAGGGCCCCCTACCCTCTTCTAATTTTTTCGTTAACACAACAAAATTCAAAATTACACCGTTTTTTACTAACCTGGGTATATCATCATATTATTCAATAAAAATGTTGAATCAAATGAACAGAATGTTTATTTATGCATTTAAAAAAAACATACATAGCTTAAATATTAACTCTTCTAACTTTTTTTGATACAAATACGTTCAAGATATCCTGAAAGGTAATCTTTTCCAACACGTCATTTTCAATTGCCATTATAGCCAATGAATTTAACCTTATGAAAGTAGCTTGGCCATAGAATATACATACTTGGTAGGTACCAGTATAGTAAGTGTGCATTCACAACAAAGAGTTTTGAGCGTTTTTAATTAAATTACCGCGATAAAATTGCTTGCAATTATATTACTGCGTTATAAACTTTTAAACTATAATAATAATCATAATAATAATATCTAATAAGGAATGCGTTCCGAAATGTACTAAAATAGCGTCGATGTAATGTACAGAGCAAATTTTCTAATTAATTTTTTACTGTTTAAGAAACACTGCCCAATCTTTTCCCTGTAGCACAGGGGCCCCTGAACGTGGCAGGGCCCCTGAACGTGGCAGGGCCCCTAGGCAGTTGCCTATAATGCCTAATGGATAAAACGGCCCTGTCTCCATGTGAGAAAGAGGCCTTTGCTCAACAGTGGGCTCTGATAGGCTGATGATGATAGTTTTACATGATTTGTTATGTACATCAAACTTTTAGTTGAATATTGTTATATTGTAAAAATATCTCTCCATTTAAAGAAGTAAATGTTGAGAAGAAGAAATATTCTGCTTAAATTATATTAATGATTAAATCGTCACATACTTGTAAAATCATTAATTTGTATCTACATTTGATAATTTTTACAAAACATGCTCCTATGTATGAGGGCCAGTTTGCAATTTTACAGTATTTGAGGCATTTTAAGTTTGATTTCAATATATCTTTTACATGTGACAACTGATAATCTTGAAACTTTGCATAACAACTATGACATACATATATGTACATCATTTAAGCTTGGTAAACTTTTTTGTAAACCTACTAGTTTTTTCAATATTTATATATTTTTTTATAATATACATTAAATAAGTCTTTATACTTAAAAAGTTTGTTACTTATGCTTTTTTACTGCAATAAAAACTAAATCTTTCTACCAACAAATACACATATTTTTAAATGGATGTTGTAGAATAAAATATTATGAAATGTTTAAAGCAAAATAATTTAAATGGACCTTATACATATGACCCATTGATATATTGGAAATATTTTATTTTGTTGAATAAATTTAAACTACATATAAATAAATATTTACTAAATAAGCTTGAAACACTTGTATGAACAAGTGTAAATGTATGCCGTCTTAATCAGTTTATTGATCTTTGTTATCCAGATAGACAGGATGATGCTTATGCGTCTGAACATGCGCTTGGTGCTCGTGGCCCTGTGTGGAGCTGTGCTGGTCGCTACACTGTACTGGGGGCACTGCGGAGACATCTCATTGAGACCCAGTGAGTTATATTAATACTAACTTAATAACAAGATACACACATACACTGCCGGCCAAAAGGTTGAGAGCACTCTCATCAAAGACTGAAAATGAAATGAAACTTCTAAAATATATGATGCAAAAGGTTTAATAAATAATTAACATACTTATACATACCTCAAGAAGAAAAAAACACATTTATGTGTAGTTATATGTTGCTAAATAGAAAAACAAAAATCAAAGTTTATGTATGTATGTTATTTATATATATGTATATATGGTTGTTATACTTGCTCTCAGGAATTTTAAATGGATTATTGAAATGACTAAACCAATTACATTAGATAAAGAGCACAAGGGAAACAAATTATTATTGTTGTAAGTAATCAATATAAAGTGCACCATCCGTTTGTGTTGCCCCTTTTTTGACACAAATTTTTCTAATAGAATTTATATATTACTTTATAAGGTAATTAATTGAATTAAAGTTCAAGGAAACTGAATATTGTCATATATGTTAAAAAGGATTCTTCTTCCCTGACTTACTTGTGTATCAGAAATATGAATTGACTTTAATGTAATTTTACTTTCATATAGTTATTTAGTTTAATTGAAACATCGAAAAAAAAATTATATCAATAATTCTTTTACATAGTTTCACAATAATACTGATAGTATTTTGATCAAAGTCATCTGACAGACAATAGATGGCGCTTTACTGTAATATTTTATGCACATATTCTATTCTCTTTTTAACAATTCTAAAATCATAGCAGACAAACTCGCTGGTAAAGGCTAGTATTGTTAATCTAGATTGCTATATAATAAAGTGTATTATGAACAGCAGTTTCAGTTCTATCGGAGAGCCAGACCGGTCTGTCGGAGATCGAGTGTTCTATCAACGGAGAGTACTCGGTCTCATGCAGGAGAGACCGGGACCAGGTCTACTTGCCCTTCTCCTTCATACACAAGTACTTCGAGGTAAGATTCACAATAATTGGAATATTATGTTCGAATATCATCTCCTATGCCTTGAAGATACAATTTTAAATGAGACTCTTTGAGTAATTGTGTCTGCCGTTTATATGAGAACATCCTTAAACTGTCAGCTGTGATTGACATAATGTTACAACGATCCTCACGAGGATAATGTAATTGTGCTTGAAGTCACTCAAATGTTAAGAGTTGATTTTCAAAGCATATTCTGTGGCTTGTACTTAATTGTTGTATATTAAATATGTAATTATTACTGTAATTAAAGGGTAAACGTTTTGATTCTTTTAATAGATTTACGGTAAGATTACGAACACGGATGGAGTTGAAAAGTTTGAATGGTCGCACAGCTACAGTAAGGTGTACCATCCAAAGAAGAAGTACGATCCTCGCGGCACCTTCACGACTTTCGAGAATTACAACGTGGAAGTCAGGGATCGAGTGAAATGCATCAGCGGGATCGAAGGTGTTCCTGTATCCACCCAGTGGGAACCACGAGGCTTCTTTTATCCTACACAAATAGCGCAATTCGGTTTGGCCCACTATAGTAAGAATCTTACAGAACCGGAACCGAGGATTAAGATCATTGATGATGGGGATAAAGTCCTTGAGAACTGGATCGTCAGCGAGGATGCAGTCATGTCCAGAGAATACGACTCGGAAATGAAGGAGAATGTTATAAGATTCACGACCACCGACCAGCCGACCAGCCAGGTGCGGGCCAAGCTTAACATTAGCCAAGACTTTGTACTCAGCATGGACCTCATGTTGAAAACGAACTCTTCTGTGACTGTGATGTTACAGAATAAAGACAAGAAGGAAACCGTGTACTTGCATTACATAACCAGTAACCAGTTAATATATGCACAGGTCAGTTGTTATACTACACATTGCCTATATATGGTGAATTTTTGAAAATTTGAAATTCTTAACATCGATTTATTTGACAGGAGGACCATATATACTATGGTATTGGCGTAGAACAGAAATGGAGGAGATTAACGCGAGATCTGATCATAGATATGCAAAAAGGTTGGGCCCTACAAGACAGACCCAAGAGGAAGTCACCTAGAAATAAGTTTAAGGTAAGGTCATTGACCTTGGACGAAGTTTCTGCATGATTAGATTGATATTTATAAAAAAAGATAATATGTATTAGGTAAACCGGGACATGTCTGTAGAATATCACGAACAGACTTTAGAACTGTGTTTATGGTTTATAGTTTTTAAAAGAATCTGCTTAAGTGCTAGCATGATTCAAACATTACTGAATGTTTAATCATGGATCTGTTCCAGCAATGCCAACAAACGATAGTTATATCCACGTTCCATAAGTCACCATCTCTGAAGCATGTAATCAGTTCAGTATGTGTATCAGTAAAAAATTAAACACTAAATAATTCCTTATTCTGAAAAAATTACTTTAAAAGTCGTTTAAATAAAAAATATTTCAGCTTAAACTTATTTTGATAATCTGCTTCAAATGTAGATATGCGGAATTATCCAATAGTAGTTACGCGGTTTTGCACTATCCCCGATGATTTTTTTTTTTATTTATTTATTTCTTAGTAATTATAATGGTTTACAATTCTTTTTTTGTTCTCACCAAGCTATCATGCTTGACGGTGAGACGCGCTCATTTTGTTTAACATAAAAATAATGGTTCACAAAAAATTAAAGAAATAAAAACATAACAACATATTCTTAAAAACTAAAAGTAAATCAACAGTATGTATAAGTTTTATAATATTATAAGTTCAGTTTAATGAGGCCGATTGTTCCTAGGTGTGTGGGCTGGTCTTATCAGGCGCGGGCAGTGTGGGTTCTGTCCGTATATCGTCGAGTGAGCACATGTTTCACTTCTTTTCTGCCGCCCGCTGGCTGGTGTCCTCTCAGAAGGCAGACGGTGGCTGGCCAGTCCCTGCCAGGAGACGCCTGGCGCCTCGCGTCCCTGACCTCATGCCTGGCTGGTTAGTAGTTCACGTGATTGCTCTTCCAATATTAATAATAACTGATATATTTATTTGATCCTGGACTCTCCTCGTGTAATTTATTGAGTGTTAGCTGCGCCCCTCGGTGTTACCCGCGGATTTTCGGGATGTAAAGTAGCCTATATGTTATTTCTGGACGTCAGCTTCCTGTATACAAAATTTTATCAAAATCGGTTCAGCCGTTTGTGCGTGAAGAAGTAATAAACATACACACACACACACTCACAAACTCTTGCAATTATAATATTAGTAGGATAGTTTATTACGTCATTATACCTTCAGTTGATGTTGAACTGTGAGTTTCAGTTTCACTATATGCATATTGAACATCAGTGACGAAAAATGGAAATGTATCCAGTAGACATTAAAATATATATTTGTACTTAAAGTGTTATGATGACGTAATTTATGTATATTGTTATTATTTGGTCAAGACGTCCTCGTCTCATTAAAGCATTGACTTTCTGTTTTTTTCTTAACTCTCTATATTATTTATAAACGGTCATTAATGAAGGCTCCAATATATTTTAATTATTATATTATGTATGTGTTCAGGCACTCGGCCATGAGTCAGGGTCACGCTATCTCTCTTCTGTCCCGCGCCTACCACCGCAGCGGGGACCCGCGCTACCTCCGAGCCGCCAGACGAGCCCTGGGCCCGCTGGACCGGCCCCCGGACAAGGGCGGAGTCCGGGCGCTGTTCATGAACAGATATGTTTGGTGAGGAACAGAACCGTTATATCTATCACTAGACCTTTTATTATATATTTCAAATATAATAACTTTAACAAACTTACAAAAAAAATCGCCAAACTGCAGAACAGTTTGTTGGCGAAAGAGGCGCTCTTACTTAACGTCTACATATGTTATTATATAACTACATACAACACCTATGTTGTACCGCTGAGTTTTAGGTTTACACACACATACTTACAACATTTTTAATACACTTTTAATACATTTTTTACATCCTTTTTATAGGTACATAGTTTTTTTTTATTTTAACTCACACATAATATATATCTAATTTATTTCAAATTACTGTTTGACTTTCAATTTTCTAAGAGTTTATATTTTACATAGTTTTCTTTTTAATGATGCTATGCTTGTGTCTTCAGCAATGTTTCTTAACATATCTATCTTATTATATATGACCGGTGTCAAGTATTTTCTTGTCCGTTTGCCATAGTAATTTGTTATGGATGGAATTACGTATTTTCTCTTCTTAGCAAGTGTAGTGGAATATTTGTGTGATCTCGTGTCTTTGTATTTATTTATATGTAGTTGCTCTATAGCAATAAGATATTCGACTTTCGTGTGGACAGGAATTATTTTACAAATGTTAAATAATTTGTCATAGTGTGGTTTACATTTTAATTTTGTTTTTTCGTAACTAAATACTTCAGTAACCTTACTTGTAATTGTTTTATACGATCTAGATAAGTTTTGAATGTAAGGCCATAACTGTTTAAACAATAGATAATTATTGAGTCAGCGAGTGCATAGTATTACATGTACATTATTTTCCTATTTATTATACCACTAAGGTGATAGAATTTACCCAAAACCGATTGTAACTTATTACAGACATCGTTGACTTGTAACTTCCTACTAAAATGACAATCCACTAATAAGCCTAAATGTAAACCTCGATCCTTGTATTGCACTCATTGATTGGCTGTGAATATAAAGCTGATGAGTGTCTTTATCATTCCAGGTACGAGGAGTATCCGACCAAGCCGCCCATCTTCGTGCTGAACGGGTTCATCTACACGCTGCTGGGCCTTTACGACTTACACTACACAGAGGGCGAGCACGCCTCCTCCCCGGCCAAGGGCATGTTCGAGTCCGGCATGCTGTCCCTCAAGACGCTGCTGCCTCTGTTCGATACAGGCAGCGGCAGTTTCTACGACCTGCGGCACTTCACGCTAGGCGCGAGCCCCAACATCGCCCGCTGGGACTACCACGCCACGCACGTCAACCAGCTGTATCTACTGGCCGGCCTCGACCCCGACCCCGTGCTGCTGAACACGGCGCGCCGCTGGGAGGGGTACATGCAGGGACGACGCGCCGCACACAACTGACACAACACACATAGGATAAATACTGTCATAGGATTGTTTAAAGAAATGTTGAGTCGACGTTTACTTCAAACGAAATTGAGGAGGGGGGCTGTGACGTCACACACACCCCATGTGTTGAAAGTCTTTAGTCACTCGATAAAATATTAATTCTTAATAATATATGTTGAACACTCGACTCGCGAAGACTTGTAACGTGGCTGTCATTTTTTTCTACTAAATTCGGTAGAAATTGTTAATAAAATTTGTATATTGTATACAACTTAAGAAAATAACTCGTCGAGATCCACAAGACTGAAGATATAATAAGAGGAGGAGCGACCCGACGGAGACACGACGATACTTAAATATGTACTTAAAATAAATTATTTATATGTTAAATTATATCAGATGATGTCATATCATAACATAGTGTACATACATAGACTAATATATAACGTAGAGGTAAACACGCCGACCACCGCAGCACGATGTATGGAACTATTACAAGTTAATATATAAAGAAATGTCTCGGAATTGATGAAGCGACTGTAAATAATAAAATATTTTTATATTCTATAATATATATGTAACGAACATCTTGCCATTCTTTAAGTAGTTATGATCGGATGCACAATTATAATATATAAGGTGGAATAAGTGAATCACTGAACTAGTTGTAATGTATGAGAGGGGGAGCGGGTGAAATGTAACACGTCAGTCAGCGGGAGGTCACTGACCTGTGGATGTTTTTCTTTGCCAATATTAACAGTAATTTATAATACATACGACTAACACTAACTTAACGCCGTTTAATAGTAATGTTATGTAAGAGCACTTGTATTATATGTATTTGAGTATTTATTCTGATGTCTTTGAACATCCGTCGTAGAGAACCCTTCAACGAGCAAAATATTCTCATTTATACCTTTTAACAAGTCTTAATCGTCAAACGGAATACGGAACGTTTAGAGTTCTTACTACTTGAAGCTAAGTACGAGCGTTGAGAATGAAACGCAATCTCCGTACTAAGTTTGACGATGCACTTGTCGTAAGGATACTAATAGCCTTATCAAACATCCCTGGCTACCAGGGAGGGCTATAATACATTCCAACTCTAAGAGCTTACTAGTAGTTATTCTATGTTTTAAATTTCCAATTATACGATACGAGAATGTTTATGAAACAAAGACATGTACGACTCGGCGCACCTCACACTGAGCCTTAACTTAATGAAGCTCTGAAGGTATCCACGATACATAGAGAAGCAACAGAGTCTGTAGACTGTAGCGAGTTAGTGAATGACAATAAAAGTCTCGAAAAATTTAAACGCTTTTTATTTATAACACCCAAAGAAAGTTCCTTAGACGTTTCTAGGCGTGACTGCACGACTGCAGCCTCACCAGCGCCCTCTTCTCCGCCATCACCATCTTGTCCAACGAGTCCTGCATCTCGGGCCAGGGTTCATAACGCTGGTTTATAGTGAGGATCTTGTGGACCGAGGGGTTGCGGAGATCCATCGTCCGGGAGATGTTATCGCGACTGTGGCTGGAAAATACGACGTCCACCTTGGAAACAAAAATAATACAGTTATTACAACTTTCTTGACCGGCCCAAGTAGTACGATACAAACAAATTATACGATTAACATGTAACATGAACCAAAAAGTATTAAGCTGCCAAATTATAGGCATGGAAAAGCTTTAACGCGTGACATCAAGTATAAACAATAATTGCCTTATTTTTGACAGCCCACGCTATAGAGAGCACCATCATGACCAGACTGGCGGTCGTCACCAGGAACAGCGGGATGACCTCCCAGTAGTTCCTCATCACGTGCACGAACTGAAACTTCTTCGGCGTGGGCATGTCGTACTGAGTCGGCGGAATCAGTTCATAATGCCTCCTGCTCATAGGATAGTTGACGCGGATCTTAGGAGCGAGCAATAAACCCACTCGTGAATTAATAGGCCTAAATAGTTTAGAAAGCATTTTTGTAAATTACCGGAAAAAAAAATTTGGATATTAATTTTAGACAGGTATTGAACGAACGACAGTTATATAATATTTTTTTTTAATTATATTCGGTTTACGTAGTACACAAAAGGTTTTACGTAAATTTAGTATTTTTCGGTAGAGAAATATTAAAATTATATTTATTAAAGTAACGACGAAAGTTTTCGGATTTGGAAGCAAAATATTGTTAAGTTGGAAGTCTTATTAAAGATAATAACGAGTTTTGTGCCATATTATGTGTAATATTATATAGAAATATGAAATGACTATTACAATGTTACAGAAATATTTCACACGTCATTTTTATACGTAACACCACAGAAACCTGTAGGCAAAAACTATTCTCAAAAGCATCTCTCCACGTTCAATAATCTCGTGTAGAAGATTGTTTGAATCTACATCCAGTCTTTAAATTCATACCTATCGTAGTGTAATATCATTGAATCAGTAATTTTTTATAATTCAAATAATATTTTGTTTCTGGCCATACATACTCCTTTGTATTCTTGTTAACAAATGTCATGTTGTGAATGAAAATTAAAAGTCAAAGGATATAATATAATAACAAAATTAAATTAAATCTGAGAACATTTTTTGAAAATAACTTTTAATTGACGGAATCAAATGTGAAAATTATTAAGTATGGTTCATTTTATGTACGATTATAAGTCTCTAAGCGGTACGGATCTGGAATATATTGAGATGACGCCAGATTTATAAATAGTTTGTTAGAATAATTAGCTTCCATTGCATAGATTGTCTCGGAATTGTTTCGATGTGAGGTGATGACAATTCGGACCCAACATCGTCGCATCTCACCTCGAACTAAGCGTCGATATCGGGCCATTAAAAACTTCTTTCGCAAGGCTATAGGTGAGTATACAGAAATAAAAACATAAACAAATCTCTGCAATAGTGTCATTTCCCTTTTTCTTCTTCAGGTACCCCGTCTCAGGCAAACACTTCCAATATCTCCGTGAGGGTGTCTGAGTTACAGAACACGATCATTGGATTAGAAGAACAACTACACAAAGTCAGTAAACACTGTCGAGATTTTTCATGTCTAGAGCAGAATATTAGGAAAAAGTCACTAAATCAATCAGTTTGTCAATGTTTACAAAATGAGAGCATCGATCATCCTGTAACATCTGATGGAAACATAAGTCACGTGGAGACTCAGCTTATTTATAAGTCATCAGATCGAAAGTATCATAGAACAGATGAGAGCAACACACTCAACACTCAGAGCCAAGATGATAAACACACGATGTCGTCTTATAATCAGGGTCAAGCCCTGAAACCAATTGATACAAATAAAAAGGATGATACAAATACTTTTATAGAACATAACCGGAGACACCGTGAAAAGCGAAAACCACCAACATCCATTTATTCTACTAGTAGTTTTCATTCTTTGATTGAGCCCAAGAATAAACACTATCATAGGGCAGGCTGTTTAGATAATTACAAAGCGAAAGCTCCTCCCATTGACCCCTTAACTGTTAGGGAATGCAAAAGGGATAAAAATAAAAAAAATTCAAAACTCCAAAATAAAACACGCGGAAGCCAAGAAAAAGATCATAAAAGCAAACGAGAACATGTTCATCTGGACCAGGACTTCATAACAGACATCATAAACAAACAATACAGGCCTGTTAAGTTATTTGGAAGACGGGACTCCGATTTTAGTCAATTTTCAGCACCTTTATGTCGCGATCAAGAGTTTAAAGTTCACGATTACATACAAGAGGACTGCGAGCTGTGCTCCTGCTGCTTTGAAGGACACAAACCAAGGCGACGCTGCCTCCGCGACACTGACTTTAGCGATGCGAAAAGCATATGTGACACACGACTCTACAGTTCCAAAAGAAATAGACGTTATAAATACATGAGGGGATGCGTAGAGGACTACAACAACGCGACTTACTATGACGTTATCCCCGTTAAAGAGAAACCAAGTCCGAAACCTCGAAGGAAAGTTGCTCGAGATCCTATTGCGCCATATGCATATAGTAAAGAAGTTCCACCGTCACCGAGAAGTCATAAGCCACGTCTGAACTTAAAAGCACAATATCACTCAGGAAATCTTGAAACTTATGATTATGAAAACCGGCATAGTCGCAGAAACTCCCCCACTCCTTCACATCGTCGAGAGATGAGAAATGTCTATGAGACGGATGTTTCATCAGAATGTTGTCGACTTAAACGATCGAAGGAATATATGAGAAGTCCCAAACTACTGAAGCCGCAAGGAATACAAGAAGACGTTGGAACAATGAGTAGCTTACAATATAACAATTTCGTTAATGACCAAAATACGTCCTGCAACGACACAACGGTAAATACTCAAGTTACAAATTCTGCATCAGACAAAACTGACAAAGCGTTGAGTGAAATTAAAGATATACTTCAAAACTTTCTGCTAGAAATAAAGAAAGAATCAGCTCATGTTAGGAATTCAGATGTTTCCAATAAAGTTGACGAAAGTTTCAACCGTCCCGACGACAATCACAAAATAAACTCTACTGATCCAAACAGCGGGCACAGTTTCAATAACTACAACACGGGACAATGTACTGTTCCGCCCTTTGTACCCGCTTTTACAAATCCATGTTGCTATCAAATGATGCCTCTCTGTCCTATGAACTGCTTACAAAACGGATACGTTCTGCCCAACCCTAGTTTCACATGCAATGTGTGTTCTAAAAACTCAAAACCAACTTGTAGTGAGAAAGACATTGGTAATAGACAAAACAAGTCGGAGGGCGTTACCTCAAGTTCTGAGACCCAACAACTTATTAAGGAGATATACAAGTATGTTTCACAAAACACGAAATCACCTCGCAATACAGAGCACTCCAATGACAGAAGTAATTCAAAAGCTGATTGTCAAACATTTGAAAAGAAAATCTTAACATCTAGAAGTGTGGGTGGAAGATCTGTAGCCTCCCATCACGACGCTAACGTAGGAACTCCTAACCTTAAGTGCTATTCTAAAAGTTGCGAAGCGATTGGATGTAAAATGAATTCAGATTCATACAATACTACTTCAGCGAGCTATTCAGATACAATATTAGAAAAACTAAGCTTAGAAGAATCCGATTCTTCCTCGGAGTCAGATGAAAGTAGCGATATTCCGAGGCGCAAGGTAAATGTTCACAAAATCTTCTGAGTCCACTCACATTAGGTTTTATCTTCATATGACGGCATATTCAATGCTGAAGATTTCTGTACGGCTTGACTTAAACAGATCTAGCAAAGCCCCATAAATAGCTGAGATGGAGAGATATTACAGTTATTAAACTTTTTTTCAATTACATATTTACTATCACCTCAGGGAAACTCAAATAAAAGAATCTTTTTAATATTATATTATATATTACGAGTTGAAATATTAATGCTTGTTATTGTAATAATACTTTTATTTGATTTCACAGGGTAAAAAAAGTAAACTTAGAAAAGTTTTTCAATCGTTCAAACTATTTAAGAAAAAACACAAAAAGGATATAATCCAAGAGGAAAGTGAAACTGAAAGTAAGGAGGAAGAGGAAACCAAGCCACGGTCTCCTTACAGGCAGCACATCACTAATTACGCGATGCACGGCCAAGAGTTTTTCCATCCGCCTCCTATGCCACAGCAACATTGCTGTTCGCCTCATCTTCACGAAGTTCCTTGCGCAGAAAGATTCGACCCTACGTGTAACCCATACATGCATCCTTCCGACATTTATAATCATCAAAGACACCACCATACGATTCCGCCCTGTTACCCTCAATATCCTACACCACAACAACCCAAATGTGGCTCTCATTGTAATTACGCACCTCAATCACAACCGCAAGTGCCGTTATGTCTTAAAGAAGTCGAAGTTAAAAGTATTGGAACCCAAAGTTTCAAAAGAATATCTTTCTTAGAGAAGCTCACGGCCAAGACTCAACCACCACCACAATTAACGCCTCAACCGATTATAGCCCCACAGAAAGAGAAACCTAACTTCTGGAAAACTTTGCAAGAGAAAGCAAAACAAAACAATCCCGATCCTATGGAGTTCTCTCTGAAAACTCAGAAACAACTTGCTCAAGGAGACTATAAACTGCGTAACGCGATGCTCAAAAAATTGTTTTACAAAAGAAATCCCTTTTCACCAAGAAATTTAATAATAAAAACAATACTTGGCAAAGATAAATCTAGTTTTGGAGATCCGCCGAAAATGTATCGTCCAAGAATGTTCCTGTGAATTCTACAACTTAGTTTATAGAGTTAAAATTATAAATCCCATATTTGTTCTGTATTAACTTAATTGATTGTGAAACTGTCGTATTTTATAATATAATTTTTGAAAATGAATGTTGTCGGCGTTTTATTATATTCATTAAAACTAATTAATATTTGAACCAAAAATAACTAAAAGCAATGTATATATTACAATTGAGGATCGGATAAAGAAATCTTAATATTGTTGCATTAGGTAAAACCGTGTGCGAAGAAGTACAATTAAAATCTGGGTTGACATCAAATGGAGCAGTGGTGTATGGTACATATTATAATCGTTGACAATTGTTACATCTTATACGGACTTTTTACTGATTCTTTTTATTATTCTCTAAATAAATTATATGACAGAATGAAAAAAACCTACAGTCATTTTTGAAAATGTAGGACACGTTGGGCCTTATTTCGGAGAAAATATACTTTTTGAAAACTAAACGAAATTGTACGTTATTCATTAATTATCAAAATATACATTTTAAACAGTAAGTAGTTAATTTTTACTGAGATCACCGACATCATCTATGCAAATTTTCTGTCATGTCTAGAGAGAAAGCCTCCATATCTCCAGCTATCTTACTATTTGCAAGTTAGTAAGATATTGTAGCGGTTACTATAAAATATTTTCCATTCCCCAAAGACTCGTGGACTTTATATCTATTTATTGTAGGGAATTCTTCAAATAAAGAATATTGATTATATTGCACCTTAAATTTGTTTTTAGACAAATATGGAAGATTGTACTGCAACAAAGCCTTATAAGCAGCGTTTTAAAGGAGTTGAAAATTTTTTGCGGAGAATAGCATTTAATTTGGGTAAAATTCATAAATATTAAATTGATTTCTTTATTGTAGTATTATGTCGATATATATATTATATAGATATTGACTAGTAATATGTCGATAATGTTACAGGCAATACTCCATCTCAGACTGAAGTAAAAGTGATATCGTGTATTCCAATAGATGTTACAGATTTACAAGAAAAGATTATTAGTTTAGAGAGACAGCTTCACGAGGCTAAAAAACAAATCCAGGAGGATGAACCAGTACCCGAGTCTGAAACCGATAACGGAAATGAAATGGGTACGGATAAAAATGAGAAGAATTCTGATAACAAACAGATTAAGGGCGACAAACAAGGACCTTCCACAGTTGTAAATACTGCTTTTGTTAGTCAATCAAGTACAGTATCTTATCTCAACAAAAAACCAGCTGGCAAAATGATGCAACAAATTTTTGGATACTGCGAAGATCCAAGTTTGCGACAAGAAAATCCTATCGGCTGTTTAGAACCTGCACCAAACTCACAAGCTTGTGGAACTCAAGACAACCACAGTGAAGAAGTTGAAGATACAAACATAAATACAAAGAGTGATGCTTATAAGAAAATTTTTCAGCGCCGCAAAAAGAAACAAGTTTTGAGAAGCAACAGTAATGTCAAAACTCAGTTTATATATTACGCTCAGGGAAGTCCTGAAAATCCTTTTCATTTACAGGATAATATACTGATCAACAACGATAATATGGACCCAATAAATCAATTGAGTAAGTCATACTTAAACAGCGTTCTTCGCAGACAATATGATCCGAAATTTGCTTTAGAGGAATTCTCTGATACCAGTCAGTTTTCAAAACCCTTCTGCAGAGATGTGAAAGTAAAAAATAAACTAAATCATCCATATCTCTACGAATCAGATGAGTGCTCGTGCTGTCGGGGAAAATTTCAAAATTTAGACAAATTTATAACAAATTATTTGACTTTTGACGCTCTAAATACGAGTCCATTTAATCAAAGTCATAACGACAAAACTTATTATGATTCCAATTTTTATGACGTAGTACCAGTAAAGGACGATGGTAATATAAATAAAAAAACCGATGTATTACATAAAAAGGAATATAAAAGGCGTCCCGATACAAAATGTTGGCCGGAGAAACATCGCAATAAATGCAGATATCACCCTTTCATTGTCAAAAGTTACAAAGAGAATCTAGCGAAAGCGATAAGTCACAGAAGAGATGTTGACGAAGTCCGTGTGAAACGAGACCGAGCTAAGAAAAGAGAAAAACGCGCCAGTTGTCAATGTTCAAGAAATGGTTGTATTGAATGTAGTAATGTTTATACAAAACCGGAAAATACCAAAAATATTAAGATGCGAAAGTCTCAACCTGTAAGAAAAATTTTGCTAATAGACGAAAAAGTGGAAACCGATATAAATATATTACTGAAATGTAACAATCAAAGCACTCAGTCGAAAGTTCTGCCTCTTGAAGAAGACAGAACGGAATCAACACTGAATCAAATAAAAACGATACTGCAATCGGTTTTAGAAGAAGTCAAAACAAACAGCAACGTGAGCACTGTTCAGGAAATATCTAAAAAAGATGCTATCATTCAGAAGGAATCGTCTCAGAACAACTTGGATAACTCTGCTATTTTTAATGACTTCACTACCAAAAATTCTTGCAACGCTAATTTATACTTACCTTCGTGTTCACGGCAAATGTCTCAAAGTCCGTATTATTTCCCTAGCGTCCCCTATCAACAAACGAAATGTCTACAAAACTTCCCAGTTTTCATTCACCCAGCGTCGAGAAAACCTATGTGCGGTTGTTACTACAGACAGAGCTCACACAAAACGTCTCATCACAAGCAAGCCATTACAACTACAGCTACAAACACCGAGAAGAAAAATACTCCAAAATCATGTAGTAACGAAACTGAAAAACTCATTAAGGAAATTTATAAGTCTGTGACTTTGAACATGGACTATCCAATAAAAGAAAATTCGATAAGTGACTACGAAGATCTCAAACCGATCACAGTTGATTCACTTCAAGAACGTATCGAAGAAAAGAATACCAACAAAGAAGATGCCCCGCCTCGACGAGATATGGAAGTGGAAGCGCTGCTATCACCACTGATATCAAACACAAATGAGAGGAAATATGTATACACGGCAACAAGTACGCAGTTCCAAAATGAAAGAATCGGCAGCAACTTGAGTGTAAGTTACACAACGGCGAGACATGACAACCGTAACGGTACGGACGATCACGGAGCTATGAAGCAAAGCCACGCCACCCTCGACTACGAGGAAGATGAAAGTGATGAGTACAGCGATGACACAGAGACTGATGAGACTATAGTTCCCAGTGGGAACAAACAGGTGAGGTTTAAGTTAGCTCATTTAATGTTTCAAAAGTATATTTCTATAAATTTGATAGATCTAATGAAATTTAAAAGACACATATTTGGTTTACTTTCCAAATAATAATGGTAATATTATTATTTGGAATGTAAACCAAATATTTGCTATTTTCATACAAAATATAGTTTTAACATAATGAGATCTAAGATTTTCACGAGTATTCATTTAAATGAAACTAATATTTTCATCCAGTCCATGAGCTGTAAAGTAACGGAAATGTAGAGAGCATGTAGTTTATAGTCAAAAATAAAAATCGCGTAGTAAATCCGAAAATATTAGTTTCATTTGAAATATACTTTAAACCAATACTATTTTTGGCAGAACAAATCGGAGAAAAGGGGCTTCATACAGAGAATGTTTAATTCTGTCAAATTATTCAAAAAACGAAAAAATGCTCAAACAAACGTCAGTCAAGTAGAGGTTACAGGAAACAGCGATTCTGACGAAACACAAACAGTGTGCAGCGTCAGAACTAAAGGTAGGAAGAGGAACATGGTTCAAATGACGAGAGAACAGTACTCCAAACACGGGGGACCGATAGGCCAGAAATATAGTCGACGCCGAGCGCCGTACTTGGAACAAGAGTATAGAAGACAGTGGAATGAAGATCTCATGTTCTACGAGCCACCTGAACGATACCCAGCCGCCGAACACTACTCCAAGCCCTTCGCCTCGCAAGCACGTCCGAGCCCGGTGTTTTGGAGAAATTATGAAGCTAGAACAGCTCTCGTCGATCATGATATACAAAATGTCAATCAGAAGATTGAGCAAGGGACGTCCTCGCCGACCTGCCAGGAGAGGGAAGACGACAAGACAAGCAAACTGGACTGGATCAAACGACACAAGCTCGGCCTGCGCTGCGGAGAACAGTGGAAGAAGTTCATCCTGGAAAATTAATACTGAATACTGAATCATTTGTACGTTAATTGAAAATTGTTTTGCGTTAGGAAGTTTAGTGAGTTGTTGTGAAATAAAATTCAAGTGATACTTTGATGGTTATTTTTTATTTTAAATAAATAAGTGTACAGGAGGTGCGCTTAACATATTTTTAAAGAGTCTTGATCTCTCTTTCCTTTTGCTTGACTTGCAAATGTTTTACGTCGTCGATCACAAACCTGAAACAAAAAAGACTGTTAGAAGAACGTGTATTAGTAGACAGGTCAAACTTCGAACTTATTATTATTATTATATTTAGAAACAATATAAAAAAGGATTAGAGAAAACTACGTGAAGTGACACCAAGTGGAACCTGAGTCGCATGGAAATTATTACACTAGGATAATATGGTGTGAGGAGGGGAGATGATACAAGAGAATACAGGTGCCTGTACAAATTAATATATAATAATATTAATTATTGATATAAATGTAGCAAGGCTAAGTAGTGAACGGAAGAAATATATCTTATATATATTTAAATGAGCAATTCTTGTGTATATATACATATTTATTGGAATCTCGGAATCCGCTCCAACGATTTTCATAAAATTTAGTATGCTGGAGATTTCGGGGGCGATAAATTGATCTAGCTAGGAATCATTTTTAGAAAATGTAATCTTATTTTATCATTTTTAGAAAATGTAAATTTAATAAAAAAAATACAAAAGGAGTCGTTTAAAATATGACTCTTCCTGACATCTGTTGGCGAATAGTAATACTACTTTTTGCTATTTGCTTTTACTAATTGCTTTAACGACACAACAGCAGATGGCGTTGTTAAGTACCAGGAAGTCAATGAGTGTTTGTTTTTTCTAGGACACGAGCAAAGCTCGGTAACCAGATATTAAATAGAAAAAAACATTAAGAAGAGTTAAGAATATAATATATGAACAGGTGAGCGTTGTATGGACATGACGCGACAGGGTGAGAAACATAAAACAGGGGAGGGAATTACAGCAGGAGATGAAGCAGCTTTAAGAGTGATTATGAACTGCATCAGAGATATGATAAGTATTAAGGGACTTTATTCACTGAATTCACGACTGTAAAGGAAATACGTACACAGAACCTAAGTATATACTATTATGAGCATAAAAGTACCAACTTGTAGAACAGTAGCGGCAGCGGCGCCGTGGTGAGATGCCACAGGGCGTGTGTGTCCCAGCCGAGGAGAGGAGGTCCATCGACCAGCTCCAGAGTGAGAGCAGACCCTGACCACACGCAGAACAGAAGCAGCCTCCAGGGGTAACTGAGACCACGACGGTATTGATACCAGCACCACCCTGACCACAGCAGGCCGGCAGACACACCTATACAATCAAAGCTTGAGAACCCCTGAACTAAAGGTTCAATGACCATCAAAGATCGATATTAAGAGTACACGAATGAAAGAACTACCGTCCTAATTCACCATCCAATACTCTTTTCTTACTCCAAATCATGGTTTTATGATAATACGTAGAACGTCACAGCATTCTTTCCGCTGTTTATCATAAACCTACTATCACTGACTACATGTAAACAATTGAAATACACAGAATAATAGAAGACGCTGAACTCACCAAAGAATACGTTAACTTTCATGTTGTAGTCGTAGTCGAAGTGTCCCTCGTGAAGATAGACCACGTGAGCGACGTAGTAGGACACTAGAGGCAGCACCAGGACTACCCTCAGCAGCCGGTGCTCGTGTAGTAATCTAGATGTTTCGATTGTATTTAACATTTGCCACGAATAATTTACATTATCGTCACAAAATATTTGTCATTCAAAATGTATCAAAAATGTTGGTTAACACTTAAATAATTGCCGTAAATATTGTTGCAAAGATTTTTTACATTGTAGATATTATAACAATGATTACTTTTTCACTTATCTATTTCCTTTAGCCCCATTGGCGTAGACAGCGTCACATTACTTTTGGACAGCATTTCATTGAATTCTTTCCCCTACTGGGTTAATCGCTTTTTTTCTTATGAACAGTTTGTAGACGGCTAGATTTATTAGTTTTATTATAGGTACCAATCAATAGCTCCGAACATAAAAAGTGTATTTGGTTTATATAACTAGTGTATGTATTACAAAGACTTGATACAGTTCTTTTTATCAGGCCACAAAACTTTTATATACCTAAATATTTTATAGTATGTTGGCGCCAAAATAAATGACAGATTCCAAATTCAAAATTATTTTCTTTAATATTTCTAATTGTTACAATATTTACGGCCATACTAATGTGCTAGCATATCTAACAGAGTTTTTAGCTATTGAGACCTGTAAATAAATAGTATATAATTATATACATACCTTACAACGGCTGATATAAACAGCATCATGACCATGGCCAGTGCGAGGGAGTAGTCCATGAACTCTGTAAGCAGCGTGTCTCTCGCATGGAATATCATCGACCATACCCATGCCACCTCACACACCTGTATAAACACACAGTTAGTCACTAACAAAATTATTTTAACCCAATATATATTATACATATGGTTTTTAATGTCTTAATTAAATGGTTATTGTGCAAAATTGGAGTATTTACAGTTAATATAAAACAAAGTGTTTGATTGCTAATAAGAAACTAAAAAAAACATTGGTACATAATTGAAAAAATCTTTCTGAATTCCTATATGAAGTTTTTGGAAACTAAAAAATATATTTTATTTGTTATTGTTCAACATTTTTCAAATGGTTACACTAAAGGTGTGAATAGTATTTACTCACCATGATGAAAATATGCCAGAACGGCACCATAGGAGCCTCTGAAACTCTAAATCTCATCCAGATTTCTTTATGCATGTACATGGTACTCGCCAAGTTAAGGAATGATGCAAAAACAGATGTTGGCTCTTGTAGACACATGATACGCTTGAACGGCCACTGTGATATTAAACATCATTAGATTATAGAACTTTAGTTGTAAAAGAAGTTACTTGAGAGTTTTTTTCAATCAAATACAACTTAAAATAATAATAAAATTACATACAATTGAAATTTGAGGATGGACTATTTCAATTATAATAAGAAATATTGTTTATAACTCTCCTTCTTTAAATTTGAACATGGAAGTAAACAATTAACTATGTTTAGTGTGCTAAGGAACTACATAACTTACTTTTCCATGAAACTTGGGCAAGTTGTACCCATTCTCATTAAACACATTAACCATGCGCCACATACAGTGATAGCGGCACTCATCATGACAGTCCCACATTGTCAGCTTACAAGAAGTATCACGGAGGGCTGCCGCTTCTTCAGTGAAATCTGCATCTATATAGAAAAAATATTTTTTCATAAAATATTTATTACTTGCAACCTTAACCATTTATTTCTTTAATATCTAACAAACTTATTAAAGTAAAGTTTAATATTTTTTATTATTCAAAAAATATTTATAGAGCAAAATACTGTAATCTCATAAATTGATAATTAATTCTATAACGTATTTAGATAAATTACCTGATGTACAATTTAATTTTTTACATTTTTTTAAGCAATTTTGATAGAAGGGCGACCTATCACCCTGGCTTGCATATATTGAAGGTATAAGGCAAATTATAAAAAAATATAAATAATATATTTTATTGTCCATTTTTTTTCTCAGTCAATAAACAACGTAAAGGCGAGTCGTATACTACAGGTCGACAAAACTATTATGCGATCTGAGTTATTGTTTATGACTATTAATTCATTATTTAATTCTTAAATAATCATTAAAATATTTCAAATCACTTTTCACTTTTTCTATAACTTGACAGCCGGTCCATCCACTAGACATATCAAAGTGTAAAGTGACACTTTTATCTGCATATCCCATTTTACGCTATATAGGTATAATGGAATAGTTTAAAATAAAGACAATTGTTAACTAAATGTTATAAAACCTTGAAGTAGATATTAAATCAATACAATTCATGGAATCAGAAAATTCATTTACTGAGAAGCCAACATCGTTTATAATTAAATAATCCACGACAGTTAAACGTATTTACTAATTTGGTTTTTATCGAGCCAAAAAAAAACAAACATACCTAATACTAATTGTAATCACTTATAAACACAAAAAAAAAAACTTGTAAATATATAGATATAAATCCTTATCTAAAAGCTAATGCCACAACAATTACACCTAAACTAATGTATACTATAATAAATATTGGAATCCCTAATTATTGCTATCTGAATGTAATTCTATTCTCTATCAGCAATAATAGATATAACTCTGAACAACAGTTCCTACCAATTATTCCCAATTTTATTCAGGTACTTTTAAACCTTCACATGAATGCGGTCTATTTTACGGTCAGAGATTTTAACAAATCAAAACAGAACACGCAATTTTATTTTCAGTTCTGTTAAAAATATGGTATAATTAGAAATTGAGAACTTAATCCTACTTCTAAATTTAATAATTTTAAAAGTTTTTTTTTTTCATTTATATTTATAAAATTAATTAATAATTGCTCTATGAAGACAAGCGGCTCATTATCTTGTCTTTATGAATATGACTGACAGACTGACTTTATGAATATCTACAATATAAATTAAGTATAAATCCACCTTGCATATTGCAGTTTTCCAAACATTTGGTTGTACATTTAAAGTAAAAATCTATATATACTTTTATTAACCAAATCCATGGCGGAAAATAAGTCGGAAAAGTATGACATTAAATTTATAGTCTCTTTAAAGATAAAAGATCTTGCAAAAAAAAAGATATCTGATGAAATTAGAATAATTGAGACTAGATACACTTTAGCAGTGATGAACCTGGGGTTCAAGCGTAAACTATATACTTATGTAAACTTTTCACAAAAAAAGAGATCTACCCGACTGAGTGTTCCCTTCGATAGAGTATGAAGATAGCTTCTATTAAATAGCTTTGCAAAATCTACATTTAAACTAACTCTTAAATCTCCGTTGCTCTTATGATGCAGCCTATTTATTTTTCATACGATTTTATGTTTTTTTGCAATTTCAAAATTTTAATTAAAAGACGAAATTCATTTAAAAATACCTGAACACAACATATCGTTAAGAATTTACTTATGTTACCGAACGTCATATGTATTTATTTTGACAAATTATTTTGTCATTTTTGAGGTTATGTTATTAAACCTTAAAATAAAATTGTATTACTAAGTATTATAAATGAAGACTTAAGTTAAAGGAATATAAGTGTAACACAGTTTTAATGAAAATTATATACATAATTATTATGTTATAAAATGGTTTTCTTAACAAGAATATGTTACAAATTAAAAGAAATCAAACTGCCCCGAAAGTATCTTCGTAGTAAGTTCATTGATTCTGTTCGGCTTCATGTAAAAGGTGGTACTGGGGGCACGGGTCTCCCAAAGTACGGAGGACTCGGCGGTCAAGGTGGTTGTGTTTACTGCCAAGGAAAGGAAGATGCCAATCTTCGAACAATTATGTCTCAATATCGAGCGAAAACAATTTGTGGAGGTCACGGCGAAGACAGTCGGAAAGCACAAATAGTGGGAAAACCCGGTGAAGATATCAAGTTAGAAGTTCCTTTAGGTGTAACAGTTTATGGAGAAAACGGTAAAGTTCTAGGTTCCATTGATAAAGAAGACGAAACCCTCATAGTGGCGCGCGGTGGTCCCGGAGGTAATAAAGAAAATAACTTCTTAGGTCATTTCGGTCAAAACCATCACATTCGCCTAGACTTAAAACTAATCGCTGATATTGGGCTTGTGGGTTTTCCTAATGCTGGTAAGAGTTCACTATTAAAAGCTATATCCAGAGCGAAGCCGCGTATAGCCAATTACCCTTTCACGACTATCAAACCCAACAAAGCCATTATACAGTACAGTGACCTGAGACAAATTTCCATAGCTGATCTACCCGGACTTATTGAAGGAGCTCACGAGAACATTGGATTAGGTCATAAATTCCTAAAACACGTAGAGAGGACCAAACTGCTGCTCTTTATAGCTGACATACAAGGATTCCAGCTAAGTCCTAAATATCCAAGACGCTCCTGTATCGAGACCGTAGTGCTTCTCAACAAAGAATTGGAATTATATGATCCTGAATTACTTGACAAACCTGCTGTATTAGCCATAAACAAATTAGATATAGATGGAGCTGACGAAACATTCGATAGAATTAAGGATTCCTTAACAAATCTTAACAGTGTTATAAATACTTTACCAGATGAAATCAGACCTGAGAGAATTATAAAGTTTGAAGATGTCATCGGTATATCTGCTTTAAGGGGAAGTAATATAGAGGATCTTAAACAGTTGTTAAGAAAGAGGCTTGATGAATATGCTGAAGAAAATAATCCAGATATAGTGAAACCGAGCGAGTTACTAAATAAAAACAAATCACTCATACAAGAACGGGGTCCGCAAGTCACTTAAGGTTTATTGTACTGGAAAAAATGTATAAAATATATATGTAAATACATCAGTGTTATATTAGAAAATAAATAAAACAAGCATAAACCGTCTATATTTATTAAAACTTAATATAATATGTGAGTGAAGTGTAACACAAACATACATACATGTTAATATATATTCCTATCACAGTATATACATACAATCTAGAAGAAATAATGATTCAACACAACTCTCAGCTTACATTAAATATAACTTATAACTAATGCTTATATTCTAGTCATAAAGGTGGTATTTCACTTGACGTTGCGTATTCGCCACATTTGTCCAAATAGCACAAACACTACATACACACTTAGCATGCCAACACGTCTTAACGCGTTTTCGCTTATTTCTGTATGTGTCTTATTTGTGCAAACATGTCAAATGAAGACAAATAAATTCTCCACACATGGTCTTATTTGGCCGAACACAAAAAATAAACGCCAAGTGAAGTGCCCTCTTTATGCAATGCAACAAAGTTTGATCTCAGGTTTGGGTTTAAAAGATATTTAACCAATTACATCTCATGTAATTAATATATTTTAATATACACTACAAGAGGTTAAAATATCCTGAAACAATGTATTATCTTTAAAGCATTCATTATTTATATTCGTTCATTATTACTTAGACGACAATTTTAATAAAAAAAAGACTAGAAAAATTACTTAATTTTTAAGAATACATGATTTTGATGAAGTAACAATTATTCATAGGAATTTTATAAGTTATTTTATTGATTATTTTGTTTGTCAGATGTACACTCAAACTAGTGCTTTATGTAAATGGATGTTTAAACTTTTACGAAATCTTATTAGACAACAATCTACTCTTAACAATGTTTTTAGCCCAGGGAAAGTTGCATTATTTCACATAAAGATAAAATTCCCTCAATATCTCAAGCGGCTACGAGACGGACAGACAAACTATCACTAAATTCAAGTAGCAAGATAATTTTATAGAAAAATATATATTTGATATGGAAGGATTTAAATGTTAACTATAAATAAACTTACATCAAGTACCCAGTGAGAGACACAGGTGATATATTAGAATATCTTACTCTACTGATGTTACTATCCTGTGAGATGGAATATATCAAAGAGGGTAGCTTCATACTGTACACTTATTGCTATACTGTTATCTTGGAGCGACTGTGTTCAGTCGTCGTAGCCCTCCTCGGCCTCGGTGGCGGTTTCAGCCACGGGCAGGGCTCGCGGGGCGGGGGGCGGAGCGCTAGCGGCGGGCGGGAGGGGAGGGGAGCCCGCGGGGGCCGCCGCCTCACCTGGGGGACTCGGCGTGCGACGAGCCTCAATACTGTTACCCGTCGAGCCTGTTTTCACATAGGAACATTATAAACTAGTTTTCCACTAAACTTATTAAGGTCATTCTTCATAGCGATTCTTCAGTTAATAATGAGTCTGTACTGTAGTGAGTTGTGTATATCCAGTCACGTAACTTCGTAGTTCATACTATATAAAAAGTTTAATCGTGATCCGTCGGGCTCCGTATATTGTTCCATATCTGAACAACATTCCTGGCCAGGTTTATTAAGTCCGCTTACTATTTTTAGTGTGGCACATAAACATACATCAAGCCCAAGGCTATAATTAAATCATTGTATCATATATATACACACCGTCGTCAGAGCTCCTCCCGCCCCTGTCCCGCGAGGAGCGCGCCTCTCGCCCGTCCTTGGAGTGCCTCGTCTTCTTGGCAGCGGGATCGTCCCGCGCCTCCTCCACCTGGGACGGACACTCCAGGTGTACCAGGTGGAACACCTGCAACACATAAGTACTACAACACCTGCAATACACCACGCTTTTTATGTTAGAGGTGGCAAACGAGCAGACGTCTTACTTGGGAGCAATAAGTACTATCGCTTGTGGACACCCGTAACATCTCTGTTGTGAATGCGTTGTCGACCTAGGTTTTTAGGTGTAGAGAAGGTTGGGAACAAGGGAATGTCAGGAAAAGGTAGGAATAGGGGAAAGACACCGACTCTCTCACTCGTCTGACGAAGCGCAGCTATTAAAGACTACTTCACGCCGATATTCTGTGAAAGGGTGGCATTTCCTCGGTCGAGATAGCTCATGTTTGAGCTGTGTTTAGATAGCTACAGCTAGGCTCTACCACCTACTGAGATAGTCGTAGTACTAAGCTTTTGAGGATAGAAATCAAGCTCACCTCATTAACGGAATTATTAGTCCCCACGATACGTATGATAGACACCGGGCGGGGAGTGAAGTAGATTACCTGCCACGACCTGGAACGAGTTCATGTCACTGTTACTATGACACACAGGGAGGTGATACAGAGATACGTCTATATACAAACAGTTAGGTTTAAAGATCTTTATTCTCAACAAGAAAATACATAGTCACTTATTTGAGAACATTACTAACTTAAACATATAACTTTGTTAACATTCGTCACACCAGGTTTTATTTAATCTGTAGTGGTAAGTACAAAATCAATAAGAGAATAAAAGAAAAGGAAAACGCACCCACTGTATGCGTTAGTTGGTAAGATATTGCGAGTTGCGTTTTAAATGCGCTAAGTGAATGCGTCTTCCTTATACAAGAAGGTATTTTATTATAAAGCTGTGCTCCTTCAAATGTGATCATTTCTTTTCCATAATTAGTTCTGGTTTTTGGCAGAACTAAAAAGCTAACTCGTCAGTTGCTACGTTTACTATTGCGCTTGGTGAATGTTATATTAGTGTAAATATTTTTATTAAGTGACTTTTGAATAAAGATACAAACAGTTCAATAAATTAAAGGAAATAAATATACGCTATGTACCTGCAGGCGTCCCTGGTCCGGTCGGCGACCATGTCCCAGTGCCAGTAGTTGAGGGACACCTCCACGTAGTAGGAGTAGTGCCTGTAGTCGCAGTCCCACAGCAGCATGCGCAGCGAGGACAGCATGTAGGGCTGCGCCAGCTGCACCACGATGGCGCCCGAGCCCAGCTGGTGGCACGTGTAGCCCTGCTCCCAGTCGTAGTGCTCCGTGTCGCCGTTCAGCAGCGCGTTCCTCGACCGGCTTATACCCTCGATCACCACCGCCGACAGTTCTAAGGTGGCCACGTTGTGTACCGGCCGCACCAGGCCCTCGCACAGCGGCGGCACGACGCTCGTGTGCATCGCCTCCAGGGACACGGCGTGGAAAACTTTGTTGACGGTGTTGCTGGTCCCGACCACCTTGATGTACTGGACCACGCGCGGCTCGAAGTACAGGTTCTGCCAGGAGCGGCAGAAGTAGTTGCTGTGATCGATCACACGCACCCAGTCCTTCTGGTCCACGGACACCTCGATGTAGTAGGCGTATGACCTGAAACACATGTTATACTAGAATGATCTACGTGTTACATCCACAGATCCCCAAATCGAATGTTGTCTAACAGAAATCGCTACTTAGCGATAATACCGCCTTTTTGTACATTTCAATTTTTTTTCCGTATAAAATTTACTGTTTGTGGTGTACAATAAAGTATATTCTATTCTATTCTATAGATTCACGTTAACTGGAGCGGTGACAGGAAGCGGAACTGTTCTTGCAGCCATCCTTAACGAACGGGCTTGAGGGTCTCAAAGTACATCCAAGTTAACGGTGTCCCTAAGAATAGCTTACCTAATGAAATTTTTAATGAAAAAACCTTTACGATTTTTAGAAAGAAATTATTAACTTATTGTAAAAAGCACTTAACTACTCTTGAATTGTATAAGTCGTTACTACTATACTAAATTGTTATTTAAATTAAATTATGTAATACATCTCATTTATTTTATTTAGGTATTTTTATTTTTAGTTTATTGCAGAAAAAAAACAGCACAGGAATGAAATAAAAAATATAAACAATAACACAGTAAATTAAAAACAAATAATACCTAAGTCCTTAAACGTTTCTCATTAAGAAATATAGATAAATTAAAAAGAGAGGCCGCTTGGGCACGCTTCTCTAATAATACACTTGGTAAAAGCGATGTATACAAATAAAGTGTGTAAACTTAATTTAAGGATGTGAAGGGAGTGATGGTAATATTCAGCGCTTAAGCTAAACTAAACTCTTAAACAATTTTAATGAAAAACAGGACTGCGAGGTGGTTTATTTTTTTCAAATAATATGTTCCGCATTTTGTTATGAAACGCTGCTGAATTGTGACGTAAAATATCAACCGGAGAAAATTCGTAATTTAAGTGAACATTGTATGTTATTTATGAGGAAATAAAGTACTTTAACCACAAGAAGTCGTGACATAGTTTGAAATGTCTTCAAAAATACAAACAAAATATATAGCAAATCAGATAAGACTTCAATGTGGGATAGGCTGAAAAGTTCGGGTAGGAACTTCTTTGGCCAGGTACCTGTTTTATTTTATTTATTTATTTTGGAAATATCATCGGCATATTCACAAACCATATGTGGACAAAAAAAATATAAAAAAGAAAACTTGTTCAGTGTGATGCACCATTACAGGTATTTACATTTTACTACTTACATGATAACAAAGGTAACTAGAGGTAAGGTAAACACTAAAACATTTAAAAGAATCTGAATACAATAAGATAACGAACATTTAAATATCAATTACTAACTAAAACAGTATTTATTATACCTGTTATCTCGATCCCAGAGCAGCAGCCGTATGTGGTTGATGATGGTGGTGGTTGCGAGACGCACCACTATGCCAGGGTTGTCAGCGGCGTCAGAAATGTTATGTCGCGTGTACCCTCGCTCCATGTCGTAATTATCGGAGTTGCCGTCCAGGAGCGCGGATCGCATGTCACCGGAAATGACGCGAGCACCTCGCTTCGGAGTCGCCACGTTCTCTTCCGGTACTGATGATAAAAAATATCCAATCCAATAACGTGGTAAAAAATAAAGGTTCAGATCCAGGTGTGTCTGAAGTGTAATAAATATAGTCTGTATGGTATATTATAGAATTAAGTCTAATGTAAAGTCTTCTTTATAAAACATCTCATGTATACATCCAAATATGCTGGACCACCCATTGGCCCAAGCTTTCTTTATGCTATGTTAAAATCTTCTATTATTATTTAAATACTACTTAAAGCTACAAAGACGTTTCTTTAAACCCAGTAATTAACCACGTTAGATGTCAATTAATTTTAAAATATGTAGGTCAATGCAAGGTGTAGTAGTGTAAGACTAGTATATATAGTCATGAGGTGTCTTCTAACCCAGTAGTCCTCGGTGTCTCAAGTCCGTGGTCCTGGTGGTCGTCTTGTCGTGTATCGCGTCCAGCAGCATGTCCGGTGTCACCAGTGAGAAGGGCCTCACCACCCCCAGCAGCTCCTCAAGGCTCATCAGCGTCAGCCGGACGCACTTCAGAATCTTGTCCTGGGTTTTTTCATAACATTATAGGGCATTTGATTTAAGCTGAGCTTTACATTTGTGTGAGTACACATGGATAGTGTATTATTTTTGAATTTACAGTGTATTATTTTACAAATTATTGAATTTTACGTTCTTTCCTAGGTTTGAACCGGTTTATTATGCTTTTACTCTGCCCTGCACTTTCCGTACTTCAGCCTTTGTACTGGTAACAATATCAAATGTTAAAATCGTAATATCAAGTGAAGACGAATATGCATAGTTTTTTTCAAAAAATTTATTAATTAATCATTTTTTTTCCACCTGGCCTTTAACAAGTTTTGCTTATTCTAGTTTAATTCTAGAATAGCTCTTACACTTATGTTATGTATTTATTTAAAAAATTACTAAAATTTAATTCTAAAAGTTTTTTGTTTAACCTTACTTTTACTTTCACTCATACAAATGCAAAGCTCAGCTTAAGTCTAACGGATTATAATATAACTACACGTGTCTTCAAACACATAAATATATGTACATAATGACGTCATCAAATTGTTGTATGTTTATATTTATCTATTAAGAGAGACCGAGACCGAAGTGTTGGAGACAGGAAATGAACACCGTCACCCGCAACTCCCTTTTAATATTTAGAGTCGAAGACATTAATCGATATAGAGAAGAGAAATTATAAATTTACCCCAGAGTTACAGTCGAAAATGTGTCAGAGGGATCTCAAATGTGGCGAACACTACTGCATATAGCTTTCTTACAACAAAATCCTCAACTTGTAAGTCGCCACCTTATTGGGGTAGTTACTATATTGGATAAGATACACAAAATAAAGATATATATACAGGGTGACTGGTGAATTACTATCGATATTTGAGGACGTGATATTTGACGATCATATATGACAAAATAAAAATTAATATAACATAAATATTAATAAACTTCTAAGTAAAGTTAACCAAAAGTCATGTAATTAATTACGCATCGTGTGAACACCCTACAGATTAGGTATACACACACACACGTGCGGCGGCGTGGTGTTGTATCAGCACGCTGCCGCACGCGTCCACACTTGGAACACTTGGAACGTGACCACACTTTATTTATTTATACGGAAATTTGGTCAAAAATTAAGTACCTATTTTTTTTACATAATTCGTATGAGAATCATGTACCGAGTATTCTCCTTAAATATTGATAGTAATTCACCAGTCATCCTGTATAATATAATAATAAAATATCTGTCTTACCACAGGTGAAGTCCCGCTGTCAGATTTAACAAACGGTTGGTTAGCATTGAACCAGTTACAGACCGCCTTGAATATGTCTACCTCGGGCGCGAAGAACGAGTCGCGCTCGAGGAGACCTTGGAGAGCTTCCTGTATACACATTTATTTATTTATTTATTAAGGCAAACACAACAGGTCACAATCTAGAGAATATTTCTTAAACATTAATAGTATCGAACAGATTATAAACCTAAGGGTGCATGCACAACATGACGGGATTGCCAATTATTACAGTTAACAAATTCCAATACAGGAGATAACTATGTATTAGTACTAAACAATAACAACAGTAGGTATATCAAGAACATAATAAAATTAAGTTACATGGACCAAACAAAAATAAGACAAAAATAAAATATTAAAAGTGATATGCAATGAAGTTACACGAATTAAATTTACAAGAAGAAAATAAATAATTACAATATAAATGATGATTTGAAATATATATTATATGACAACAGTTGATGGACACTCACAACGGACAGCTGTAGGAAGGTGTCATGCTGAAGAACCTCCGCAGCATTCCGGTCCAGGAAGTTATAGCAGTAGTCCATCAGGGCGTTTAAACCATACAACCTGCAACAATCATATATCTTCTTCTTCTACCTGGCAATTTCCCAGCTATAGCCAGGGTCGGCCTTACATGTTTGTGAATAGTTTTGGCTATTTGTTTTTACGACCGGCCGCCTTCCTGACATCAACCCTCTTTTGGGAATCAGCATAAATCAGTGATGTCTAAATACTCTTAGAAAGTACATATGACTCGGAAAAATCACATTTCACTGACAGACGGTGAAGGAAAACATTGTGAGGAAACCTGAACTTATAACTTCCAATTATAAATTTGAAATTGTCACCCATCTCAAGCAAGCGTGGTGATTTATGTTCAAACCTTCTCCATGTGAGAAGAGGCCTTTGCAGACAGTGGGCTCTTATAGGCTGATGATGATAATAGTTTCAAATATATGTTACCTATTAAATTATTCAAATATATATGGGAAAAAATTCATATATTAATTTAATAAGTACCTAGCAGCATCAAGCACTGCACAGACATTCCTGAGAGCCAGCACCTGCCGCAGATAATCACTGATGGCAGCCTCCAGCTCCTGGAAGTTAAACTGATGAGCCAGACCCAGCATGTCCAACACTGTGTCCTCACGCAGCACAGACAGACCCATGTGACCTGGAATATACACAAGTCATACAACTATTTCCAGGATGTAAAGTAGCCTGTGTTATTCCTGGACGTCAGCTTCCTGTATTCAAAATTTTATCAAAATCGGTTCAGCCGTTTGAGCGTGAAGAAGTAACAAACATACACACACATTCACAAACTTTCGCAATTATAATATTAGTAGGATTATCTTCTTCCAAGGCCTTTTTCACAATTATTTGGGGGTCGGCCCTTCCTTGGAGTGAGTTTCCATAAAGAGTGATTTGTGGCAAGATCATATTATGATAGAAGATATCTCACAATGTATTAGTAATATGCTGACTCCAATTAATCTGAAGCATGAACGCAAACAGATATTTTGAATAATATTTCATTTGTATATTGATGTATGCATGTTGTGTAACTCACCAGAGTAGATATATCTTAATAAGGCCTTGAAGGCATGGATGGGCGCCTGTAGGACCACCTCCGCCTGGAAATAAATTTCATTGTAATATATAACTCAGTTGTAAAATTAATCCATCAAGCAGAATGATATCTTACAAGTATATATCTACAAGCTCTACCTATGTTGACCTTTAATTAACAATTGATAAAAAAATTAATTACATGGATTTAAAATATACAGATATTTTAAAATGTATCCACTTACATAAGATCATGTAGATTTTATTAAATATTTTTTGATTTTTTTTTTACTGACAAACCTTTTAAATTGTGCCACATACATATATTAAAATTTAAAACCCTGATCAATTCTTTCGAAATTATTTCCAACGAAATTCAATTAACTAATTGCAACCAAAACACTTTTTTTTTAAATAAATCCTTTGTCTTACATCCAATCCAATGTCAATTATTCAAAGCAATGTTCAATAAGGTCAATACCTCATTGGCTTCCTTCATTCCTCCATAGAGAAGTGCTCGGAAGTAGTCACTACTAGCTGCTAGTATGACTTTGTGTGCGGGGATCCTGTGACCCTCTACTATTAGAGTCACATCAGAGTACTCGGATGAAAGACAGAGAGAGCCAATGTGCTCGGACAGGTGACCTACACAATCAACCTCCACTATAATATGTTTTTAAACACTAGAAACCATATCAGTTTTATTATCTTATTTCTTTTCTGTTATTATACAATTTATATTGTTTGTGGTCCCATTATATTGAATATTAAGTTTATTGATTTATTTATTAGCAACATTTGATATAAGAGATGAAAATCTTTATCCTATGATTAATGTGTATACCCTCACTGGTATAGTGCGTTTGATTTAAGCTGAGCTTTGCATTTGTGTGAGTGCATGCGGATAGTGTAGGTGACATCTGACAATTTTTGAATGAAACATTCTTTTCTAGTTTTAAACCGATTTGTACTGCTTTTAATTCAACCCGCACCTTCCTCAGTTCACCTTTTGTACTGGTAGCAATCTCAAATGTTAAAAATGCAATGTCAACTGTATAAGAATTTGTAGTTTTTTCAAAATTCTTATTAATCAATAATTTTTTTTCCTCAACATTCAAAATATTTCCATCTGGACTTTTACAAGTTTTGCTTGTTTTATAGCACTTATGTTATGTATCTATTTAAATATAATAAAATTGAATTCTAAAAGTTTTTTGTCTAACTCTACTTTTACTTTCACTCACACAAATGCAAAGCTCAGCTTAAGTCTAGCAGACTATAGACATTTATGTTATCCTATATAGCAGTGATATAACAAATGGCACTATTTTTAAGTATTAATATATTATTGGGCAACTTGTATGTGTAAATTTATACAATAATGTGGTAAAACTCTTAAAGGTATGAACTATTTAATCAAAGCTGAGTACATACTGATGTGCTCTATGTCTCCGACCCGTGAGCTCGTGGGATTGTTGACCGGCATGTACTGGTGTTGGCTGCTCATATTGCTCATCTACATTACACTTCTACAAACAAAAAAAAATATCTCATATAAAAATCAGATAGATCCTACTGAGCACTTATTTTTATCATTACATCTGTCTGCCCGTGATCACAGTTGCTGTAAAGTAAACGAAACGTCGGAAGTATGTACCTAGTCTATAATCAAAAATAAATATCGCGCAGTACATCCGAAAAATATTAGTATATATAGTTTCATTTAATGAATACTCGCGAAAATTTTAGATCTCATAATTTCTATGTATCTTCAATATTTGTTGCGGTAAAAATATTAATTCATAATTATATAAAGATTATAACTAAATGTTTTTAAAATTTTACCAAAACACATTTCAAAATAAAGTGTTGTCATCAATGTTTTACAATGCAATAAACACATTACGTAGTTGAAACATAATTACAAAACACGTCCGTATATATTTTTCATTAGTAATTGTAAGAATTTAAATAGTATTGAATTTATTAATTGCATCGTGTATCAAAAGAAACAAAAAATGCGTAAATTCTAGTCCCAATTTCTTCTGTTATGTAGTATTTTATAAAAGTCCAATGGCTTACCTATGAAATATAAATTAGAAAATTCCCTTTCGTAAATTTTTTTAGATTACAGATTCCGAAGTCTTAATTTTTTGACTGGGAACAATCACAAGTTAATAAATCACATCAAAACATTGCAAAATTCCTATATATTTGACTCTTGTTGTTATTCAGACTTCAAACTGATGACAAATTTTAGTTTAAAAATGCTACAGCTGCTAGGAATTTAGATCGAAAGATTTTTAATAAAATTATTGTATTCATATTTTATTATTATAATAAATAAGAATACGTTTTTCTTTTTTTTTTAATAATATATATATAAAATTATTTTATATTAACATGAATTGCATATAATGTTTTAAATGAAATGTATGTAAGAACGGTAACAGTTTAAATGAAATTATCCGTTACCACACATTTTTGTTTTATTTAAAACGTATATATTCATAAATAATAATAATTTATCATAATTTCAATCATTTAATCATTATTTTATTAACAGGTGTCACTTCATAATAATATTACATAATCATCGAAATATAAATAATACAATCAAAATAAATTTTCTTCAAGGTTGGAAGAGAAATCAATTACAAGTTTTAATAAAATGAAAATGTCAACATAACATAAGAAAGTAAAGGATATGATTCGCTTCTTTTGATATAATAGAGTGCATGTGTAATATAAATATAATTAGGTCTCACAAACATTTTAGCCGAATAATCGGGCGCGAAAGCTTCGTCAAAGAAATTCTCTCCTGCTATTGGACGAGGATATCCGAAAGTACCAACCTAACAAATTCTTGTGCTCTTCGGCTAGGTTGTCAGGAACTCAGAATTATTACCAGTCGTGTAGGCAGGTAGATTTCGTCGCTTGCTGAATGAAATTTATTTTTCTTTATTGGTTTTCTATACGATAATGCTATTAGATCGTTGAAAATAATACATGTAAAGGCGTATTATTTGTTTAAACTACGAATGGTAAGTTATTTAATATCAATCGAGTGTTTTGTGAAGTTTTCTTTTTAAAAGGTTGTAGATCTGCAAAAGTAGCTGCACAATTGATAGAGTTCGATACTCACAAATTAAAAATATTTATATTAAAAAAATATGAGAAATCAAGCTGAAATATATTTTATTCGACGTTCATAAATTTAAATAGGCTTCGGTTACTTTGAATGTGTTTATTTGAATATTTAAAGGAGGTGCATAGCACAAGAAATTACTTAACATTTTTTATTTTATGTGCTTTACAGGACGTCAGTTACACAATATAAAAGTTAATTAAACTTCTGTAATGGTGCTCATAACGTTTTCGGTGATGAGAAATGGAGAGACAGCAGTGTAATACACTTCAAAACTTTGATGACCCGAAAACAGAAATTTTAAAAAAGAGACTATTAAAGGCGAGCAGCACCTCGGCGAGCAGTAACTTATCTCAAAGTAACTCCCATAATGTGCTATTAAACACGTTACGCGTGAGTTTCTTTATATTTGAGTACATTGGGTGTAAAGTTGTTTGTCCTCAATGACATTGTTTACCGTTTTTCAGGCGCCAAGCTCGAGCAGTATGATCGTATCCTCGGTGCAAGCGCCACAAAACTCAATGCCAATTACTCACAATCTTGTGACACATTCTATAGCCCCCGTCAAAATACACACTAACAATTCCCCGTACCCCTTGCAGCTTTCTACGGTCCATGTGCCTGTTCAGATACCAGGTTCCACTTCTAACATAAATGTCCCTGTTCAGCTATCTACCACTACTACTAGCATGCCTCTTCAAATAGCCCCGGTTAGTCTCCCTCTGCAAGTTTCTGGTACTACCAGTGTCCCCGTACAACTGCCAGCGGGAGATACTATCAATGTACCGTTGCAGATCCCAGCCTCTAACCAAAACATTCAGTTGGGTGGCTCCAGCCTGCCGTCTATGCCTCTTCTTCAAACCACCACCCAGCCCCTTCATAGCTCAATAATTCATGTACATATGGGTAACCGAGATGGTACAGACATGAATCTATCAAACACACAGATCCAAATGCCAGATTCTGTTAAAATGAACATCCCAACGTCCGTAGCTCAGATGCAAATGGGATCAAATTCTGTGATGCAGATACCTAACTCATCCAATAACTCAATACAACTCGCTCTGCCCAACTCTGGGAACACTGCCCCGGTTACATTACGAGGTGCTGCCAGAAGTGTTCCTCATGTTGTTTACATTCAGACGCCGACAGGATTGAAACCTGTGACCAGTACCGAAGTCATAAGCCAGGCCAGCACCAGCGGCAACCCACCACAGATCATTGTTCGGAGACCTGTAAGTATTCATACATTGTTGATATCTTGAAATTATAATAAAAATTATACAAATACATATTTTCACTATTAATGACATATAATGAATATATATTATGTTAAGTATTAAATGTTGAAAGGTTTATTATTACAATAAAATAAAACTTGATCAACATATTTGTTAAAGGTTAAAAATCTTTAATGTGATAAACTAAAGATGTCTTATCAGTTTAAACAGATTAATATCCAATATCAATACATTTGTTCACACATTGATAAATGCAAGTGAATCTTTCATTTATTTCATTCTTTATATGTAACTGAAATATTTATTTAGTTGTTGGAAATAATGATTTCTATATTTCAGGTACCAAACAACTCAAACATACATTTAATATCAAATGTAAGCACTAAGCCTAACATTGCCCCCAAAGTGGCAGGTCAAAACAAGTCTTCTATCTTAGCTCCAGCCAACACGGCCCAACCTATAGTCATCCAGAAACCTAAAGCCACGGATAAAATGATGGTGCCCGTCAGTATAGCTCCCGGAGGACAACCCAAACAAGCCATAGCCTACCTCAGCTCCGTCAAAAAACCCACCAAGAATATATCTGAGAACCAATCCATCCTAATATCTAGTAATCAAAGTAATGTGAATTCAAATAATCAAAAATTATATCTTACACCAATGAATGTTCCTAAAACACAGAATACTAAATTTATTTTACCCGTTACTTTACCAGCGACCATGGCATCCAAGGGGCCCATAATAAATCTCCAGATAGCCAACGGCCAGATACAGAATGACCCGCAAGGAAACATCACCGTCATGAGGGACACGAGCCTGGACGCGGCCGACATGCCGCCGCTCCAGCCCCTGGCTAAGATCATAGCCCTCAACGGCAAGGACAGCTGCGTGCCCCGCAGCCCCAACACGGACAACGGGTTCACGCTCTCCATCCCCGGCTCCAGGGCCGAGCCCACGGGCGAGCAGGGCGAGTACACGCTCTCCATACCGGAGACCAACGGCTCCTTGAATGACGACATATACACGGTGTCCATCGACGACGAGGACGGACACCCCCGGGAGCAGTCCTTCACGCTGGCCATCCCCGAGAAGGGCAAGAGTCTGCTCAACAGGACGGACGTGGGCCCGCTCACCACCGCCGCGCCCGCCATCCTGCGCCGCTCCAACTCCGATAACAGCGACCGGAAGACGGTCCACGCCAACGTGAAGCGGCGGGTGTCGCTCTGCACCGACAACACCTCCACCAAGAGCTTCAAGTTCCCAACGCCGCAGCACCGGCCCGCCAGGACGGAGGAGCGAGGGGACGGGGAGCTCAACGACGACCACCGCGTGCCCTCGCTGTTCTGTGACGAGAAGCTGGACAAGGACCTGGAGGCCAAGGGCAACCTGGGGGACTCCGACCCCGACGACAAGGGGGACGACAACACCAACAACCTCGTCTACTACCAGAAGATGAACGCGTTTGACATGGACGACACGCGGGCCAAGGAGTACAGCGACCCCACCGACGAACAGCTGCCCGGCCTGCTGTGGAACAACGGGATAGCGCAGCTGAGAGGCAGCAACCTGCACTTCCGGGCCAACGAGTTCGACCTGATCGACCTCGTGGACGAGAAGACTCAGAGTGTACTGGTGAACTCCACCGTGAAGTATCACACGCCGCTCAAACAACGGATGGAGAGGAACAGGGACAAGAAGCCCACCTCCCCCGAGGACCTGTACCGCTGTGACGGCTGCGGCTGTCACGGGATGGCCGCCGAGTTCATCACGCCCAACTTCTGTAGCTCCACCTGCCAGAGCGACGTGCAGAAGGTCACCCAGAAGAGGAAGGACAAGGAGAGAGCGGAACTGTCCAAGAAACGAAACAAAATGAAGAAGTTACTCATGAGGAAACAACTGTCCGACTCGGAACTCACGCAGGAGGGAAGAGACGAGAAGGTGGAGCTGAAGCGGTACGACTCGTTGAACAGTGACCTGCAGATACCCGAGGCGACCCTCGTGAAGATGAGCGAGGAGCTGGCCGACGACGACAAGTACCCTTGGATGTGCGGCAAGAACGGCTTCTCGTGGATGAGGTACCTGGACGTGTGCAAGGCCAAGGCGGCGCCCGTCAAGCTGTTCAGGGACCCCTTCCCCTACAACAAGAACGGCTTCAAGGTGGGCATGCGGCTGGAGGCCGTGGACCCCGAGCACCCCGCGCTGTTCTGCGTGGTGTCGGTGGCCGAGGTGCAGGGCTACCGCATGAGGCTGCACTTCGATGGCTACCCGGACTCGTTCGACTTCTGGGCCAACGCGGACTCGGCGGACATCTTCCCGGCCGGCTGGTGCGAGCGGAACGGCCGCAGCCTGCAGCCGCCGGGGGGCTACGAGGCCGCGTCGTTCTCGTGGCCGCTGTACTTGAAGCGCGTGCGGGCGGCGGCGGCGCCCCGCCAGCTGTTCGTGCAGGCGGCGCCGGGCGCGCGGCCCGCCGGCTTCCGCGTGGGCATGAAGCTGGAGGCCGAGGACCGCGAGCACGGCATGCTGTGCGCCGCCACCGTGGCCGACGTGCGGGACAGGAGGCTGCTCGTGCACTTCGACTCGTGGGACGACGCCTACGACTGCTGGCTGGACCCCGCCTCGCCCTACATACACCCCGTGGGCTGGGCCGACCAGAACGGGATCCAGATCACCCCGCCCAACTGTGAGTACCACCTACTACAACACCATACATTGTTAAACCTCATTCACACGAACTTCAAATTCTCGTCTCTCTTGTTTAAAGGGTCAATGAACTCTGTCTAATTCATACAACACCTGACAACCAAATCCTAGACCTAGTTAATTCCTTACTAATTATATTTTAACGATTATTATTTGTGTAAACCTACATAATACACTTGACGTATTTTCGTTAACATTATAAATAATTTTACAATAATTACTTGATTAATTTCCGGACATATAATTAACCACGACTTTATAATAATTATTATTATATCACTACGTGTATTAATTAGTATACCATTACTATACAAGGGAGGTGTTTAATTTTTTAATATTTCTATAATAAAATCGTGGTACGGAACACTGACAGCGTCATTACTTTTTATTTTCGAGGAAATAATTAATTTTTTAAAACAGTATTGTTGAATAATTATCATCGGTAGATCCGTCTCGGACCTTGAATATTTAATTTTAATAACTTAATCTACAGTTACATTATACAAGTACATACTTGTAAAATATTTAATTCAAATTGGAAAACACAGATGATTTTTATTTTATTAAATTGATATTAGGCCAGTGCAGATGCCTTTAAAAATAATGAAAAGTGAAAATAAATTATAGTAGAATGAAACTCATTAGAAAAGGAGGGGAATATTATAAAAATTAAAGGACAAATAATTTATGGGCGATCTGAGGTCGGGAAGGGAATGGGTATTTAAGTGTAAAAAATGGGTTTTCTCGATTTCCGGCAAAACTGAAAGTCCTACAGAAAAAAATTATTTGGCAAAGTTGTAGGTAATAAAAAGATCTAAAACTTTTGTAGTAACATTTTTTTCACATAACCTCAAATTTTAGGAAAAAATTCGAAAAACCAAGTTTTTGGTTTTTTATTTCTATCTCTTCCAAAAAACAATTTTTTGTCACGAAATTTGGTGAAAACTTTCCTTTTGATGTTCCAAATGCACTGTATTTTATTTGATTAGAAAAAATTATTTTTTCAGCTTATTTTCAATAAATACTGAAAAATTAGCCTCATTTTCGATCCAAAAATCACCCGTCGAAATATCAGTTTTTAAAAAAAAAAAAAAATGGTTTGTTTTCTGTTCGTTGAAATCTCTATTTTCTGGTAGTGAAGAAAAAAATATAAGTTTTTATTAAAAAAAGAACGAGTGTCTTTTCATTGAAAGAAACATGATTATTTTATCAAAAAATGGTACTGCAAGTAAAAAACTTATAATTTTTTTCTTCACCACTAGAAAATAGAGATTTCAACGAACAGAAAACACACAATTTTTTTAAAAAAAGCTGATATTTTCACGGGTGATTTTTCGATTGAAAATGTGGCTAATTTTTCAGTACTTATTGAAAATAAGCTGAAAAAATAAATATTTCTAATCAATTAAACTACAGTGCATTTGGAACATCAAAAGGAAAGTTTTCACCAAATTTCGTGACAAAAAATTGTTTTTTGGAAGAGATAAAAATAAAAAACCAAAAACTTGGTTTTTCGAATTTGTTCCTAAAATTTGAGGTTATGTCAAAAAAATGTTACTACAAAAGTTTTAGATCTTTTTATTACCTACAACTTTGCCGTATAACTTTTTTCTGTAGGACTTTTAGTTTGGCCGGAAATCGAGAAAACCCATTTTTTACCCTTTAATACCCACCCCCTATACCCTTCCCGACCTCAAATCGCCCGTAAATTATTTTTCCTTTAATTTTTTTATTATCCTCCTTTTCTAATGAGTTTCATTCTACTATAATTTAATTATGTTTTAAAAGCTGTCGGCACTGGTCTATACAGGGTGACTGGTGAATTACTATCAATATTTAAGGAGAATACTCGGTACATGATTCTCATTCGAATTATGTAAAAAAATAGGCACTTAATTTTTGACAAAATTTCCGTATAAATAAATAAAGTGTTGACACGTTCCAAGTGTTTCAAGTGTGGACGCTTGCGGCGGCGTGCTGATACAACACTACGCCGCCGGCGCGTCTGTGTGAGTGTGTACGTATACCTAATCTGTAGGGTGTTCATACGATGCGTAATTAATTACATAACTTTTGGTTAACTTTACTAAGAAGTCTATTAATATTTATGTTATGTTAATTTTTATTTTGTCATATATGATCGTCAAATATCACGTCCTCAAATATCGATAGTAATTCACCAGTCACCCTGTATATACTGATGGTATAGTGCGTTTGATTTAAGCTGAGCTTTGCATTTGTGTGAGTACACCCGGATAGTGTAGGTGTGATGTCAAATTTGTGCGCGTTCTTTTCTAGTTTTGAACCGGTTTATTCTGCTTTTACTCCGCCCCGCACCTTCCTCACTTCACTTTTTGTACTGGTAGCAAAATCAAATGTTGAAAACGCAATGTCAAGTGAATAAGAATTTGTATAGTTTTTTCAAATTTTTTTTTATCTATAATTTTTTTTCCATAATATTCATAATATTTCCGTCTGGCCTTTTACAGGTTTTGCTTATTTTATAGCACTTATGTTAGGTATCTATTTAAAATATATGTAACAGAATTGATTTCTAAAAGTTTTTTGTCTAACTCTACTTTTACTTTCACTCACACAAATGCAAAGCTCAGCTTAAGTCTAACGGATTATACTAATTAAGTCCTGGATACATCTTGTTATTTGGTATTTTTAACCAACATCTGTATGTAGGACACGTGACGTGAGAAGTGTCTTTGGTGTAGTCTGAGAGACCAGAACGCTTGTTCCAAATCTATATTATTATTTTTTTAAATATGAAAGGTAGCAAACGAGCAGATGTCCTATTTGATTGAAGGTAGTTACCGTCGCCCATGGATATCCACAACATGTTTGTTGCGGATGCGTTGCCAACCTTATTTTTTTAGGAATAGGGAGGGGTGGGAATAAGGAAATGGTAGGAAAGGTTGGGAAATAGGGAAAGGTCAACCGGATCTCTCATTCATCTGACGAAACTCAGTCACTAAAGGCTATTTCACGTCGATCTTCTGTGAGAGGCCGGTACTTCCCAGTCGAGCCAGCCCATGTTCGAGCTGTAGTAACACCACAGCTAAGCTCTACCACCTAAAAAGCTGTACAGTTTCATATCCTAACAATGGTCGTGCATGAACCCTGGACTTTTCTGTATCCTGTATGTACTGGAACATCAAACGAACTTTAACCTCTCGTGTGGATGGTATTCGTGGAGACGGGAGACAGCTGCTTCACATAAGTTCAAACCTAGCTTGATAATTTTCTGTTTTATAAAATTGATATTTTTCATTGTTTCGTACAACACTTCCTAAATCGGAAGCCAACCTCTCATCATATCTCAACTCTCCTTCATCTTTAATTCCTTCTTAACAATATTGTTTTGGATGACTGTCTCCTGATTGGAAATAAAAACAAAAATGCGTCAAACTTTTTCTAGTATCATCTTCATTAACATTATTATTTGAGATGTTTCCATCTAGCTATGTTAGCTTAGGTTTCAGGGACTTAATATTTAATATTTATAAGACAAAGATCTAACTTCACCGATATAATTAAAAAACATACGTGACGATAGATGAAACGCACACAACCCTTCATAGCAGGGGTTCCCAAGCTTATTATCTCTATTTCCCACTTTGGGAAAAGCTCCTTTATATGAAATAGAATTGATTATTGAACCTTCTTTACCGACTCCAAATTATTTGATATCAATATGTCTATTACGACAAAACGGTGACAAATACCTAATATACAGGGTGACTGGTGAATTTCTATCAATATTTAAGGAGAATACTCGGTACATGATTCTCATTCGAATTATGTAAACAAAATAGGCACTTAATTTTTGTCAAAATTTCCGTATAAATAAATAAAGTGTTGACACGTTCCAAGTGTTCCTAGTGTGGACGCGTGCGGCGGCGTGCTGATACAACACTACGCCGCCGTCCGCGTATGTGTGAGTGTGAGTGTATACCTAATCTGTAGGGTGTTCACATGATGCGTAATTAATTACATAACTTTTGGTTAACTTTACTTAGAAGTTTATTAATATTTTGTTATATTAATTTTTATTTTGTCATATATAATCGTCAAATATCACGTCCTCAAGTATCGATAGTAATTCACCAGTCACCCTGTATATTTTATTGGCTTACACTGTCGTTGGTAGTTCAAGGATGAGTCAGAGGCATTGCATCTGTATCCTTACTTTAAGTTTTCAATATCACACTCCATACGCAGCGTTAATAGTTTTTCATACATAAATCTTGTTATATTATAGTATCAACATAGGTTATTGAATCAAAAACGTGAAATATATCGTCAGTAGTGTGAGAAGGCACTTGTGTTTAGCAAATCGTACGTGCTCTTAGAAGGTTTAATATATGTATAAGTAATGTTATCTTTACTATTCTTAGTTCTCTCAATATTCATTATTTTGTATCATAATTTCAAAAATAATTTGTCTTTCTCACGTATTATAGCCAATTTTATATATTTTTAATTAAAAATATTATTTTTGTATTCCTATTTATTCCACTAAAAACGGGTGTAAATTAAAATAAGTAATTTTTATACAATCACTAGGTATTATGCATTTTTTGCACATTTTAAATAATTTCAACATTTAGAAATTTAAATTTAACCAAGCTGACATATTTACATACATAAACAGTTGCAGACATTGCATATTTTTTACTCGACAAACCTGTGTATAAAAAAAATCGCAGAGTGCAGTGAAAGTGAAATTAATACGAGGTTACGGACAGACAGACGATACGAGGCGATTAATACATATTATAGGAATTATATAATTAACATTTGTATAACGAGTTGGTATTACGATCCTGCACTTACAAAATAAACCCGTACCTCTTACAGTTACTCAAAAACTAACGTTAATACTGTGTCGACAGAAGAATCTCTACTAATATTATAAATGCGAAAGTAACTCTGTCTGTCTGTTACGCTTTCACGCCTAAACCACTGAACTGATTTTAATGAAATTTGATACAGACATAGAGTTGACCTCGAGAAAGAACATAGGATAGTTTTTATTCCAGACTTTTGAAAGGTTCTCTTTGAAACGCGAAATAACTTAACTCCACGCGGGCGAAGCTGCGGGCGAAAAGCTAGTTAGTAACAACAAACTGAAAGAATGACGTATTTACTTGGTTCGCTCGAATTTTTGTTAAGTTTCTGGTGCTTGACTCGATACTGTCAGTTTAAACGTGTTCTACACTCCTATCATGAATATTATTATAAGGAAAAAAATACATCGTACGTAAATTAGACTTAAATATCATTCTTATTGAATTATTTTGATTACACATGTATAATATTAATAAATATAGGATGAATATTTTATATTTATTTTAGTCATTAGTTTATTAATACCTTTTCTAAGTTAATATAATATATTTAATATTAGCATGTATCAAACCGAACGCGTCCGTCCGTCACACCGATACATTCCTTATCTATTTCAAACAAGTTCACTTATCTCATTGTTTATCGAACATTGAATATTTTTAAATATCTTTAATTTCAACCTTATAAATGTTTATTAAAAAAAGGATTAATATAATTTATAATTATTATTTTATTTATATTTTCTGTGCTAGCAACATTTCCGTCATTAAAATGTTTATTTTTGTAATTGTATTTGTTACGGTCGTAGCGGCTATCAGTCTTGAGCCGGCGGTGAGGCGGGACTCACTAATCACTACTAAACACTATCAATATTATTTTACCTGATCATAATGTTTTCCTATATTTATTTAAAGACATACAAAGTGTTAATCGTTTAATTTCAACATTCAAGGTGACACATCGTATCTTATTTGTTGTGTTTTAATATTATTGTTTAATGTATGTCGTGTTTATTATAATACGTATTAATTTCCATCGTCGCTCCTCGAGTCTCTAGAGATTACTTTATATGAAGTCCTTCAGACACCACTCGATATGAATATTTATGTATTTTTTTTTTGTTTCCCCATTAACATCATGAGAATTGAGGACTTAATATTGATGAGGAATTGAATAACTCTGATGATTTTAATGATCGCTGGTCGAGAGTACGTTTTGTTAATTAGAAGTTCAATTAAGAATTATTTAAATATTTGTATCGAGCTATTGACTTGGAGCAGGGGAGCCGTGTTTATGATTAATTGATAAACTTTTTAAAGGAATAAAAGTATTGATGTGAGTTCCTTGTCCGCAGACTACAAGGAGTGTGAGTCATTCTCATGGGAGTCGTACTTGGCGGAGACCATGTCGTGTGCGGTGCCGGCGAGGGCCTTCAAACCTCGCCCGCCGGTGCCCTTCAAACCTGGCATGAAGCTGGAGGTCGTCGATAGAAGGGTAAGTATTCAAGGCTGAACCTCAGATTTTTTGTGTCTTCCCTCTTTAATGAGTGTGTTTCATGACCATCAGGTACCGTTCCTGATCCGCGTGGCGACCATCAGCGCGGTGAAGGAGCACCAGGTGCGCGTGTCCTTCGACGGCTGGCCGGACGAGCTGTCCTGCTGGCTGGACGACGACTCGCCCGACCTGCACCCCGTGGGCTGGTGCCTCAAGACCGGACACCCGCTGGAGCCGCCGCTCAGTCAGTACATCACACATACACACGGCATTAGAACCACATCCACATGAAACTAACAATGAATTCCTTGGTCCAGCGGCAGAAGAGCTCCGTATCCCCGGGCCGTGTGGCGTCGGCGGATGTCGCGGCCTGGGCTCCGTCCACGGCGGGGGGCTCAAGCAACACGCCGCCGCCTCCGCCTGCCCCTACCGCGGACAACCGCCGCCCAGACCTGACAGGCTGCAACCACCTACACCCGTCCGCAGGTACGGTACACACACATATATATATACAGACACACACACACACACACACATCGAGTATAAACTGACCTGGTGCTGTCTCCTTTCAGAGCTTTAAGCAAGTCCAAATCAATATCCACCAGCACTCCAACCAGCGACGCGCCCAAAGAGAAGTATGTCAACATGTTGTCAAATCGTGAAATAAATTTACTTATAAGTACCATATGACTAATATTGTGTGATCTCCCATCAGATTACCGCGCGGCCGTCCGCCCAAACACAAGAGGGTAGAAGCTGTCACCAAGAACGATCCCGTGAGTGTTAGACACATAAACCTTCTACCAACTAGTAGCGGTATACCAACATTGTTCTATATAATTATGTGTCTGTCCCCAGGTGTCGGACGACGAGTCTCTATCCAGCGGGGGCTGCAAGCGGTGGCGCGGCAGCTACAGCGAGGACACGCGGGCGCTCCGCTCGGCCTCCTCGCGCCGGCCCCCCTCCACACAGTCCTCGCACCAGCTGCCCCCGCACCCCGCGCCCTCCCGCGCGCTCCTCGCCCGCCACGTGGCCGACCTGGACCTGCCCGCAGACCCCAGCACCTGGACACAGGTTCATATACACCTCACTACTGATACGGTCAACGATCACGATCACGATTGCTGAAAATAGTAAAATACACGCAGTATAATTAGTCCGGTCAATTTAGACCTAAAAATTAGAGTAAAGTTACATAAAGTCCCAACAAGCTGAATTTCTGTGAAATAGTTCAAAACATAATTATAAACAAAGTCTAGAAGTTCCCCATCATTCCCCTGTAAGGAAAAACAATATTTAAGATCAAAGGTAAAAAAAATGATCTTTCGCGATTTTCAGCAAAACGGTAAATTTTATCATAAAAGTACTTTAAACAAAAGTTATAGATCATAAAATTATCTATAACAAATGTATCAATACTTCTTTTCTTACGAGCCACCGTTTCTGAGATATAACGATCCAAAAAGTTATAAAAGTTGTTATCGTCATAATATGCATGAGTACGCCATGTATATACATTTAGAGTTGTTATATTTTACTAGCTTTTGCCGCGACTCCGTGGAATAGTGACTTCCGGCAGATTTTTGGTTCTTCCCACATAGTTCCCGTTCTTGCGGGGTTTTCGGAATTGTCGAGTTCCCGTAGAATTTTTAGGATAAAACCTATGTTTTTTTTAAATTCACAATGAAGTACTCTTAACCAACAACATATTTATTTGTTTATTTGAATAAATATTAATAGCATTATGTTGATACAACTTAAACAAATTATTTCGACCAAATTAGGTACCATAAAAACGGTTTTTGTGAGTTAATCTTAAAAGATAGATATATACTGTCGGGGACTGTTTTTTAGATCATTAAAAGAGCTATTATTCTTAAATACATATTTTTTGTGTATCTTGAACCGTTTTCACGGCGCACGCAACGGAAAGCTTCAAAGATGAAATAATTTCTCCCGTTTTTTACACATTTACCACTATATCTTTACTCCTATTGGTCGTAGCGTGATGTTATATAGCCCACAGCCTTTCTCGATAATCGGACTATCCAACACAAAAAGAATTATTCAATTCGAACCAGTAGTTTCGGAGATTAGCGCTTTCAAACAAACAAACAAACTCTTCAGCTTTATAATATTAGTATAGATTTAATACTAGAAGACCCGGCGAACTTCGTATCGCCCTAAAATCAAGAAATATCTGTTACGTTTTTTATTTATATTTTTGGAGTTTACCTATTAAAGCCATAAATCTCCGTGTTTTGAAGTGCGACAGAATAATTGACATATTAGTTGTCAAATCTAATGTAAAAAAAACGTTTGTATCAACAACTACTAATAAATTAAAAATTAATTAAAAAAACATTGTCCAGCGGACAAAATTGTGAATCTAAACCATTCCCAGATCCCCTTGAACACACAAAAAATTTCATCAAAATCTAGTCTAGTCGTTTGAGAGAAGTACAGTGACAATCACACTCACAGAAGAATTATATATATAAAGATATATATTCATATATATGTATAACAGTCAGTGGTGGCCTAGTGGCTAAAAAGCCCGCCACTCATGCACGAGAGTGCGGGTTCGATCCTGGCCCGGGCAATTTTTGTTTTAAGTACTTTTATGATAAAACTTACCGCTTTGCTGAAAATCGCGAAAAACTCATTTTTGACCTTTGACCTCCAATAAAAATTTTTCCTTACAGGGGAATGAAGGGGAACTTCTAGACATTGTTTATAATTATATTTTGATCAATTTCACAGAAATTCAGCTTGTTGGGACTTTATGTAAGTTCAAATGTCTAAATTGACCGGACTAAATCCGAATAATATTAGTTTTACTTACACAACATATTTTATGTTTTCATTACTTAGTAGAACTTTTGATTTCGAAGATAGAGAACCCATGAGAGACTGAGAGGTGTAGCATTTAGTTTAAATTCAAATTGATTCAGTGAAAGAGTGTCAGTTGTTAATAGAGTTGTGTCATGTGTGTAACAGAAGGAGGTGTCGTCGCTGGTGTCCCGGCTGGCGGGGGTGGCGGCGGGCGCGGCGTCGTCTGCCGCGCGCCTGTCAGGCTCGACCCTACTCATGGCATCTTGCGAGGAGCTGGTGTCATGCCTGCGCCTGCGCCTGGGCCCCGCCGTCAAGGTGTACGCGGCCGTGCGACTCCTGCGGGACTCCCTATCGTGATGGGGGCGCTGGCCCGCCGCCCCGTGCTGAGCGGGGGCCGAGCTGCTGCCCCTCCCATGTGTACATACACCCTGTATATAGTATAAGGACGTGACCGAGGGTCCTGTACATACATATGTTAATGATATCGACTCCTCGTCCATTGTTAATAGTTTATTTTATAATCATTACACTGGAGGTTCAGTTCCTGTGAACCTCTTGTGTTCGTGTAGTACTGGACGGGTGTTGAGCTCGACGTGTTCGTTACCTTTGTATGTGATCAAATTCTTCTAGTGTCGTATTCTTGTAGTCGACTGTTGGCAGAGAAAGTCAATTCCTTGACAATATTATCTCGTAAGCCATATGTAAGGTTGTATCGTTAGATGGCCCCGGCTGCACTTAATGTATGTCAAGGTCGAAGGTTGTGATTCTATATAATAAACTGGCAGGGACCTGGGACCGCCTGGACATCCGATACACTTCTTAAAATACCAACATTAGTTAATGATATAATATATAAAAGATTAAAAATATGTATATAATTTACTGTTGGTTATAGTAAGTTGTAATAATGTCTACACTATTCTAAATGTATTTGATGGTGCAGTTCCACAGATGCCTGGATATGATGAGTTACTGTAAAGATAGAGTACAGCCTGCTGAAACAGACCAAAGATAGGAACATGTATATATTATATTCCATTCTTTGGACGAGTCATTTATTGTATATAGTTGATGTAAAGGTTCTGTGCAATTTAGTATTATAATTATATGATGTACATACATGTCAAGTGTCCCCTGTCTATATACATTGAATACATAATATATAATTAGGAATATTTGGTTGATTTGAAGGAATGTTTCATAGACATGAACAGCATATCATAAGGAATTTGCACAAAATTGTTTTATATAAGTGAAATGTTTTGAACGAATGATATTTGTAACTTATAAAACTTGTATAGTGGTAGGTTTTGTATCGGTGAAGTGTCCATGTTTTCATTCTGAGCTGTTTCCGACTGGTACATTTCAAATCTTACTTGTGTTGATGTGTGGTGTCAGACAGTCGAGGCCCACATTATATATTGATAGTGATGTATTTTGTTATTGTAAATGTTTGTACATGTCTTGTCTAGTTAAAATGATATTTTTTCAGCGGCCATGTACAGTTAAGTAATATTATTGTAAGTTTTTACACGACTCTTGTGTCATGAAATGCCATTTTCCTGGCATAAAGTATTCTAAACTGTTGTTCTAAATTAAATATTTTTTTTCAATATATTAAGTGTTTTATTGTAATTTGTGTTTGTGATGTCATAAGTAATGAATTTCATTGTATACTAGTTTTTGCCCGCGACTTCGTCCGCGTTAGTTTGGTCAAGAGTAATATAATATGTAGGTATAGCTGACCAGGCGAACTCTATTCCGTCTTTCCGGACGACGGTATCTATTCCGTCTTAGAGGCCATAAATAATCAGGTTTTTCCTGTTTCAATCAAACAAAATGATTGACATATTAGTTAGTTGTCAAATCTAATGTCAAAAAAAACGTTTGTATGGGAAATAGAAAAGGGCTGTTTTTAGGGCTTTCCCGGCAATTATTCCAATTTTTCTCACCTTTTAGACCTTCCCTGGACATCCAGAAGTATTTCAAGACGATAATTAGCCAAACAGTTCAGCCGTTCTCGAGTTTTAGCGAGACTAAGGAACAGCAATCCATTTTTATATATATAGAAGATATAAACTTCTCTTATAACAGTCTTAGTTGCCATACTCCTCTGAACCGGCTCGACCGATTTTCAAGAAGTTTTACGTAAGTTTATACGTATCTAAGAATCGAGTAGTGATTATCCCTTAAAACCCCTAAGTAAAAATTGTCCTGTATGAATAATTAATTTTAAGGCGATTTTATTTTGTGGCATCGAAACATACATAAATCCCTAAATTTCCCCCTTAACTCAGGAACCAATATGAAAGATTTTTATTTATGACTTGAAACTACTACTATTACAATTAACTCAACTATTATTTTAAAAGAGAAGTCGGTAGCAGAAGCTAGTATATCAAAATGAGTAATTATTTAAAACACTAAAAGCAAAATTAGTTTTCGTGATCTTTCGCTACTTATATTCAACTAGCTTTCCGCCCGCAGCTTCGCCCGCGTGGAGTTCGGTTATATCGCGTTTCCAAGATAACCTTTCAGAAGTCTGGGATAAAAACTATCCTATGTTCTTTCTCAAGGTCAACTCTATCTCTGTACCAAATTTCATTAAAATCAGTTCAGTGGTTTAGGCGTGAAAGCGTAACAGACAGAGTTACTTTTGCATTTATAATATTAGTAGGGATTTCATACTTTGTTCCGCAACAACAACATTTTAAGATGGACGGCTCGGAATGCTTTACTTTATCCGTGATTTCCAATGCTTTTTTAAATACAATTGATTTTAGAAATGGATTTCATTGAGGTCACTTTATTCCAAACAAACTTTTTATCAATATGTAATGTCTATTAATAACTTCGTTTCGTTGGGTTGCTAACAATATATGTACATGTACATATTCAACAGTAGCTAACATTCTATATCGCTTCATATGTACTTTTTAATACTTCGTTATTGGAGGACGATTTGAAATGTTATAACTTTTAAGGCGCAAATCAGTCTATAATTGATATAAATTTCAATGAACCCATGGAGTTTGATTCAGGAAACTTTTTAACGTTATTTTCTTATTAACTAAATTCACGGTTGCCGACTAAAAGTAACTTGGCCTGAGATCTTTTATATAGAAATGGGAACATACTTTGACAAATACTGCCATTCATATGAATTTTCTTGCACCTTTGCTATTTTTACCTCTCTTTTTAAAGAATCATTCATTAAATCAGTTAGTTCTTCACTAATATCTATATATCTGAAACAATGGGTCATGCCTACTGTTTATATCCAGACGAAAAAGAGAAATATGTATTGATCTTACTACCTACCAGATAAGTTTAATACGGAGACATATTTTAACGTCCTTTTTCCGGAGCCTCATCGGATGCCGTCTATAAGTGGCAGAAAAGGTGATAAATTACTAAAACGTCACGTTACTAAACACAACACCAACTTCGTTCAAAAGAAAGTACCTATATATTATTGCATTTTTTGGCAATAATATATAGGTATTTTCGGAAGCAAAGCTGTGCAAGAAAAAACGCAATAAAAATGGACCACCATTCAGTAAAATGTGCACCACATTTACTCTAGACTAGAGTACATGGAAAGTTTACTTCAATGAATCATCAAATTTCTTTTAGTAATTTAGACCATTTCTCCGGTGCTATACATAAATTCACTAATATTATACTTACTAAAAGAGTTTCCATACCGTATAATATCTTGGGATGTCCTTAAAATGTTATTATGCTTAGTCTCTAAGGTTTCCTGCTGGGAGTATGTAATCGAGTTAGGAGTTTGTGGTCAAACGACATTGGCTAAAAGCCTACTACGATTAACGGCATGATTGTTGAGCTCCCGAACAAGAACGAGGACATTGATCTATAAATTAATAACTTATATTCTGAGCCTCGGTCCAAGCCGGACCAGGATATCGTATCCATAGTATATACATTATTCCGTGCGATTTATGGAGAATTATAAAGTACTCCACAACATGACGGTTTATAGGACTATAAATCTGTGGGGATAGTCGATCTGATACTTATATTTACATTAATTGAATATTTTGGAGTTCCCAACGTATTTCCGTAAATATTCATACTAACTCACTAGTTACATTGAAAAAAATCATACCCTAACTGTCTAATCCTTTAAGGTAAATATTAGGCTTTTGGTTTCATATTGAGGTTGGAATACCATCACTGCATCTGCGACACACTGTAATGGTTCTGAAGATTTCATCTTACTATAAAAAATCTACTATTAATAAAAAGTTACTTTACATTTTTAGTACTAAAATTGAAATACTGTCATAGCATGGCATTTTTTAATTTTCAAGAGTTTCAATATATGAATTTGTAATTATTTTTTTTTTGTAGATGGTAGAAGCTAGCTGTAGTCATGATCAGCTCGAACATGGGCTGGCTCGACCGGGGCAGTACCACCCTCTCACAGAAGATCGGCGTGAAGTAGTAGTAGAATAGCTACGTTTCGTTCGATGAGTGAGAAAGCCTGTTGTCCTTTCATGGTTGCCACCTTTTCCTGTCATTTCTTTATTCTCACCCTCCCCTATTCCTAAAAAATTAAGGTTGGCAACGCATCCGTAACAGAGATGATACGGATGTCCATGGGCAAATGTGTCTATTAACCACCAAGTACGCCGTCTGCTTGTTTGCCACTTATCCTATGAAAAAATTGTAGTTGTTAATTTTAGGCAATGATACATGCAAAGTCGAGACACCTGAAAGCTTATAATATTTTGTATTGGGAAGTCATTTTGACATCGTAGAAAGAAGTGTAATAGTAAAATGTATATTATTATTATTATTATATTTTTAAGAATTTATGTATTATTATTTTTATTGACAATTTATGTATTATTATTATTATTTTGTAAATGAGTCATTGTTACTTGATAATATAAATAAATAAATAATGCTGGCCACACACGTTACAGTATACTTGAGCAAGTCCAGAGTTGCAAAAATACATGTACTTATTTCAGAGGTGACTGTGACATATAATAAAACTAGCTTTTGCCGCGACTGCGTCTGCGTGGAATAGTGACTTCCGGCAGATTTTTGGTTCTTCCCACATAGTTCCCGTTCTTGCGGGGTTTTCGGAATAGTCGAGTTCGAGTAGAATTTTCAGGATAAAACCTATGTTTTTTTTTATTCACAATGAAGTACTCTTAACCAACAACATATTTATTTGTTTATTTGAATAAAGATTAATATTATTATGTTGATACAACTTAAACAAGTTATTTCGACCAAATTAGGTAACATAAAAACGGTTTTTGTGAGTTAATCTTAAAAGATAGACATATACTGTCGCGGACTGTTTTTTAGATCATTAAAAAAGCTATTATTCTTTTATACATATTTTTTGTGTATCTTCAACGGTTTTCACGCCGCACGCAACGGAAGGCTTCAAAGATGAAATAATTTCTCCCGTTTTTACACATTTACCACTATATCTTTGCTCCTATTGGTCGTAGCG